AAAGTGGGAAAAACACATATCTCCTGAACACATGAACTGGGCAGTCTCAAGTGCAGGCAGAAAAATAATATCCGCGGAGAGAGATACTCTCTCTGTAACGGATTTATTTAATGCGTTTTTTTTTTTTTTTTTTAAGTGTTATTTAGTTATGTGTGTGTTTTGTGTTGGGGAACACAGGGGCCTTACACACACAACGTCCACTAAAAAAACATCGGCTGGACAGCCGCAACTGAGCTGTGTGAGCCCAGTTGGTTGATTTATGAGGCAATGGCGACCTCTTGTGGACGGACTCAGGGCGACATGCATGGGATCAGAGAGATTTGCTCTCTATGTTGCCGCTGGCAGATATATAAATCTGCACGAATTCATTTGATTCGTTTATTAAATGTGTTGTTCAGTAATGTGTGTGTTTGTGTTGGGAAACACTGGGGCCGAAGCCTTTAATAACTGGGTGAGGGGAACCAAGTGCGTGCGGTGTGGTAACACTGCTATGTACTTTTCCTCACGACAGCCCCCTCCCCCGTAACTTGTTGTTGTGGGGGGGAGGGGGACACACACACACAACGTCCACTAACATACGGGCTGGGCAGCCACGCGAGGGGATTAACCGACCGTAGGTGGGAGACCCTGTTAGTTAACGTTACTCCCAATGGTCGAACAACAGGCAGGCCGCTTGCGTTCGGGACCGCCTTCCTGGGAAGGCATACATTGAAAACCTCAACACGTAATCGTAACAAATCAAGGCCCGTGAGACCGTGTTAACAGTCTAGCGGGACGCTCCGGCCGTTCAGACTGGGCGGTGGTCCCAGCGTTTACCCGTCGTACATATTCCTATCCTGGTCGGTGGCGCTCTGTGGAGCTGGCCACACAATGTTGAAACGAACGGCCGCTCGCTCACAAACTTCCAGGAGGATGGACGGAGGCAAAGCCGCGTGAACGCTAGCCTAGGGAACGCTAAAAGGACCGCGTCATCCCCGTCGCCGGAACCGACCGGTTCGTCAACGAGAGTGAGGTTTTCCCGCGAAGATGTCCTCTTCAGGGAATGCGGATTGGGCTGATGTCAGCTCAAATATTTTAGAGAGGTGGCGCTCCGGGAGTCCCCCGGTAGCGCGTCATCATCACCGTGTCTCTCCTCCGAGTCAGAAAGGCCGAGCACGGCGCGCTGTGTCGTGCAACTAAAAGCCGGCTTAGTAAAAGCTACATGGGCAGCAATTACAATGACCGCAATTCCCCGGGTTCTCCAAAGCTTGAGCGTGTTAAGCCCAAGCAGACCGCGCAGAACGAGAGGGTCCTTATAGCGGCGATGAGAGCACCACACGCGGCCGGGCAGGCTCGTCGTGCTAGGCTGTTCCCCGGGGGAAGCGGCTGTTTAGACGGTCACATAGCCATGGGCGGGCCAGCGGTGAAGAACTCGGAAAAATCCGTGGCGGGCAGCCATGTAAAGGAGGAGCAGGTGAAGGACAGCGAGAGCTCGGGCGGCTCCGGATGCAAAAAACACAGCGGATAGGCTGAAGAAACGACTGTCACTCACGTCTGGCGGAGGCTGATCTGGCGAATGCGATATGTCCTCCTGAAGACTCGAAAGTGAGCAGCGTAACGTTAATCCAACCGAACTGTGTCAATGCAGAGATCGCGAGAAGCGAATGTCAACTGAGGAATAGCAGCGCGCCCAGCTGTGATATGCCCGTAGGTAAGGGGGTGTGGCCTCACCTGGCATTGGCTGCGCGCTTCTGTCTGTTAGCCAGACTTGGTGCAATTGGATGCTTCTGCAGAGGTCAGGTACGGATGCCCTTCCCATAGGTGGATCTCGAAACGAGATGATGAAAGAGAACTTAGAACACCGTTATCTTTGTGTCTCTGAAGTGTCTGTCAGCAAAGCGCCTTTTCTCACTCGAGCATAAATTGCTGGCGGCGCCCCTGCATGTGGATATTGTTTTTCTCAATAAAAACGTGAAACAATATAAACACGATAATCATATGCTGACTCGTGTGTGTGTGTGTGTGTGTGTCAGTGTACGTTCTGTACGATATCTGGCGCAATCTGCTTTATTAGGCGTTTTTTTCCCGTTCGCGCTGCTTAAGCATGCTTTTATTAATGCTTTTGTTTTTTATATTTTTTGTTTACACATAGGCCTACTGTTTAATGTTTCAACTAAAAGAAAACTTTAACTGTTTATATTGTAAGCTTGTTGTGTATATTGCCTAATTGTAAGCTTGTTCAGAAATGGTGACAAAAACGTGAAATTTTTTTTTCCCATTTACTTTCATTGTCTTTCAATAATTGAGCCCCTGTCCGTCTCTCTCTTTCCTGCTCCCCTCTGGGTCAGAATTAGTTTTCTTAATCTCTGTGTTTGGCTTTGATGTCTTCATACCTAATTACATGTCATGGTACGACTTGACGAATTAACTTAAAAAATAACGTCTTTTTCATTAAACGTCATTTAAATAAACGAATATTCGAATATTCGATTTTTATGAGCCCGAATATTCGAATGCAATATTTTTGAAAAATGCCCATCCCTACTGAAAACGGGCGCAGAGATTGCGTTGTTTCTGCTCCATACCTGAGTAACATTGGTTTTACTGTTTCACAGAATCAAGATATGTTGCTGTAATGTTAGCTGTAGTAACAGGACAGTTTTGAGTCCTGCTGCTGGCGACTAACAAAACTCTTACTTGTATATACTCTTGTGTACTGAGAAATTTTTGTTCTTTCTTTGTAGTTCACTTAGCCTGGTTAAAACCAGACCATTCTCAGTTGTAACTGAGTAATATGGTCTGGCAAAGCGTCATAGACAAATCATTTCCAGAGGGGCGTCACCAACGGACGTTGCGGATAGACCTAAAACCAATCAGAGCGATGAAGGAGATGACGTATGCAGAGCGGCGGAGAAACATCTCCGAGTGTTGTTCTTTGCTCGGTTTTTAACAAAAAGGAAACGTTCAAATCGCTTAAAACAGACGCGATAGCTGATTCGAATGAGTGATGTTCGACGGAGGCATCCATCTTTGTAATGTAGGCTACAAAATCTGCTTCAAAATCCCAGCGCTGTCATCATCGTGTAAAGCCCGCCCGACATTTCTGATTGGTGCCGCGATTTCGACGGATTGGAAATGGGCTTGAATGAGCTCTTTGCCAGACTAACTTTTAGAGCAAATCTAAATTTGCCGGAAGTTGTCTGGGTTTTCCCAGGCTATAGTTCACTAGTTATCTTCGCTTTATTTTTCACGAAGCATTATTTGCTTCACTTCAGCTATGATAGAGACATCCACTCTTGCATTGTGTGTTCATGCATTTTGGGGGTGGAGCAATGAAGGAAGCAGTGTATTTGTTTGGGTTGATTTCAGATATCAACAGTGTTTCTCAGAAATCGCTGACTGCACCTTTAATGGACTGTTTTAAAACACACAAGGTGAGTAGTGTAATTATGTGCAAAATAATGTCACAACTAAGGGGCATCACACCATGTTGGAAAGTGTGGCTGTGGTTCAAAACATAGTGCAGTGGTTCCCAACCTTTGTCTTAAGCCGCGTTTCCACCGCAGGAACTTACCCTAGAAACTAGGTACTTTGGGATGGTACTCTGTGTGTTTTGACCGCATGAACCAGGGTCTAAATTAAGTTCCGGGTAAAAATTTCCCCCTCTGAAAGTCCCTGCTTGCGAGGTAGTACTTTTTCAAAGTTCAGGAACTTTCAGGGGTGGGACTTGGGTGCTGAACATGCTGATTGGTTGAGTTCATGCCGCATTTTGATTGGTTGACTCCACGCAGCATTTCATTTCAACCACCATTTTAAAAAATCTGTTGCGTTGCGTGCAGTCCTACGTCACCGGACTATTTTGCCTAATCTTCACGGTACTTTAGACCGGGGTGGGAACGCAGAAAGCAACAGGTCTGGGGGAAAAAAAGTTCCTGGGACAAATTGTTCTGGGTAATTTCGGTGGAAACGCGGCTTTGAATACTCCAACAGCCCCATTAGGGGCTTCATCATCATCATCATCAAAACAGAACTGTTGTAGAGAGGATATATTCTGCTACGAGCGTCATCTACACAATTAACTCAACTTAATATCTAAATTATTTTTGGTAACACTATTTTACAGTGTTCTTGTTATATATGTTACATGTTCTTACTGTAGAAATAACAGTAAATTATGCTAACGCCAAACTAAACCCTTTTCCTAACCTTATAGTAAGACCTATTATGCCCTTTTTCAAAGACTTAAATTTGTTTTGTGGGGTCTACTAGAATAAGTAATAATGTTTAATTGTTAAAAAAACACATTATTTTTCACACATTTTACAGCAAGCTCTTTTAATTTGCAGCCTGTCATTAACGCTCTATTTAGTTCCAGCCTCAATGAAGCCCCTTCTTCCGAAAAGCACAAAGTGCTCTAATTGATCGGCTGGACCAGTGTGTTGTGACTGGCCACGCCCCTTATATAACAGCAAATTTCAACACACTACTAACGTGTCAACCAGGCCTTGCCCCTTTTATTTTGTATGCCTTGGGTCGGAATTATTTAAATGAGGAATATTGTGACATGTTCGTTCCCAGAAGAAAACTCAAGACTACAATTGAGGCTTTTCAGGGAGTTCAGGAACAGTCTTTTCTGATATAGAGAATAACTCCCTTTGGAGTAACTTTGTAGACCTTTTTCATGTTTAAACGGCAACATTACACACTGGTCCTCTTTAAATATCTCTCAATAAATAAATATTGCTAAGTATTTGCATTTTTTGACATACCTAATCATTTTTAAGTCATTTTATATAGGTTGAACAAAGCAATTCTAGGTTATAGGTTAAATAAAGCAAAAGAGAAATATTGCCTGGTTGGAAATCACTGACCTAGTGAGCTGCCAACCAAGTCAGCATTTTTTGGCATCATAGACTCATTTGAATGCTGTATAGGCATTTAGTATTCAAACTCCACACTGCATAAAAGTGAACGAGAGCAAGGGGCAGTTTGCATGCTAATTTGTTTCCATGCAGGGTCACCTGCAGTCTCTTGCTCAATAGGCTTCTCATATGTCAGGGCAGGCCTTTGCCTCCACTCGTCTTCCTCATCCTCCTCTTCCTCTGAGTCGGAGGGGAAGCAAGAAGCGATCCGGCATGGCCGGGTATCAATACACACTGACTTGGAGCTCCGTTGGTACATAAAGGACATAGACTCCGAGGTCTGTGAGTGTGTAATGCGCACTACACCGGCGAGTGGGAAGGAATGAAAGAAGAATGAGATAAAGAAGCAAAAGGATGCATACATTTAGAAGTGAAACAGGGTGAAAAGGAAAACAGGAAAAATAAGAAAACCAAGTAGGAGTTGTGTATTGATTATGTTATGTGTTCTAGGTTCAGTGGATATTTGTGGATATGAAACCAGACCTGTGTTAATTTGTATGGGGACAAACGATGGATGGATGGATGGATGGATGGATGGATGGATGGATGGATGGATGGATGGATGGATGGATGGATGGATGGATGGATGGATGGATGGATGGATGGATGGATGGATGGATGGATGGATGGATGGATGGATGGATGGATGGATGGATGGATGGATGGATGGATGGATGGATGGATGGATGGATGGATGGATGGATGGATGGATGGATGGATGGATGGATGGATGGATGGATGGATGGATGGATGGATGGATGGATGGATGGATGGATGGATGGATGGATGGATGGATGGATGGATGGATGGATGGATGGATGGATGGATGGATGGATGGATGGATGGATGGATGGATGGATGGATAGATAGATAAGATAGATAAGATAGATAAGATAGATAGATAGATAGATAGATAGATAGATAGATAGATAGATAGATAAGATAGATAAGATAGATAGATAGATAGATAGATAGATAGATAGATAGATAAGATAGATAGATAGATAGATAGATAGATAGATAGATAGATAGATAGATAGATAGATAGATAGATAGATAAGATAGATGATAATCTTTTGTGATTGATTCGCCAGGTGTTTTGAAGTTTTTTTTGAAGTAAATAAAGTTAATTCAATTCCTCTGTAAATTTGTATAGGAACAGCCTTAAAACATTCAAATAAGCTTAAATAAAGTTAATGAATTAAATGAATGAATGTATAAATAGATAAATAAATGACTATTTTTTGTGATCTAATTACCCTCCATGCTGCAATACCCTGCAATACATTCATGTTGGTTCTGTTCGGTTAACCCTAAGGGGGGTTATTGCTGCTCTCCCTGCTCTTATCCATGCAGCCTAGCCATTCTTGCCCAGAACAGAGCCCGAAATGAAAGGATGAATAAATAAATGACAATTGATTTGCCGGGTGTTTGTTTTGAAGTTACAGTGGGTGCTCCTAAAAAAACAGTTACGTTTTGAGTCATTATATACTATAATTATACATTTATATGGTCTGGTTTGTAATAACAGAATATATTTTATGGTTCTAAATGGATTACATGGTGACAAAAATTACTATTCAGGGCTTTACTAAAAGCATTTGGGGCTTAAGCTCACCATAGCACCAATTATGGCACATGAATGATAATAAACACATTAGGCAGTCCTGTGCTTGACGGGACGTAACCTGGATAGTTACCTGGATAAGCATCTTCACCCTCCAGGTCGTTTCCCGTGCTACTGATGCTGGTGGTGTCCAAAGAATGGATGCTCAGAGAAGTGATCTGACAGCGCAGACGCTCAATATCACTGTCTTTACTGTCCAGGGCCATCTGCATCTCCAGTCGGACCTGAGACTCCTCTGCTATCGTCTGCAAACAGAACAACACTTCTTCTGTGCTTTGTATAAGTATAGTACGTAGACCACTGAATAGGTTTTCTAGTGGTTACGTTTCTTTTGCATTTATATTTAATGTCACTTACAGCCTGCATTTCATTCATTTCTTTCTGGTATTTGAAGATGGTGGTGTTGAGTTTTTCTTTCTCTGTGCGGAGCTGCAGCTGGAGCTGTCTGTTCTCCTTCTCCTTCCTGCGGATGTCACTGTTGTTACCTTGCTGTGGCCTGACATCAGTTTTCTTCATAACCTCTGCCAGCTTGTTTATAGCCTACAATACAGACATCTGATGCTATAATTTACCTGAGACATGCTAGTAACTCCTATTTTAAACTATGAAAATAATGGAGTAACATGTATAGTTACAAACCCTTGATTAAAATTCAATAAACCTTAAGTTAGATGTTTCTCCAAAACACACCTGAATCTTGAGGGTTTTCTCAGACTGTATTTGCTTCTCTAGGGACAGTGTCAAAGATTTCATCTGTTTCTCTTCTTCTTTGACAATCTCCAGCTCTGTGTATATGCATTTATAACTGTTAAAGCACATATATCAACATATATGGACATTATAACATCAATCCATTCTTTATATTAACTTCTGCAACATACTCACTTTGCTGTAGGTGTTTGAGCTTATTGTTGAGCTCCTCTTTCTCACTAGCCAGGTTGGCCACATCCGCAGTGAGTGTGCGGTTTGATTCCTCCAGCTTATATTATGTAGAAGATTAAATTAAAATGAATTCATGTTTATGTTGTGTGGACACATGCACACACAAAAACACACATATATCCATTCTTATACTCTCTTGTATTCTCACCGAGCTGATGGTATTGTCCTTTTCGCAGAGTTCCTGCCGATGTCTGGCAATCATATCTTTGATCTCCAGCTCCTTCATGATCTTTTCTTTCTCCAGGTCTGAGTACTGCTCCTCAGCGATGGAGCGCGCCAACTGTTCAGAATCTGCCTTCGTAAGGCTCGCCTCTAGCTGCGTTGCTAACGAGTCCCTATATAAACACACACAAAACAGTTTGTATTGAACGAAAGTTGCTCTAATTGATATGGTTTCACCTTTAAAAAAAAAGGATAAGCCCTTTGATATGTCCCGACATCCTTTTTTAATAGCAAATACACACACACACCTCTCTTCCAGCAGATCCTCTAGTCTCTGCTGAGCATCTTTGTAGAGTTTAGCCTTTTCATCATTCTCCTCTTTCAGCTCTCGAATCTGAGTTTTATACAGTTTCTGGAATCAAGGAAAAATGTTTCATTTAAAAACAAATATGAGCACACAGATACACAAACCAATCCAAATGCATTCCTCCACATATTCACAGGCAAAACATGATAAAGCTGGCAGACATACTGTGAAGTACTGCTCTGCCTCCAACTGGTCCTTCAGCTCTTTCAACTGTATGTCAGCTTCTTCTCTCTCCCTGGTTGGACACAGAGAAAAGAGACCTTTTATAGCATGCTGATCCTCAGTGAATAATATTTGTGTGTACTATGAATTACGCTTATTAGTGTATCGCTTTGTAAGTTCAGCAAACAGGCTAAAGGCCTGTTCAGACAAAGAACGATAACTATAATGATAAATATAACTATACATTTATAATAATCATTCTAATTCTATTAGAATAGGGACATCCACACAACAACTATAATGATAACACAGATGAACGATATCATTGGAATCACTTTCAGAACGATTTTGTTTCCAGCTGATGAATGAAAAAAAGACTGACAGACAATTAGAAACCACCCGACTTAAAAGAACTTGAGCAGCAGCTATGACATAAAATAAAAAGAATGTTATCATGGTGTAGATGCTAATATATTTATTGTTATAGGTGTGAATGTGCATTAACACGCAACTCTATTGGAACTTTGCGGAAACACGAGTATCAGCATTGAAAAACTGTGGATCACTAAGTCACTCACCTGCGCAGTTCCTGATTTAGTTTTTCCAGGCTGAGTTTGAGCTCCAGCAGATGATTGAGTTCCTGTTTGAGCTGTTTCTCCGAGGAGCGTAGGGTGCTGATCTCCTCCCTCTGCACTTTGAGATCATTCTGACACAGAGTCTTCCTCTGGGTCTCCTGATGCACACGCACACTTAGCACCTCCACCTGAAACACACACACAACCACACACACAGGATTCAATCAAATATCTTGGACTTCCCATGAACTATGTGATGCACAAATGTAATTTTTAATTGTGTTTAATACTTAAAAAACTGTATATATTTTTTTATTTAAAATTATGTAAAATAGTGCTGAAAATATGGACAGAAGACACTACTTAACATTCCAGAGCAGTAAGTTTGATATAATTAAAATCATCAGGCAGACAGACAGCTACAGCCAAGCAAGAAAAACAGACAGACAGGTATACCTCCTCAGTGAGTTTTTCTTTGAGTGAGCGGAGCTCCTGAAGCTCGTGTTTGGCTTGTTTGTAATCACAGTCTAATCCTGAGTTTTCCTTCTCCAGCTGCATCAGTCTGTTTTCCAACTGTTGCTTTGCAGATCGTTCTTCCAGCAGCTTATGTTCCATAACTGTCACAAAAACACACACATCACCACCAAACTCCTTGTACTTGTACTACAGACTTCAGAAAGATTTACTCATCTAGAACAGAATGCAGAAAAGATATTTTCGACAGAGATCAGAAATGCAAGGCAAGTCTAGAAGAATCAAGTAAATCTTGACGAGAAAGTTTCTAATGTCCAAGTCAAGCCTTATTTTGTATTTTGTTGTGAGTCCAAATTATGTCTCAAATACCTTCAGGGAAGTAGTACTAAGGTAACCAGAATTTGTTTTCCCACAATCTAAACTGTGCTCCCCTAAACAAAATTTTTAAACATTTGTAGAGAAAATCTGAACAGATATACACATTTTAAGAGTTTTTAAATTAGAGGCTACTGTCTAATTTTACCTTTCAGGCTCTCAGACTTGGCCTCCTCGATAGATTGGTTGACTTTGTTGTTGTCAGCCAATCTGGCTTTAGTGGCTTTATGCTCCGCCTCCTCCTGCTCCAGACTCTGTTGAACTGCTTTGAGTTTAAAGGAGTGATCGATCTCTTGCTTGTTCTTCTCCTGTGGGTGAAAGGACAACATTAATGGGGTTTCACAAAAATACACATAACCACACCAACATCATGTGCTGAAATGTAAATCATTCAATCACTCGCTAAAACACACAAGCACCTTTTCCAGGCCAGTAAGATCCTCCTGTAACTGTCTTTTCTCTACTTCAGCCTTTGATAGAGAACTCTTTATGTGTTTTAACTCGTCCTCCAGTCCGGAGACATGACCTGAGAATGAAAGAAAGATAGAAATGCATATAACAGAAGACTGAAGTTAAAGTCAAAGGTCAGGAATTCAGGTTAACATTAATGTTAAACCTGAAACCATAAAACCATAAATGGGCGGTTTCTTCAACTATGGACACTTTTGGGCCTGAGAGTGGACCTTTAGAAAATAAAATCTCTTATAATTGTCTAGTTTATTTACTCTATTAAAGGTCCTGTTCTTCGCGATTCCATTTTTCAAACTTTAGTTAGTGTGTAATAATGTTGCTGTAAGAGCATAAATAATACCGGTAAAATTATAAAACTCAAAGTTCAATGCCTAGCGAGATATTTTATTTAACAGAAGTCCCCTTTCAAAGCCTACAGCGAACGGCCGGTTTGGACTACATCCCTCTACTTCCTTTTTTAATGACGTAACTAGAACAGTTTTTTGACTAATCTCCGCCCACAGTAATACACAAAAAAAGGGGCGCGTGGTCTTGTTGCGCTCCCACGGAGAAGAGGAAGAGTTTTGTTTGTAGAGTGTGTTTGTCACCATGTCGTCGAGACGCTGTTATTTTCATGCCGGAGTCAATTCACCTTTGTTTGGCGTGACGTTTCCGGGCAACGTGCGATAAGCTGCTGTCGAATCATAACACAGGAACCGCTGGCACAATCAGAACTCGTTACGTATTTCTGAAGGAGGGACTTCATAGAACAAGGAAGTCATCAGGCCGTTTTTTGGACAGTGAAAACAACGGTATACAGATAAGTAAATTGTGTGAAAAATAGTGTGTTTTTTTACACGCGAAACATGAACACATGTTATATTGCACACTGTAAACACATTCAAAGCTTGAAAAAAACATGAAGAACGGGACCTTTAAACTAAAAATGTCCATCACAGTTTGTTTGTTTTGCGGAAATGATGGTGATGGGAATGATATTTTAAACATTATCAGAATAAAAATGGAAAAAATTAATTAAATATTTTGACAATAATACTAAAATATATTATTATTTTTAAAATTAATACTTTAACAAAATTACATATCGATCAGAAATTACTCTGATCAATATGTCTGATCAAACTTAGAAGTAATTTTGCATTGTTTTCTTCACATATCAAACCTCATATTTTATATCAAACATAATCCTAAACTAATTTTTGATAAAACTTCATTGGTCATGGTGGAAAAGACTGAGGGACAATCAGAATTTGAGTAAAAATAAAAACAGATATGAATTATTTTCACAGAATATATATTGTGTGGTTAATGATTTGTTTATTTCACAATTTTTTTAGATAGATATGTGATTACAGTATATAATTTTCATATTTTAAGATTAAGAAGATTTAAGAAGTCTTGGTCTGGGGTAAAAATCAATGAAATCTAAATGTAAAAGGCATCTGAAAAGCAGCAAAAATAAATAAAGGCATGGTCAAAAGTTATAAAGTGACCTTCCTTAATTGAAATCTGTTTATTTAAACCACGTAACAATACCGGGACATTAAAGAGCCTGCTGAAACAAATCTTTTAAATTTAATAGACAGAATTGAAAATATGACAGAAAATAAGAGATATTTCTTGTTTGCCCATTTTTCCCTGTCTAGTGACATAATATCAGCTACCTGCCTCTGACCTTAAAATAACACACTACTGATGTTTACATTCGCTGCGAGCAGCTCCACCCCAACACAACAACACTGCCCAGCAGACAAGAGTCCAGTGTGTCTTTCAGCATGAGCTGACCACTACACGCTCAAACATAAAATCAGCTTTCACTCGCTCACATAGACCGGCACACAAGTGTGATCCCTAGAATGTAACGCAATCTCCTTCTAGGCAGCTTCGTAGATGTTGATTCACAGCTACTTCTGTCTGACGAACACAAACCGGCACAGACACACATGCACCCACCCTGTAGTTCATTGATGGTCTCTGAGCCAAGGCTTCTCTCTCGCTTCTCCTCCTGCAGTGAGGTTTGCAGACTCAGTTTCTCCTGTTCCAGACCCAGCCTGCCGCTCTCCAGCTGGGCCAGACGCTCCTGGAGCTCCCTGAGAGAGACCTCCAGCTGCTGGGACTGTCTCAACACCTCGCCCTGGGCCTTCTTCAGCCTCTCAGACTCCTCCACCTCAGCCTGAAGCTTAGCATTCACCTCCTCCAACTAAGGACAAATTAATTTACTATCAGAATCCCTTTTATTCCATAATGCTGAACATCTATAAAATCTAATTTACACTACTTTTCAAAAATGTTTGGGAATTTGAAAGAAATCGCATGCTCAACAAGGCTGAATTTATTTGATCAATTAAAAACAGTAATATTGCGAAATTTACTTTTTCTATTTTTATTTTTATATATTTTACAGGTCATTTATTCCGGTGATGGCAAAGCTGAATTTTCAGCAGCCATTACTCCAGTCTTCAGCGTCACATGATCCTTCAGAAATCATTATAATATGCTAATCTGGTGCTCAAAAAACAGTTCTGCTTAATATTTTTGTGGAAACTGTGATACGTACTGATGCGTTAGCATCAAGCACAAACCTCAGTAGGTTTACTATTTTATTTTTCTTATAGACATTTTTTGCTGTTTTCTTAATGTTTAAACTTTTTTAAATGTCCTTGCCTTTGGCTATTTGTTAAATAGTAGTTATTGTTCTGAGGTTAAAGGTTTGGTAAAGTTTTGACGAAAGAGACCAACCTGTCTCTCCAGGTGAATATTCTTCTCAGCGGAGAGATGAGAGTTCTGGTTCTTCTTCTTCAGTTCGGCTAGCTGATCTCTCAGGCTGCCCACTGCAGGAGAGAGAAATGTCAAATATGTTAGCATCATAACATCAGCAAAGCAGAACTAATAGTTTCTAGATGGGTGAATGTCAGAGGTTAGTACTGAGCAAATTGTGTAGAAACTTTGGACCAGTGCTTCAGTGAATCAAGAATGAGCGTCAATATTAAACATGCAAAAGCGGCAGAGAAGCTGAAGCACCATATTCAGTAATGTTGTAGTTTAAGAAGGTTAAAGATGCACCAGTTAAAAAGTATGTATAGTCATGATTTCTTTGTAGATTGATCCATTATTATTCCATCGGTGAATAGATTTTTTTCCCACTCCTAGTAAATACTCAGTGTAGTCACTGTTCAAATGAATCAGCATTCATTGTCAATGTTGAGGGTCAATGGGGTGTGTTTCTGTCTGCTGTTCTCACCCTCATTCTCAAGAAGACGCTTTCTGTCTGTTTCTTGGCCGGCCTTTCTTATACTTTCAGAACGCTGGTGCTTTAGTAAAGCTTTCTCTCTCTCCAGTGCCCTCAGAGAGTCTTCTACCATTTGTCTCGCATTCACCTACGACAAGAAACAAACAGTTAGAGGAACTTGTAGAAAGATGCACTTTGTTTCTGAATGGTTTCGAAACAAGTGCCTTTGTTGGGTGAATGTAATTTAAAGATGTGTCTTACTTCTTCTTCGAGCTCTTTGGACAACTTCTCCAGTCGTTGATTTGCCGTCCTGTTGAGATACAACATAGTTTACATCTGTTGTAGGTGAAGATAAAGAATGTTTTGATTTTGCCATATGTGACGCAAATAACAGAAATCTGGATCTCTGAGGAATTTAAACATTCATTATTCACTATACAACAATTACAACATATATATATATATATATATATATATATATATAGTATACTCTGTGTGTGTGTGTGTGTGTGTGTGTATATATATATATATATATATATACACACACACACATATATAGAGAGCGAGAGAGAGAGAGAGAGAATTCAAATTCCCATTTAAATTGTTAATGCAAAAAATATGAATTTCAACATTTTACATTTCCACATCATGTTTACGAGTATTTGTACCGGCATTTATTTTCCAGTTCCTCCTTTGCTTGCATCTCATGTTTGACTTTTTCATCCAACTTTTTCAGCTTCTTCTGCAGGTCACTGGACTAGAGACATGCAAAAAACACATTCGAAGAATCAACAAACATCTGATGCAAAGTTGTTGTTTTCATTTCTATTAAAAGCAGCACTTTTCTAAAGAATGTGGAGAAACACTCCAATTATGTTGAGTTACGGCACCAAACAAAATGGTTGTGGTAAATTCTGCTGCAGAATAAGTCACATGAGCTATTTTAGTAATCTAAGTGCTAATTTTGTGCCACACAGCTCTATAGGTAAGGCTCAAGTACCCCTTCATTGACAACATTAAACAAAAAGATTATAGTGGCTATCATTTAACATAAATTATTCATATAAAAATATTATTTAAAAGTAAAATTAAAAATATATATATGCACCTCTGCATGGTTTAAACCATGATCCTCAATGAGATTATTAGCACTTGAGTCCTCATCTGAACACTTATTTTTTGGGGTTAGCAACCTGAAAAAGAGAGAGAGTTAGTGTTATGGAAAATGTTCCACTCATCACCAGCTACCGTCGTCCTTGTTTACTCTGCACAGTCTGCAGCAACACACTTTAAGGTTTCATAAATCAATTCAAGATGAAAAAGACTAAGTCAGAAGAATAAGAAAGAGAGAGGAAATTAAAGAAAGAAAATGTAAAAAATTTCAAAGCAACTTTTCAATCTCCTCATCTCTGCCAGCGGCCCATGTGGCTTCACTCAGCCACACTGGAGAAACTGAGAGAGCCAGGGAGGAAACAGTGAAAGGATAAGGGAAAAAGGAGGGAATTGTGATGGAACAAATGCAGCACTCATTCACGGCTACCATAACCATGCAAAAATACTGTACATCCTGTCTCTATCAATCCATAACAGGAGCTCGTTTTACAGCTTTTTAGTGTTCATCTGTGAGTGAGCGAGAACAAGATACCTGTGTAAAATTCAAACAGCGCTACAGTGTTTAAAATGTGGGATTAAATTCTTTCTGTCACAGATTTCCCCATCTATGTCATTTATTTATCTCTTTTTACAGTATATGGTCATTTTTTTTTATTCAGATTTTTTAAATGGAAAACATTTTTTCACAGTCACAGACACTCTTTTAAAAAAAAATTATATCCAATCCAGGCCTGGCATAATCAGAATTGTTTATGCTGAATATATTACTTTCTAGTTATGCTCAGCTCAAAAATAATTCACAGGCTAGAAACTGTTCCTTGTAAGAGCAAATCTCTAAAATCTTTATTCAGTAATCAGAAATAGCAGGAAAAGTCATGGAAATTCATTGGCCAAAAAGAGTGGGAACCCTTTTGGGACTCTGAATCCTTTTTCCACAAGCATTGGTTATTTTACATGACTATAGTATGCAACAAACAAATTATGTAATATAATTTTTTTTTTTTTTAAGAATCCATCTTGTCACAAACAAACACAAAATGCACACATTTTCACACTTACTGGTCCTCCCTGAAATAGGTAAAGCCCACAAACGGTAGCTGATTTCCTGCAAAGGCACGGGGAGGGGGGAAGGTCTCGGTTCCTCCAGGATCATCCTTTATATCATCATCAAAGTTACTGGTGTCAATATCGCTCCTCAGCTCCGGCACCACTGGAGCCATGGCTGAGAGACAGAGAGAAACAGGGAGGGGGGGGGGGGGGGGTTTGGAGTGTGTGAGGGAATATTGTAAAAGATTTGAGCAAAAATAGTGTCTCCTGTTTGAGTTTGAGTGTGTGAGCGAGTGAGTGAGTCTCACAGTGAAAGGCTCAGTGTGTGTAGCACACAAAGCAGACACTGTACTGAAGGGAGGAGTGGCACGTATGATTTGCCAAGCTGGCCGGTGCTTACTCACTACCTACTGTGCATACACACACTCACGCTCACTTACACATCCAAAACACTCCCTGGTTCTGGAGCGAACACACTGAGCACGCTGAGAGAACATGTGTCAAACATCTAATGGGGATGAGGCTGAATGAATTACAGTAATTCCATTGTAGTACAGAGTAGCCTTTCTCAGTACCACAATGGAAACACTCATATTTTCTCAATTTACTTTACAAGATAAGAAGAAGATAAAAAAGCATGTCAGAATGTGCCTTCTTTGAATGGAGTGAAAATATAATTGGTTTCTTTCCAACAACACAATTTGTTGTATTTTATTCCGAAAAGCAAGAAAAGTATATGTTGCCATATGGCAATACCGCACCATGCAGATTATATATGGATGCAGTTGCTCAGATTCCCAGAATGCTCCTTGCATTAATAACAGACTACTGTGTAGGCAGAGAGTAAGCTAGATAGAAAGGAAATGTGTGCGTTTGGGCATCACAGGAGCAAGGGACAGAGAGAAGAGGAAAAAACGAGTTTAACTCTGTGGTTTTGAGGCTCTTCTCTCATTAGTAACTGCGTACGGGCCACATGCTGGGTTCCACCCTTACTAAAACCAACCCAATACGAGCACCATGCCCCGCCCCCCGACAGGAGCAAACGTTACATGTAATGCATTACTAAGTCATTAATTACTGTAATTGAATTAGTTTTCCTTTGAAAAAAGGATTACTCTTAATTTTTCTGTAATTTAATTACAGTTACTTCTGATGTAATTATAAATACTGAGACTATAGAACAATTCTATATAAAACAGTAGTGGATTTAACATAAAAATGTAACATCTAATGTTAAAATGTTTGTTGTTAATGTAGCTTTCTCCCTTTAAATACTTTGGTCAGTTCAAGAATAATTAATGCAATGCGGGCTTTAGTAATTAGTAGAGTAATCTAATTACACTGTTGAAGAAGTAATTAATTACTTTTTTTTAAATAACTTACTCAACACTGGTATGCATGACTGAAATTACTTTCCTTTTCACCAGATGGATAACATGAGGGTGTGAGGTGAATGTTTGCATGTGTGTGGAGAAAAAAAAATTTCAAGGAGGAATTTCAAGAAATTAAAAAAAAACTCAAAATCACATATCTATAATTTGAACAGATACTGTATGATTGACTCAGTTCAAAACTCCTCACTCACAAATGAAATAACCAATCCAAGACCAGAGTATATTCTAGATTTCTTTGATTTTTATCAACCAGCACACGTTATAGTAAGTAATACTGACTCAGTCATAAATAGTGATTAGTTGTCATTTTAATGAATAAATGTAACTTAAGTTATGATCACAGATCAGCCACACTCACACTCAGAGGCTTACTGTCTCGTATGGTGTCGAAGGTCCACTGATCGTTCTTGAAGAAGGGGTGACATTTTATTTCATCCACTCCAGTCCGGCCAAGCCTCACCTCCCTGAACATATCAAAACACTGGTCAGCAAACCAAACCGAGAACCACAACCACAATCACTAATCCGCTAAGTGGTGTGTGTGTGAGACTGGAACATCCAACAGCGACTGGCTGATGGGAAATGGCAGAGCATGGATGAGATGAGGAACGAAAGCGACACAAACTGCAACATCCAAAAATAAGGAACAGTCATTCCCCTCCCTTTCCTTGCATCTGGATTCAAAGGGGTGCAGCAGTTTGGACTGCTACATGTGGGACATTCCTGCAGCCCAGAATGCAAAGGGAGGGGTGTGTGTTGTGCTTTACATGAACACAAGGAGAAGAAATCATAAAGCCCCTCTCTGGATATTTGATCAGGAATGCTCATATGTGTGCGCATGTGAGAGGGAGGAGAAAGAAAGAGGAAAAATGTAGTTATAGGAAAACAGTTTGAAGTTGTCAGGCTGAAAGAGTGACCAGGTATAAAGATGAAGACATGAAGTTGCTCTTAAATGCACAAAATGAAAAGGTAGACCGTTATATCATCTTTAAAAAAAGACTTGAGTTGATTTTATTTTATATATTTTAAAGTTTGGTGTTTGTAAGGTTCTTATTATATATATATATATATATATATATATATATATATATATATATATATATAAGATACAAACACCAAACTATACAAACATACAAATATATATATTTTGCTCTTCAAGGCTGCATTTATTTGATCAAAAATATAGTAAAAATGTTTATAATATTGTGAAATATTATTACAGTTTAAATGAACTGTTCTCTATTTTTTTTATATATATTTTAAAATGTAATTTATTCCTGTGATGGCAGAGCTGAGTTCTCAGCATCTTTACTCTAGTCTTCAGTGTCACATGATCCTTCAGAAGTCATTCTAATATGCTGATTAGCTGCTCAAGAAACATTTATTATTATTATCAATGTTGAAAACAGTTATGCTGCTTAATATTTTTGTGGAAACTGTGATACATTTATTCCCTCAGGATTCTGATGAATAAAAAGTAAAAAAAAACATAATTTATTTTAAATAAAAATCTTTAGCAAAATTATAAATGTCTTTGTTGTCACTTTTAAGGTGTCCTTGCCGAGTATTAATTTCTTCAACAATAAAAAAGACGTACCCCACGGTAAGATTTCATATGGCAATAAAAATTGTATTAATTACAAAGCATCATGGTTAAGTCATTATTTTCCATTTTGCGATAAAGTTCAGCCCTATTTTAAATTGAATATAAAGTTTTTATTCATATTACTGATGTTCACAATGTATTTATCATGATCAAAATCATCCAAGCTCTAGAAATGAATTCATATTTTTACATGCTTTTTTTGACATTAAAGCTAAGGATAATAAGGGACTAATGTTTAATAAAGGTGACTCCATCCAAACCTTATCTCTCACCTGTCAGTCAGAAAGGCACAGATGAGGTCCTTGGCTTCCTTTGACAATTCCATATCATCTGGGAAAGTTAAGCGGTTTTTATGATCCATGATCTTTCCATAGGTTCCCACTAGGGACTCAGCATAAAATGGTGTGTCACCTGCCCAAATCAACAGAAGAATGAATATGTAGGATGGTAAGAATAGTGAGATGAGATTACAGGAGACAGGAAGATACAGATGAAGTTGGTGCTACTCACCCACTAGCAGCTCATAAATGAAAACGCCAACAGACCACCAGTCACACTCGCGGCCATAGTAACCCGTCCCTCCTTGTGACATCAAAACCTCTGGTGAAATGTAATCAGGAGTCCCGACAGCAGTGTCACAGCGGACCATACCAGTCTAAACACACATACAGATACATATATAATAATTACATTATATAGATTGGTTAAGATAAAGTTTCTGTGTTGTCTGTGCATATTAAGCTGAAATATAATAAGTATTTCAAAAGATATATATACATTTCCGCTTTAAAAGCACCTTATAAACAGTGCTGGGAAGATTGCTTACAAATTGTATTCTGTTACTAAATACAAATTACAGAATCGATTACATTACACCTTTTAGGTAATATAATCTGCCTACTTTTGACAAAAGTTGTTTTTCACATCGATTTGAATATGATATCTTGTATCATATTAATATAAAAATACAGAAAGAAAGAAAATATTACATTTTTGTAATCAACAACGAGTGCATTAAATATTACACCAAAGATTCCCAAACTACTTATTTTATAATTCAAACAATAATTAAAATGTGTTTGTCGGAAGTTGATTAGATATGCAGTGTTGCAAATTTGAGAAAATGCCATAGAAGTGAATATTATCTGAAAATCCAGTAGTCAAATGCTGTGGCCTCTCAAATTACCATGTAATAATAGCCACGCAACTAGTGACTGGTATGTGTGTGCAATTCCCTAAAAGTAATTTTTAAAAAGATGAAAAAGAAAAATGGAGAATCAATAAATAGAAAAGGTTTTGCTATGCTACAATTTTGAGATTCATGAATCATGTAATCAATAAAAAGTAACTGTAGTCTGATTATTAGTATAATCTAATTACAAGCATTTAATTTTTGGAATCTGATTACAAAATCCAGATTACATATAAATAGTTACTCCCCAGCACTGCTAATCTACTGACAATGTTATTATAATTCAGGCTGCACTATATGATCTCTCCACAAGATGGCAGCACTGACATAATTCTAAGAGCATGGGGGGATTTCTGCAAAGTAATTGCAAGATCTTTTTAAACAGGTTTCCTGAACAGCTTTGTCTTAAAATTGTCAATGCACACTACAATCCTGCATACTGCACAATTTGAAACGTAGACCCTCTCTTTCTCTCTCCTGCACACTCAATTACATAAACACACATCAGATACACTTATCACAAGCCAGGACACACCGAGTCCATCTTCATGCATGTTCCAAAGTCAGCGAGTTTAAGGTGTCCGTTACGGTCCAGCAGCATGTTGTCTGGTTTAATGTCTCTGTGGATAAAGCCCAGAGAATGAATAGCGTCTAGTGCCAGCACCACTTCTGCTGTGTAGAACCGAGCCCACTCCTCTGGGATGTCATAGTTACTGGTCAGAGTCACCAGGTCTCCACCGGGCATGAACTCCATCACCAAATAGAGGTACTTCTCATCTTGGAAAGCACAGCACAGCTATGTGGACAGAAAGAGTGAGGTGAACAGAGGTGTCATAATACCAACAAAAGTTGGTACCAATTGTGAAATATATACAACAGTGATATTAAATAGTCACTAATAAGCTACTGAACACAGTCCTTTATTTAATAATAATTTTGTTAATAATAATATAATAAGTAATCACAATTGGGAATAATATATTTTAATATTAATATTAACTACATTTAAATAAATATTTCAATATATACATGATAAAATAAATATTATAAATATAAAATTAAATAAAAAGAGGGGCATGTAGTCTTCAAGTATCAATTCTTGATAAACAGTCCATAATACAGAACACATTTTGTTTATTAATATTACCAGCATATTAACATAACAGCAGCCATTCTGTAAGGCTTCAAAGTCTAATGAACAGATCTTAAATTTATCTTTCTTAGTTTCTTACGTTTCTCTTGCCTATTTATATTAGGACATAACTGACCATCTTTATAGGACTACAACATACACAGGTGCATCCTCTGAGGGGCAAGCATTCAAAAACAGCCACCTGTCAGTCAGATAGCACTAAGTCTTGCTTTACATTTTTGCAGTTTATTATGAACTTAGTGAAGTGCTGGTAATTTTGGCATCCCTAGAGGTGATTATTTACTTAGTACTTAGCACTCATGGTATCCACTATCGTTTTTCAGTTTGTTGAGTTATCAGATAAAGATATTAAACAACCAAACTAACCATCCTCAATTACACAATACAAAAAATTTGAATCCCACCTGAACTATCCAAGGACTCTTGGAGAATGCCATGATGTCACGCTCCTCCCAGAAGAAGGCAGAGTCAGAGCGCTTGACCATCTCAAACTTGCTGAGCTGCTTCATGGCATACACTTGTTGAGAAGCCTTGTGTCGTACCTACAGGCACATATGTTCATTATCAACAAACATTTATATAAACCCTTGAAGCAACGTGCATTCTGCAATATGCTGTTTAACACATATTTCTAAAAGTCTTTTATGTATCTCACTGTGATGTGTAACTGAACACTTAATTTTTACAATGCATGTATAAGCGCCACATAATGCTCTATCATTGATAAATATTTATAAAGACTGACTATCAGCTTCCTAAAAGAATAAAATAGCTTGTGCCTATGCCAAGGACACAAAAGCATACATGCTCTGTGTTGTTGTAGGTAAGTAGGATCAGGCAGAACATGTGCGTACAAGCCTAACAGGCATTAACATACACACAGACAGACAAGGCTATGCCTGAAAACAAACAGCAGATAACAGGGGCAGACTCTCACATAAACACACACCCACACAACTTTCTGAAACACATTCACTAACCAGCTGCACTGCGCCAAAAGCTCCACGGCCAATCAGTTTGACTCTTTCGAAATCATCCAGCTTCACCTGTAGTTCCCTAAGGCAGCACACAGCCTTTTCATCTAGAGATATTAGACAACACATATTATATGAATGATGTTTATCATTTAATTATAAAAAACATTATACCAGGGTCAAAAAAATAATAAATCCCCAATTATTTAATTAAAATGGTTTCATTTATCAATTAAATTTAAAATAGAAAAAATTTATTCCTGATAGTTTTATAATATAATTTTATAATATACTTTTAGGCAAACAATACTTTTAAGAAAACAATTTCTCTTAAACTAATTTCCAGGGGTCAAATAAAATTGATAAAATTATAGTGTCTGATTCTGCTTGACTAGTGAATTTAATAGATTGTTTTTTAATGGTAGAAAGCACAGTGGCCAAAGGAGGCTGATAAAAGTTCATATATTATTTTACTTGTAATATAATATATACTATACATACTAATATATGCTATTATATATATATATATATATATATATATATATATATATATATATATATATACACACTGTAATAATGATGCATATTGCTTTCTGAAATTAAGTGAACTAAAAAACAATTAAAGAACTAATTTTATACAATATTTACTCAAAATAACTAAATACAAATGAAAGAAAATTACGTGTTAACAAGACTGTCAGTAGCGTTTGGATATGTATTGATATATCCATGTATTGCTATACCAATATATATATACAGATACACAGGCTGATCTATAAAAAAAATATGCCAGAAAAAATATTAAGCAATAAGTTAATTTTTTTATATATAAAAATAAATTAATAATTAAAGAGACTTACATCTGTTTAAGAAGGCATCTATGTTTTTGTTCTTTCTCAGTGCGGGATGGTTAAGATCAAGGGCCAGGGCAGTTACTGAATCCTGCAGAAGACAAGAGGAAAGAGAATAATAAATAAATAAACAAACACTTAGGATATAGTTCTTATTTAACTCATATACACACCAATTTCTGTTGCTACTATGGGCTTTCCTCTTTATTCACAGAGCTAAAAATACACTCTTCAGAGGGAGTTCATTACTCTCCTTTAATCCCTGAACTAAGCTCACTCTGACAGACAGTACTGTTGTGTCATTTATCGTTGGATAGAAATCCAAAAATGTTAGGCCTGTATAGCCACCTTTACAGTTAGAATTAAGTAACTGTATTCTTATAAATTACTTTAGAAAATTAATGATGTGAATGATGTGAAGGATCCTGGAAATGACCTTACATACCCCTCCAAACACACAAAATGACACTGCAGAGCTAAAAATACAAAGACACACAAACCCCCATCCCCCAAACATTCCCCACCCAAACACTTCCATTTGCTCGAGCCAACATCATAAACAAGTTGGCGGCCCAACATAAAAGGTTAATAAGGGTGTATTGCTGCAGCTGGAAAAAGAAAAACAGATAATCCAGGGCTCAACAGAAAGAACAGTTCAATCGTACGGGGCTAATGTGAGAGAGTTTCAGGCCAGTCGACGGAACTGCGTTATATCACTGCATCTTACATTCGTTCACCATGTACATACACAAGCTTTCAAAGTCTGGGGTCAGTAAGACTTTATTTTGTGAAAGAAATTAATTCTTTTATTTAGCTAGGATACATTAAATTGATCAAAAGTGAGAGTAAAGACATTTATTATTTAATTGCATATAATTAAATATTTATATTAATTATATATTAATTATTCAATAATTATTATTGCTGCCTTGGTAAGCGCAAGAGACTTTTTTCAAAAACACATTAAAAAAATCTTACCGACCCCAAACCTTTGAACGGTAGTGTACGTTATATACCTTGAAAACATTATTACATGAATTATGTATTACATGAATTCTGCTTCCGTAACAAAAATCAGCACACTCATACAAACCAAAAACACACACTGCACAATTAACAATGACAGAATCCTGTTTTCCCTGTACCAAGAGTCAGTCCACAATACAGTGTTCAAAAGTGCAAACACACTCAACGGAAGCTGGACCCAGCTATCTCTCTCCTCAATAGAAGGATGTGACCTCAGCTTCCTGTATGACATTTCCCCTGGTAGCAGCACAGCAGGACAATGAGTCTGTATCCAATTTAGATCATTAGTCATTATAAAAAAAAGTGCCCATAGTTCAGTTGCATCACAAATATTACAATGAAACTAGAACACAGTGCTAAATGACTTCAGCGTCAGAATGAGTTAGTGATGTTGATATCATAAACTAAAATGGAGCTGCTTTGTCTGACAACCATGACTTGGAAGGGCATGGGATGGAAGATAGGATATAATAAGCAGATGAGGTGGTGAGTGAATGTATTTAAGTAAACGTGCTGAAGAACGAACCAGCTGGGAGTTAGTTAGGTCTTTCCCTGGGCCTCCCATAGCCAGAGTATGATGCGCACACACACACACACCAAAAATACACCCAATCCCTCCAGTGCTTGTTCAAAGATAGCTATCATTTTCCATTAATAAAACAGCATAGAACACTACCTAACCAGAGATTTAAAAGGGTTTGTGTGTGTATAAATATGTATGCATGTATGAGTGCCAAGTTTATTTTCATTAATAATTTGAATTAGTTTGCACTCACACTGGCTGATACAGTAAGTTGTCTTGAACTCATACTGACACCTAGTGGTGTGGATGCAGCATTAGTCAACAAAAGGTTTTAGGTACTGATGATGGCACTGAACTAATGTGCTTCAGTGAGATGACGTGTCCAATAACAGGGGGCTTTTTAAAACGGCTTCCTTGTAATAAATGCACTGTAAGATTTTGATAGTTCTGCACTGTAACGAATCATCCAGTGAAAGCAGGGCGTGCCAACTTTCAGTCTTGCTCAAAAATGCAGTGCTTGTCTGGAATGAGGGTTTTCTTCTGCAGAGGAGAATGTTGGGTAATAAGGTGAGAGAATGCACTCTTTGATGGGAATTGACAATAGGAGCACACATTCTAGTCATTCTCACCCTGTAAAGCTTGCTCGACAAGTCCTCACATTTCACCCTAACCCAGTTATTGATTACACATGCATGGTGTCTTCACACTTCGTAAAGTTTCTTCCTGCTCTCTAATGATATGTGTGTATAATTGAAAACAAGTGAAGTCTGACACTTTAGCTGCTGTATTTTGGAGAAAATATTATCATCAAAAGACAGCAACATCACTGTGGGTGTGTTGATAACATACTGATCAGAGATAAGACACAGGAACATTATCACAATCCTCTGGGACAAACATCCACTCATTTGTTTACACCCTCAACATGTAGTGCACTTTTGTTTTGTGTTGTACAACCTATACGTGTATGAAGAGCTTTCCAGTCTCTTCAATATCTTGCTGGGTGGTATATTATAGAATATAGAATATTAACATTGTTTTGTAATATTTTGTAATAATAAACAAAATACAAGTAAACTTTTATAAACATTATTTGCAATTGCCAATGTAGCCCATATTTGTAATTTAAATACCAACAATTGTATATTTGGTGTTTCCATGTGGTTGTATTCATCTGTTTTACGTATAGACCTGATTCCAACCATCTGGTACCCCCTCATTTTGTGACAGCAGAATCACATGATTAAGATATCTCTACATTTAGAGCATCTCTGTTGATTTACATATGCACTAATTAAGCTTGATATTCTGGTAAAGTCTTTATTCTAAAATTAAGATTCTGCTCCACAGCTCTTTTAAAAATTCTTGTGCACATGTAATCATCATATTCTGAACGAACATGCAATTGCATTCTGGAAATACCAGCTCTTGCTATTACTGTACATTTTAGTCATTTTGGATTGAATTGAATCAACTCGTTATTATTGACAAAAATGTCATGAGAAAAATGTAGGCCAAGATATTTCTTATAATGTTTGTAAAATTCTAATAAAAATAAAAAAATAAAAAAACTTTCCTTCTCACTGCAAAAGTGTTGTTCTTCAAAATCTTCTCTTTTTTTACTGTATTTACCAGAATTAATATTATTAATTAATATTTATTATTCAACTGACGTGATTTCAACAACCTGCACTGGGGCCTGTGAATAATTATTCTAAATATGGTGTTTACATGATCCAAATGTCAGCAGCAGTCTCATTTTATATATATTTTTATAAACAACAGTATATGTTATGGCAATCAAATTGTGTTTGTAGAATCAGAATATGACCAAATTAAGATTAATATCACAGTTTGTAAAAGCAAAGTCATGTTACTTCCAGAACAGCAAAACCTCCCATGTCCTAGATGATGTTAGTTACAATGTGAACAAAAAAAAAACATTTGCTTTTGTATAGCATCCCATTATTCTATAACCTTACCAGCAAACTCTCCAAATTCAACGCTGATCGTTGGTCCTTGATGATTGACTCCAGTTTTCTCACCCGAGTTTCTAGTCTCGTTCCTGCTCCGGTCGACATTGCGGCAGTTCAGTGTAATGAAGGTCCCGGTAAACATCAGATTGCGGACTTCAAACGTCCGAATCAAACTTGTCAGTACCTGCCGTACCTCAACGCGACGCTTTATGAAAGCTCACCGGTTCTGGATGAATGAGTTCTTTACCCAAAGACTTCATACATTGCATAAATATATTGAATACAGTTGTCGTGTGTCCTTTCCTAGGATCCTAAATGACAGTGGCGTTCCGCGTGCTACTGCCAGCATATGAAATCAAAGGTTAGACCCACGCGTTCAGGAAGCAAAGTGTTTCTCCCGCTCCGGTTCAGGGGGGAAAACCCTTCCGTGTACGGTCCGTGTTTTTTACAGTATATGGTTGAAAATCACACGCTTGATATTCCTGACTCTTTATTATTAGTAGGCTAGTAGTAAATTAAGCAGAGAACATGTAGCCTATGTAAATCTGATTGGCGTGTTTCTTTGTTGCAGCGCGTGTCCCTCCCCTGCTGCCACTGGAATTCTTTGGATCTTATCTCAGCCATCGCTTTTACCAGCCAAACGTCACTCCCTAAATACGACCCGCGATATACTACACTAGATATATTTAGACGGTTACATGTATTTTTGACGCCATGTGTAAGAGTGAATTTATATTAGAGACTCCTTTCATGTGCGTTTCGTAAATGTACTGTGGTGTAATTCAGCACTGAAATTCTGTGTTGCTTAATGTCAAACATAAACAGCTCTCGACCCATCATGGGCTATTTAAATATTTTTTCATGTAAACATATATTTTTTTAATCATCCTCTTTGTTAACTATTATTTTATGGGAACCTATTTACCTTATCTAATTCGTTTTTAGAGGCATATTGTTAACCATATAGTAAAAATGTCATCCACTGTTGTCCATTCTCAATAATTTCTCTGTTAAAACCATGAGTGAAAGTATGCTATAGAGGCCACCCTAAATAAAATCTGTGTATGACACCCATATTAAACCCCATGTGGGGCCCCTATTGACATGTTAGCTAATATTTTATTAACTTGTTACTCTCTGTATTAGCCTTATTGATGCTATGTCTATGAGGACTGGACACAGTCATTATAGTGTTGTGTCAATGGAAAACAGCTGACACAGCAGAAGATCATAGACACATGATGTCACATAATGTCTCTATCAGCCAACAGCCGCTGATTACTGCTAAAGAAAAAAAAACTCAGATTAAAAATAAGTCTGAAATTGAAGGCTAATTTTGTCATGCATGCAGGTAACTATCTAGGTCTATATATAGTAACATAAAATGTATCTGGTTTTGTTCATGTAAATAATTAATGATAGGTAGATGATATTCTTCTGGGAACAACACCCACCTCTGGCACACGTCTTAATGTGAGGAATGAGGAAGTATTGTTGTAGTCTGTCTCAGAAAAGTGTCCCGTGCACTCCCCAGGGTTTAGCTTGCTTAATTCATGTCTATGGACTAGACTAGAGACCACTGCCATAATAAAGCATTAACTGACCTTAAAAATCAGCTAAAGGAATTTATATTTTACTGCTTCTAAAATCTGTTTTACAATGATCTGCATTGTAGTTAGTTAGTTAGGGGGGAGGGGAGGGAGGGAGGAGGGGGGTGGATATGTTTAAGCATACCCCATTCAAATTATGAATAAATAAAATTATGAATAAAAGATCTATCTATCTATGTGGTTAGAGTGTTAGTGCTTTTAACTATCACCTTTTTAAAGATAAATTAATTAATTGCCAGTCAGCCGCGAACCCTCAACACTGGCATCTGGTGGTCATATTGAATGAGTTCATATTTAAGCAAATATGAAAACGCTACTGGCAAATTTATTGTTAAAACGTAAACACGTATCAGTCCTCATATAATTTCTGGAGAAATTGTACAGTTATTGGGTAAGCCCACGTCCACTTAATAAAAAGCTCGTCAAAATCTCTTTTCTCTGTTTTGTTGTGGGCTGGTTGTCATGACACCGTTCAACACAAGAAGTGCGGGCAGAAATGGAGGTTACATTCTGTTGCTAGAGTCACTATTATAAAGTGAGTAAAATCATTGAACAAATAGAATATTTAACGTATCGAAGCATATAGGATTACAGAAGCACGCATTAGATTTTTTTTTATTGAAATGTTTTATCTACTCTAAATGTCGGATGATAATTAACGATGATTGGATAGGCTACTGAAGTTGATAGTTTGACCAAACTGAAACAAAATTATAGTTCTGTATTTCTGCTTTACAGTAACATACCATGTCATCCACTGTCTCGAATGCGTCTAACCCGTTAGTGGATAAACTCATCGAGGATGAAGCAGAGAGAGAGATTCTACTCTCTAAGCCAACATGTTTTATCATCATTGGAAAACCAGTGAGTTTCCAACATGCATAATTATTTCTCAATCGTGAAAGTAAATATTTCTCAGTGAAAACAAATAATAGTATTTAAACAATATGATATAACAGTATTAATTTGAATGTTGTGTGTTACAGTGTGTGATTATTTTTTATTTTCAGGGTGTTGGCAAATCTACCCTAGCCAGAAAATTAGCCAAGACTTGGAATTGTATCCTCATTGATGGTAAATAAAGTACCTCATTTAATGCCTCAATGCCATTACTACAAATGGACTTTCTGAATATTTGTATTTCTTATCCATTTTAGATACAGATCTTCTCAACAGCCACATCAATAATGAGACTGAACAAGGTATACAGGTGTGTATCACTATTGTTTATTTATATATTTGATCATACTAGAAATAACTGATTCCCTGCAAACAATTCTAGCAGTGTCAAAAAACCAAATGTGTTTCAGCTCTTTAAGATTCTGGCTGAAGGGAAAGCTGTTCCAGAAGAGATGATGGTCCAGGTAATTGTTGGCCGGCTAAAGTCACCTGATGTAGAACACTACGGTAAGGATAAGAAACAACTAAAATAACATAATTTAATAAATAATTGTTTTAAAATCTGTTCATATATATTTGTAATGACTTGTTTGAATGGTGGTTGAGCAGGTTATGTCCTGGCCTGTTTGCCATCAATTTCAGAGGATTACCTAAAGATACAGGAGCAAATAGACCTGATTAAAAGCCTCGGAATGCCACCAGACTTCATCATCAACATCAAGGTTTTTCATAATCTTAATACTATCTATACTGTTCTGAATTTTAAGATAAACACTCTATATTTCATATATTAGCAGCCATACAAATTAATTATATTGTTTTTGTTGTGCTGTTTTGCCATGTTTTTGCAATGCTGACATTGTGCGGTTATATTCACTTCTGTATAAACACATAAATGTAAAGTGATTGACACTGAATGTATGTGTGCAGTGTGCAGACAGAGACCTGATCCACAGGCTATCAGGAGAGCGTCAACATCCGGAGACAGGCCGTGTGTTCCAGAAGGAGAAGTGGGACCCTGTGAAGAATGAGTCAGTCATAAAAAGCAGCAGCATAGAAGATGAGGAAGAGGAAGAAACAGAGGATCTGGAGGAAGAGGTAATACTTAAGCAGTGTCTTAAATGACGTACTGTACACTATGCACTTACCATATTGTATGGATTTTATATGTTTTTTTTGTCATTCAACTTCGGAGTCTGATGGAGTCTGCATAAGGAAAGATGTGACAGTTGTGCATGAAGTCATGCACAGCAGTGCTTGAAGTGTCCAACATTCCATGCTTTTTTCTTTCTTTTCTTTTTTTGGTTAATTAGGTGCATCCAGGTATTTGAAATGCACTTTTTCTTTTTGGAATTTTCAGGGTGAGCACACTACTCACACTATTTAAATGCTAAAAATGGCATAAAACAGTGCATAATTATGTAAACTGGGATGCACCTTTAGAGCAGTGGTTCTCAACCTGTTTAACTCGAAGACCCCTCATATAGGCTCAAATATTTCTTCCAGTATTTCAGATTGTTTATTAACAAAAACTGGTATATTCATTAAAATAACCAACCACAATTAATGTTGTGATTCCAGAAGTTTCAAGAACTGTATGTTCTGCAATAAAAACAACAGTTGTTGAAGGGGGAAATAAAAAAAAGAAATATCATTGCAGTTTATTACATTTTCCTTTCATTTTTTAGCATTTATGAAGTTAGATTATTTTATTACATAATCATAAATCATTAAAATAGATTAAAATATTATTTTATTTATAACTTTAAGTTGGGTGGCCCTATTTGTTTTTGTAAGTTTGCTACAGCCCCTTGATTGAGAACAACTGACAAAAGTGACAGGAATGACAAAAGTGGAAATTGAGTACAGTATATTATTGTCGTTATTTATTTCCTAGACACTTTACCAAAGCACTGTTTAAATTGTATTTACAGTAAGTTGTTTCAAAAGTTACTACTTCATGTTTCATGGATGCATTCAGAATTGACCAGTTTTGAAAGTCTGTGCACAAATGGCTAAATGCAATTAAAAAATGTGTGTTTAAGATGGAAGAGATAGAGCTACAGAAGGACATGATCACACAACTAGTAAGAGTGATCGAGAATTACCCAGAGAATGCCAAGAGCAGGATCGTGCGCTATAAGGACACCATCCTCAGGCCTCTAGAGGTAATGGCACCTATTACACACACCTGAATACACATTATTATTGAAACAGAGAAGTTATACTTATGCTTGATGTGTAGGATTACATGGCAGACCATAATCCCCCATATTTATTTGAGCTGGATGGAAACAAGGATCCAGAGGAGCTCTTTGAGGTGGGTGCCCTCCAACAAGCTGTAATGCCGAAAGGCCTGTTCACACCAGGGATAATAACTATAAGATTTTAATAACTGCTATAATTCTATTAGAATAATGTAGTCCACACCACCACTATAACAATAATAATACAGGGCAACAATATCGTTGCAATAATTTTTTTCCAGCTGATGAATGATAAAAACATTGATAGCCAATCAGAAATCATCCTTCTTTAAAGACCTTGAGCATCTAAATGTCACGATACGGTGGTAGGAGCGAGTACTCAAATGCAGGTCAGGGTTTAATTTCTTTATTAAATAATAAAATAAAACAAACAACAAAAACTACCCCGAGGGGGAGGGGGGGAACGACTTGACGCGACGCACAAGTCAATGATTTGGCGACATACCATGACCAACAAAGACGATCCAGCACAAGACAGCAAACACAATGAAAAGAATTAGGGAAGCAGCAAGGCAGGTAACAAGGGAGAGCAGGTGGGACAAATGATTAAATCAGAAGCAAAGGAGGCAGGCAACGAGGGAGAGCAGGTGGGAAAAACTAACCAATAAACAGATAACAAGATGGGTGGGGCTACACAATAGACAGCCGAGCACATGGCATGGGGAAGCATGCAGGAAGCCATGTGCTTGCACCAAATAGACAAAACACACCTAAACAGAAGGGCATATTGTCGTGCTCACAACAAGACAAGACACAAGCAGTGTCAGAGCTCTGTCACCAAACCAAGAATAAACAGACCGAAGTGACAGAACCCTGACACTAAAGCGACAGCTACGAAATAATTGCTGCTTATAATAAACAGATCGTTATAGTGACATGATATACCTGTATAATGTAATAATACAGAATTTTCCAATTGCCTGTGCACAGTCAGTAATGTCTCGTTTGGAGTCCATGGCTGTGAGGTGTCCAGCTGTGCCTGTGCGTTTGATGCCGACAGAGGACCCAGAGCTTCCTGATCAGATGGACATGGTCAGATACTACAAACACACACCTCTATAAAGTGGCCTACATTTGACATGCCTCTTCACCATGCCTGTTTTTGTAGGAGGAGCTGTTTCGGACTCTGTCTTCCTGTAGGAATGTCGCACCAGGCTTTCATTGGCGAAGGAGTCGATGGTCCTGGTACTGCCCGGTGGCACTCAAAGAGGGCAGGATGGTCAAGGGTATACCAGAGTTCGCCGTTGGGTTAGTGAAAATGTTTTTTTTTATACATTAAAATACTTCAATGTGAGGGGCCACATTTTCTCTCTTTTCTCCCCATCAGCTTCATGGATAAGATCTACATCCTGTCATCTCAAAATGCTCTGCAGAAATTCACGGCGAACCCTCATTGCTACCTGCTGCCACCCATACCCCACTTGCCTTGCAGGGTGTCCGTGATCGGCCCACGATGCACAGGAAAGAGCACAATTTGTGCACTGCTAGCAGAGTATTATGGTGCTGTAGTGGTAGATGTTGAGGCACTGATGGAGCGTACACGGAGTATGTTCACACAAGACATGTTGGACAAAGTCCGTCACGACGCCACCCTTGCAGGCCTGGAGAAGGTCAGAGCCAAGATGCAGCATGAGGCTACAGATGCATCAGGTTTGAAAGGTTATGAGGATGCCAGCTTGGTAAATCTACCAAACAATAAGCTCCATGGCATGATAGAAATAACTTTTAAAGCATTCTGGGACACCTTTGAGATGTTTTTTCTCCATTTTTGTAGGTAATCTGACAACCAATGAGGGAGAGTTTGATGAAACTTACTCAGGTGAGGTCAATCCATGTTCTGTGTTCATGTATGTTCTGTGCTTTAACATTTTGTTAACTGTTATCGTTCACATCATTTTTATATACACACATGAAATAAATTAAAATGGTACTAAGTTAAATAGTAATTCAGTGGTTACAGAGTGTTAAAAGGTATGGAGGGATATGGTGAAGGGAAAAAAATAGGCAAATTTATTTATATAGCACATTTCATACACTATGGTAATTCAAAGTGCTTTAAACAAAAAGGAATCATGAGATGGAGGAAATTTAGTTGTCAATGCATTTGCATTCACCCAGGAAACTTTGCGTTCCCTCCTATTTTTTTTACAGTCTATGGTTTCCTCACAAAAACGTATGCAAAACATTTGCAAGAGAACACGAAAGCATTGACTTATTATTTTCCCTCCCATCTCATATTTTTTTCCACCACCATGTCCCTTTAGGGGCTCCGTAAAAGGGTTAGTTCACCCAAAAAGGAAAATTCTGTCATCATTTACTTACAGTATTTCCGTGTCATTCCAGTCCCGTAATAGCAAAACTATTTAAATGAAAACTGAAAATATAAAAACAAAAGCCAATCCAAAATATTAATAAATACATAAATAATACTAAAATAACACGTAATGTGTCATTTTACAGCAATAGAGGTGACAGAAGATCATCCAGATGTTCAAGCTCTTGTGGAGGAAGCTATGAAGGAAGCAGCAGAGTCTCCAGTCACAGCTTCACGGGAGCTTTATTTGGAGGCCCTGAAGAAGCACATAAGAGAGGTAGACTGCTGTGCTGCCACCCTCACCTCTCATACTTACGTAGAACAATATTATTTGTGTTTTAAGAGTGCCTGTGGGTTGTCAGATTGAGACTGAAGATGTGGATTCTGAATTTAAAAGAGGATGGATACTGGACAACATTCCCAGCAGTAGATCACAGCTGATCACCATTGAGGAACTACATGGTGCTATAACACCTGAGGTCCTATTCTGTCTGCAAGACAATGGTGGAGAGGGTGAGAGAAAGACATGTATTGGCATATATACTAAATAACCAAAAAAATTTTGGTCATTTTTTAGTTCTGATTTTGACATCAAAGGATACAGCCTATGCTTGTTTAGGCCATTAAGTCCACTTGATTGTGATGGTCACTGGTCACTTGTTGTTTATTGAAGGAAGGACTGTACTAACCAGGATGTATGAACAGAATAAGGAAGAGGTGGATCGAGCGGTGCTGGCTCGCCTAAAGAAAGATAGGAAACTGCATAAGACACAAGACAATCATGAGACACTGTAAGTGCAGCTAATATAAGGGCCCAGTTTCAGAAAATATACAGTGGGGATTCAAAGTTTGAAACCACTGGAGAAATGCTTCTATTTTGTTTTCAATTAAAAATTATATTATCAGCATACTTTGAATATTATTGATTCTAAATATTTGAACGTTAGTGTACGTGAAATTGAGACTCCCAAATGTCAGATGTTTGGATCTTGCATCTAAAAAGATCTCAAAAACCTGTGGAGAAAAATCAAACACATTGTTGATTTTCATGGTTTCATGTTGGAAAGTGGTGGTTTACTTTTTCGTGTGATTCGATTCTTTTTTTGTTGTTGCAGGAAACCGACTGAAGCCTCAAATAAAGACTCACAGCCTATTGACACCCAGCCAAAACTCGAGACATTGATTGAGGAGTCAGGTAGTACTCTTTCACATCATTGCATTGCTGTGCATTAACATAATGTTGAACTCTGCTCAACCTTACAGTATTGTCTTAGGTCTTAAAGGTATGAATACTGTATGTGTTAAAACATGTTTTGATAAATAATTGATATGTATTTACAGAGAGTTCTGATAAGTCTGATGATGAAGTAAAAAATTTAAATGATGAAGGTTTGTAGTCTTATTATATATCTGTATATTTTTCCTTTAACTCTTACTTTTCCTTTACTTGAGTGTCAGTAATGGTTTCATGACTTCTTCTGCAAGGAATATATTTTTGCATATCTGCTTATGTCTGGGTGTACAGAGGTGGTACTTCCAACAGTGTGGGAAAATGGTTATCCTGACGGCCCAGAGATGGATGCCTTTAGTGTTCAGCTGAAGCAGTTTGTGGCAGATTGGGAAAGCATGGAGCATACCATCACCTGCAGCTATGTAATACTGGACATCACCAACAAAACACCTCAGGACATTCTCCAAGAGATGATTTACCATATGGAGAGTACGTAAAGTGGACTGTCTGTCTGTTTCATACTCTCTAAATTAGAGTCACACCCTCTCATTCACTATATCTTTTCTGTTCTGTCTTTCCCTCTCTAAATTTCTCTCTTAGAGCCATTCAAGTACACAGCTTGGAGGATATCCAGTGCAGATCTGGAGGAGGAAGAGGCTATGAATGCGCAGGCACAGGTTGAGAAACAAGATGATGCTGATGAAGAGGAGGAACAAGAATCAGAGGTTACACATCAATAATCCAGCACTGAACCTTCTCAATTATTTTACTTCAATGAAAGATTTGATTTTTGCAATTTTTTTTAATGAAAGATCAAAAGGATAAACAATGCAGATTTATTTTTTACAGCCATTTTTGATCATATTTACCAGGGGCGCTATTAATTCTGACCACAACTGTACATAATACAGCAGTAAAATGGTTTGTGAATATCATTTCATGTTGATTACGGCATTAGGAGCTGTTCGCACAGGACACGTTCTTGCATTCAAAAACAACTAGGTGCAGCATTGCTGAATAGAATGGAATAAAATAGAAAATAGGTGTCTCAAACACGGAACTAATGTTGTAAGACAAATTGCAGCAGTCAGAGACATCCATACAGAGCATATTTACTTCCGAAACATCATTAGCTGCTTCTCCACCGTTGGGCCAAACCGTTCTCGTTGCTTAACCTTTCCATTCCGTGCCGATCCGGTTCAGCCGGTATGGATATGGTTTCATTTTCAACTGTGGGGCTGATAACAGAGCTCTTTGGAATGTAATACAAATGTGTCAGTCATTGCCTTGGTAACTCATACAATTTCCAGACTGTATGAGATGTAAATAAGCCAGCCAATCCTGAGTGGTGATGTCACTAGACGGATTGTACCAGCACGGCTCAGCATGGAATTCCGGCCAGGGAACAGTTTGTAATTTTGCTGAGTCAAAACAAGCTTAAGTGGAAATGTAACCGTTCCGTGTCATTCTTAGAACCGTTCGGCCCGACGGTGGAAAAGCGGCTTTTGTCCGCCGAATCCCTTTTTAAAATATTTACTTGAAGTACCCCCTAAGATATTAGGTTAATATTTCAATAATGTAACACATTTGCATGTCAAGTCAAGTCAAGTCAAGTCAAGTCAAATATATTTATATAGCGCTTTTCACAATACAGATTGTATCAAAGCTGCTTCACAGTATCAATCAAAACAACTTAACAGTGTTTGTTTATTACTGGAAAAGACATCCAAGTTTGGTAGAGCTGATCAGTGGTATGATGGGTCATTTAATTTGAATATCCCCAACTGAGCAAGCCAAAGGCAACAGTGGCAAGGAACCGAAAAACTCCATCAAGTGACCCGATGGTGTCCTAAAACTCCATCAGATGACCCAATGGAGAAAAAAAAAACCTTGGGAGAACCCAGGCTCAGTCGGGGCCAGTTCTCCTCTGGCGTTTATGAAGTAGAGGCCGAATTTACAGTAACTGTAAGATAAAAAATGTATATGAATGCCTGGCTAAATAGATGCGTCTTTAGTTTAGTTTTAAACTGGGAGAACGAGTCTGAGCAACGAACAATATCAGGAAGGCTATTCCAGAGCTTCGGAGCTAAATGTGAGAATGCTCTCCCTCCTTTGGTGGATCTGGATATCCTAGGAATGACCAGAAGCCTCGAATTTAGTGATCTTAAAGAGCGCGATGGATTATAGGGTGATAGAAGATCCGTTAAATAGACTGGAGCTAAACCATTTAGAGCTTTACAAGTCAAAAGCAAGACCTTGTAATTAATACGGAACTTTATAGGTAACCAATGAAGTGATGATAGAATCGGTGTTATATGATCATATTTTCTTGATCTAGTAAGAACTCTAGCGGCTGCATTTTGGACTAACTGTAGCTTGTTTATTGAAGATGCAGGACAACCAGCTAATAAAGCATTACAGTAATCTAGTCTCGAGGTCAGGAATGCATGAACTAACTTTTCTGCATCAGAGACTGATAGCATATTACGTAGCTTAGCAATGTTTCTAAGGTGGAAAAAGGCTGTTTTTGTAACATATGAAATATGTTTTTCAAAACACAGGTTGCAGTCTAATGTAACACCCAGGTCTTTTACTGTAGCGGATAAAGTAACAGGGCATCCTAATATGTTAAAGTCGTGCTGTGAAAGGTTTTGTGGACGGTTTTTAGAACCGATAAGTATTACCTCTGTCTCTGTCATCCAATCTTTTATATCTTTAACACAATCTGTCAATTTGGATAATTTAGCGTATTCATCTGACCGTGATGAAATATATATTTGAGTGTCATCGGCATAACAATGGAAACTAATTCCATGTTTCCTTAGAATATTACCAAGTGGCAGCATATATATTGAGAATAATAAAGGGCCTAACACAGATCCCTGCGGCACTCCATAGTTTGCCGAAGTTACGATAGTTTTTTCTCCATTTAAGTAGACGAAATGGAAGCGGTCAGATAAGTATGACCTGAACCAGCTTAATGCTTGTCCTTGAACACCAGTGTAATTTTGTAGTCGATCTAAGAGTATTGTGTGATCTATAGTATCGAACGCAGCACTAAGATCGAGTAAAACTAGTACTGAGATACAGCCTTGGTCCGAAGCTAAAAGTAAATAATTTGTGATTCTAACAAGCGCAGTTTCAGTGCTATGATGTGGAAGCATGTTCACGGTTCTCTGATGTTGATTAATGGTTGCAAGACATGCGTGTAAATAAATATTTATTACGGTATTATATTATTTTAATTGTTTTTAAAATGAACTATTTCAATTTAATTAAATATTATCTTTTCATCAATTCAACTTATAAAAATAGAGCAGACCGATGTTAGAACACTTACTGTGTGAACAACCTGTTACTGATTCTTAGAATATCATACCACTCTTTTGTTTATGATGGTCTCAGGAGGAAGTCAGCTTTAAGAGGCAGCTGGGAGACACCAAGCATTTTTGTCCAGTGGTGCTGAAGGAGAGGGGTACGCTACAACCTTGTCTGGATGAATATGCTGCCAAGTACAGAGACAAAGTCTATTATTTCTCCAGCACAGAGGCACAAGAAAAGTTCCTGAAGAACCCTGAACTCTACATATCTAACACACAACCATTAAAGGTATTTTTTGGGTATTTTATCAGGATAAATGATAAACCAAAAAAAAAAAAAAAAAAAAATCTTGCACAATGGCTTTAATACGCAACGATTCAGTCAACAGACCTTACTCAGGTGTCATATAAATTTTTACAAGATAAATTCATCACATATATTTCTACATCAGGATAAATGATAAAAACACACGTTGGAAAGTGACAACAAAACGTCTTCTGCATCTGTGAAAACAAATAGAAAATGACAAATATGTACAATATGTGGCAAACAATGTACATATAACACAAAGCTCTGTTTGTATGCAACCAGCCACCTGCGCTGCGTGTCTTCATGCTTGGAGTGAGAGGCTCTGGAAAGACCAACCATGGGAAGTGGCTTGCAGAGCAGCTGGGAGTTTTCCACATCCAGTTCCGAGAGCGGCTACAGGAGCTGATCCTACGGAAGACCCAGAAACATGTGTCATATGCAGATGATTCTGAACCCCCTGAGGAACCTCCAGAGGAGCTGCAGGGCCTGCTGGAGGCTCAGAGGGCTGAATCCCCTACAGACCAGCAGAACAAGACCAGTCATGAGTATACTGCATCTGATAATCCTGACACAAATGTAAGGGGGCTGTAAAGGCAAGACGTTAGAATTTTTGCTTGAATTTTGTTTGAATTTAATGCATTGGTGTGTTTGTAGGAAGAACCAGCATTTACTGATGATGAGGAGGCCATAAAGGCATACCTCCAGGATGGTGATCCTCTCCCTCCGGAGATACTGGAAATGGTTTTATTACAGTGGTGGGACCAGGAACCCTACAAGTAAATGTTCATTCACAAACACTCACTAATTCACACATGCTACCTCATAAAACAATCCAAAAAACAACAACACTTGCAGATATAGCTAAAACTTTAAATCATCAAATATTCCACCTCAATATATATATATATATATATATTTATATATATATATAAATTTGGTCATTATTTATTCACCCTCGCATCATTCCAAACCTGCACAAAAAAAAGAGGAGAAAACCTCTTTCATACAATTGCAGTTAAGGTTTGACAGCTAGATAATGAACTCATTATCAGTGTAAGCGATACTCACATTTTTAAACGGATATCATTCTTTAATATCTATATACTTTTTAAATAGTGTATCTTAATTACACAGCCAAAAACAGATAATTTATTTGAGTTATTTTAATATTATTTATTTACTATTATAGTATTTATTAATATTTTGAATTAAATTGCATTTTTATATTTTAATTTTAGTAATGTTATGTTTTTTTTGTAAATATTTTATATAGCTTAAATTTATTTTATATCAGTTTTGTTTTAGTAATATTAGTAGACCATTTTTGAGACCATTTAGATCACAAAACTTTGCATAAATATAATGGCACAAATAAAAATAATAGTAATATAATAATTTATTATTATAAATAATTATTATTAGTAGTAAAATAATCATAATGCATGTTTTTATTGGTATCATCATGTATTATTGTGTCAAAAATATACAAATAATAAAACATAATTAACAATTGATTCTGAATTATTATTATTTTTATTATCAGACATCTGTATTGTATCGGTCATAAAAAGGCAGTAATAGTCGATCTCTAATATAAAAGCCAAGTAGTCCATATGACTTGCATGCTATTTTCCAAGGGAAAAATAAGCATATGTGTATGAATGTAGGAGGCTGAATATATAGTGTATGAAAGACACAATTGTCTTTTCTTTTTCTTTTTCTGCAAAATATTCCTTAACTTTTCTCTCAGATCCACAGGGTTTATTTTGGAGGGATTTCCCCAAAGCCAAGAGGAGGTGTCCTTCATGGTGGAGCATCACTTGTTTCCAGATGTGGTGGCAGTGATGTCGGTAGAGGTGTCTGAGGTGGTGCGGCGTCTCCTGCCTTCGCGGCTCACGCGTTGGAGAGAGAGACAAGAGCGCAGGCAAGAACAAAAGCGGATGGTCATTAAGCTGCGGAGTGAACTCAGGGTGAGTGTTTAAGCGAAAATTTCAGCACTGATAAAAGGATGTAAAAATCCAAATAAGCAAAATAAACACCTGGCATTTACCGTAAAGCAGCTGAAACAAAGTTTTTGGAGTAAAAATGCATTGGTCTGTGTCAAACTGCAGGAACGGGCCATCACCCAGAGAAGGGCTGAGCTTATGGCTGAACGTGAAACCAAAAAACCAAGCCCACTCACTCTGAAGCCCTTCAAAGAACAGGTCATTGATCGCTGTCGTTGTGTCTTGCATTGGTGAGTGACTGACAGATTCTGACTGGACATTCTGTTGCTTCATCAGGAGGATGAGGTTGAGGATGACAAAGAGGTGCAAGAAGAAGCAGAGGCGATGGACGAAGAAGAGCAGGAATGGGAGGAAATGGAGGCCATACTGCTGGAGGAGTTTCCTCCTGTGGAGGAGCAGGGGGCAGAGGATGAAGAAACCGAAACTAGTGCAGAAGAGAGGCTGGAGACGGAGATCAGTCAGAGGTTTGAGAGGGATGAAAACAACCTCACCAGTATGACAGTAAGGAGAAGCTGAAAGCTTATATTATAAACAAATTTATAATGCAATTTAAGTCCTTCGGAAATGTAACTCTTGTTTAAAGTAACACCAGGTTACTTTTGCTCTCGGGGTGGGGTCCCCCTACAGTTGGGAAACAGTACTGTCCTCTAGACCTCTACTACTGTCGTAAACTCTGTCATCCTACATCATAGCTGTCAACATTGAACATTGAATATAAGGGAGATTTCCCGGAATCCATCCCCAAAATAAGGGAATTTTTTTACACGATTCTTACCCACCACAAACTTTAAAAATGAAGCACTAATCATTAAAAGTCTAAAGAGTTTGTAACTACAAATGAGTGAGAGAGAAAGAGACAGTGTGTGTGTGTATTAGAGAAAGTGTGTCATTTTTTAAACATTTTTTATCAGAGAATGTTTAAATACTAATATCAGCTTACGAGGGAAACGGTACGTGGTGCTTCGGGGGCTGCTGGAGATGATTAGGGAGAGGTCTGTGCTCCTTTACCGATCAAAGCGCGCGCTGACACGGAGTATAATTGTTTATACTTGACGCGTCCGCACGAGCGCGGCAAAGATTACGCGTTGGGTGCGCAAGACCGGCAAGACCCCATTTCGCTTGGCTGTGTGCACAGCTTTTTTTGTAACAGCGCGCGCGGCGCCGCATCCGAGGATGAACGACTTCAAGCCGAATCTGCCCGAGCATGTACGTCTCACACAATCAGAGCGTAAAAATACGGGATATTTTACGGGAAAATAATAAAACGGGAAGACAGCGGGAAAAGAGCTAAAATACGTGAGAAACCCGGAAAAAACGGGAGGGTTGACAGCTATGTCCTACATGCACGTGCAATTGTTGACAAGCATGATAGCCCTGAACACTGTAGGAGGAGGTCACATGCAGGTGTTCTGCTTGCGTCGCGTGTGAAATGTCTTCATCCCAGGTACAGTGGCATATATTTCAGCATGTCATATGAATATAATTTCATGGGTTTTATATTTTTTTCTAACGACAAATGATCGCGATGATCACGTTTACAAGCCAGCGTCATTATAGTAGCCTAGTCTATTGGTTACCGTTTTACTGAATCTATATGATACTTCAATGCAATGTTTGAGTGGTAGATAATAACCATATTTCGTCAAAATTATAATATCAAGCTACCATAAATGAATCTGCAAATTTTACAAATCGATTTGCATTATAGCTTGAGGCAAGACAAATAAACAAATATCACAGACATGTTAGGTATCCTAAAATATGATTTTGTACATCTTATATATTTACTTGCAAGAATGTAGCCCCTACCAAACTTGTGCACGCCGTTTAGACATAGGCTTTCATTTTATTTTATTTTTTATTTTTTTGCCAAGTCCGCATCGGTCGGGCACCCCTCCTTCTCCTTCAGCTCACGCCAGCGAGAAAATGCTGGCCCAATGTTAATCCTCGTTCTGCCTTTAACGCGATCACTTTCTCTTTTTGCTTTGCTCCGATAAAACCTTTGCTTTCTTGTTTTTCTGTGCTGCTTCGGCCTTGACTATAACATTTGGCTCGCACGTCCGATTTTAAGGAAGTGGTGGTGGAAGTGACGTATAAGCCGTAAAGCAGTCGAATTTTGTAGTTCTCTTTGTTCGCCGGTTACTACCCGAAACCCGAAGTTTAAAAGTACGATTAAAAACGCTACAGACCCCGTCAGGCTATGGCAGACGTGTCATTCAACCTATTGTAAGTCGATGTACCATCACAAGAGACTTGGAAGTATATTATGAAGGTTGAAAAGTTACCTGGTGTTACTTTAACATTATCATTGAATTTAACATTATAACTCTTGTTCAATTCTAGAAATTCTGCAGATAATACATTGTTTTTTTTCATAGGACTTTCTAACAGACAACCAAATTCCCCGTCTGGTTATAAGCGCAGGCAGTTTGCCTCGGATTGTGAGGTATCAGCTCCTACAGGGAATCAAACCTCTGATGGTAAACAGAGACTCACTCTTTCAGATGTGTCAGCCAACCAGCCACAGTCTCGCCAAAAGACTCCTGTACTGCTCCTTTAAATATCCCAGTGCCTTCGGGTGCTGGGATCCAATTAAGGTAAAAGCAGATATACAACATATTGAAAATGAATTGAATAATATAAGCCTAAAAATAGCTTTAACAGAGTATAAAACAAAGTCTGTTTGCCGTTATGTTCTGTAGTACACAGAAGGAGATTTGATCCAACCTCCACAAGGCCCTTTCAACACCACATTCCCTGTCATCCTACATCAGTTCATCTACTTCTTTGCGTCCAGGGAGACACGCAACACCTTCATCCTCAACCCAATCAAATATATCCGTCAACCAAAGCCCAACCCTTCCCTTCCAATCAAACTGGTTATCATTGGCCCACCAAAAGCAGGCAAAACCACAGGTCAGATTTCTGGAAATAAAATACACGTCATTATAGATGCTCATAAAAATATTGATGCCTGATTTCACAGAAGAGGCTTAAGCCTAGTCGCTGACTAAAATGCATGTTTAAGCTATCTTAACTGAAAGCAACTTGTACTGACATATCTTAAAATATGATTTGGTCTCAATATGAACACCAGTAAAAAAAAATCGAAGGCACATTTGTAAAAGCTATTTAAATTATCTAATTTAACTAAGGCCTAATCCTGGCTTACTCTAAGCCCTGTTTGTGAAATCAGACCATAATAACTTAAGTTAAAACCAAGTGTTTTTATAGATTTCAGAATAAGTAGCTTTTAACTGTGTGTGCACTCAGTGGCCCGGGTGTTTGCACGTGAGTACGGTCTCGCTCGACTCTCAATTGGGGATGCAATACGTATGGTGCTCAACAGCCAGTCCAAAACTGAATTGGCTTATAAGGTGCAGATGCATTTGAACCAGGGCCTGACCGTTCCTGATGAACTAGCCATCCAGTGCCTGGAGGTGGCAGTAATGAACCTGGTCTGCAGCACTCGTGGGTGAGGAGGACCAAATTTTTTCCAATCAAAGAAATGTACTTCTGCAAGAAAAAATAACCTAAAAGACAGAAGACTTTAAGTCTATGTATATGGCATTATACAGTACATGTGTTTGATCCTCAGGTTTGTGTTGGATGGCTTCCCTGTGACCAAGCATCAGGCTGAATTACTGCAATCCTGCAGTATTATTCCTATGCTAGTGATTGAACTGCAACTGGACATGGCTGAAGTGCTGAGGAGAGGCCTGAGAGACAGGGAAAAAAACAACAGGTCAGACCAGCACAGACACTCAACACACCTCCGGTGTATTTATTCATATTTTGAATTATGTTTATATTTTCAGTTAACATTTTAACTTTAAAAATGTAAACCTAAATTTGAGTCACTTTGTTATATATATATATATATATATATTCATTTTTTTTTTAATATATATTTCTGATTTCAATGACGCAAACTCTGAATCAACATGCACCAATGCTAAATTTTCTTTAAGTGTAATTACTATGTTCACAACTTGTAATAATACTTACTTCACTGCCTAAAATGTATACATGATGTTAGCTAACAGCGTAATTTATGTACATTGTGAAATACATTGCTTGGACACAGTCACCTCTGATAACAGATCACTCTAAATTCGTAAACTGTAATGTAGACATGTATTTTCTGTAAAGCTGCTTTGAAAAAATATCTATCGAGAAAAGCGCTATACAAATAAATGTGAATTTAATTTAATTGAATTAATTTAGGTTTAATTTATATTTATTTCATTTTAAGTCATTTTATTAGTTAGTTGCCAAGGCAACAGTTCTAATTTTAGTGTAAGTTTTTTTTTTCATCTAATATTTATATTTTGTTTTATTTCAGCTTTCAATTAAGGAAAACGATTGAAATAGTTTTATAACAATAACACTGACCTACACATAAATCAATGTCACTGCTAAAAACTACACCATTTTAATGCCTTAAAATATATATATATGTTTTTTTTTTATTATTATTTAAGACTAGTCATAACATTATGACAATAAAGTCATATGGTTTCGAGAATAATGTCATAATAGACCTTTTACAAGAATAAAGTCAGAAAAGATTATAATTCAATATTAAAGAATAAAGCTAAATATTGCTTGTAATAGATTTTTTATTTTGACAGTGTTACAAATGTTGTGGTAATATGGTCTGGCATAATATATATATATATATAGATAATAATCACAATTTGTAAGATTATGGCAACTCTCTCCAACAGGCCTTACCCAATGAATGACAGCCCCCAGGTCCTAAACATTCGAAACTCTTGCTTCAGACGGGAAGCTGAAGCTCTTAGGCAACACTTCCACCAGCAGTACCACAACTGGACTCCCATTGATGCTCACAAGAGCAAGTGGTGGGTATGGGAGCGAGTTTTAGATGAAGTTCGCATAAGCATAAGACTCATTCGTGCTTACCTGGAAAGAATTCACAAAGGTGAGAAAATGCAAATGATGCACAGTTGTCAAACAAGAAGCACTAGTAATATCCATCCATATATTTAGCATTACATTTGCATTAAAGCATCAATATGTGTAGTTTTGTGACAGCATTCTGTCATCCGCGCAGGCCAGGCAGCCTGTATAAACAGATTGTGCATTACCCCAAGAGAGCTGCAGTCTCGGCTGGGCGAGTTTGGCCAGTACTGCCCAGTTAGCTTAGCTCTCCATCACCATCTGGTGGACTGTTCACATAACACCTCACTTGAATTGGCTGCAGAGTTCAGGGGCCACTTCTACAAAATGGCCAGCAAGGACTCTCTAGAGGTAAAGTGTCAGATGGTCCAGAAACATGTTTACAGAAAGTTTTGTTTAACTCACTACATCTTTTTATATGCTTCTTAAAAGAGATTTTTAGATTCCCCGGAGCAGTTTGTGGTTCCAGGTTGCCCTTACCCATTACCCCCTCCTCCACTCCTGCCTCATAAGCTCAATGCAGGCCAGGTGAAGAGCAAGTTCCCTCAACAGGTGGAGATGAAGGGATTCTGCCCCGTCACTTATCTAGATGGTCAACAGAGGTACTCCAAGAAAACTCAGACTTACTACAGACTTCATCATTAATAAGCTACCTTTTCACACACATTCTATTTAAAGTAAAATACACATTAGGCCTAAGCATTAGGCCTTAAGTGAATGTAAATGATTCACAGTGCAGGTCAACCATTTTTTTCTCTTCATCTGTAGGTATGAGGCCTTGGTGCGTGGGAATATGGAGTATGCTGTTGAGTATAGAAATAGGATCTATATATTTGAGAGTGAGAAGAAACAAGAGCAATTTCTCCAGTGAGTAGTAATTTGGCTTGGATTGGATTTTATTTTTTAAAAGAAATTAATTTGTTCATACAGCAAGGATGCATTAAATTGATCAAAAGTGACAGTATATACTTTTACATTGTTTCAGAAATATTCGAATTCAAATAAATGCTGTTCTTTCTATTATCAAAGCATCCTGGAAAAAATGTATCATAGTTTCACACAAAAAATATTTAACAGCAACTGTTTTCAGCATTGATAATAATAAGAAATGCTTCTTAAGCTCCGAATTAGCATATTAGAAAGAATGATTTCTGAAGGATCATGTGATAATCATGGGGATCATGTAGTGAGTAATGCTGCTGAAATATCAGCTTTGCCATCAAAGAAATAAATTACATTAAAAAAATTATTATTTTAGAAAACAGGCATTTTATTTTTTATAATTTTTCAAAATATTACTGTTCATACTGTATTTTGATATATTTTCAATTAAATTCAGCCATATACATTAATAATTAATTAACATGGCATTTATATATATATATAGATCATGTTAATAATAGCCATAGCAACAGGCTATTTGTAATACAGCAACATGAAGCACAGACAATTCACAACAGAACTGTCCTCAGGTCACCTGAGATTTACTGGGACCAGAAACTTCCACATAAACTACCTCCGTTGGAAGATCCGGTCTTACTAACTTCTTTACCGATCATGGGCTATTTGGAACAAGTAAGAAAACACTGAAACAGACACTCACTTCAGTCTGTTAATCTGATGCAAAATGGTCTGCGTAACCATCAATAAGCTATGCTTTTAACAAGTGGTAAAATAATTTTCTTAACCACTGCTGAGATTGTAATTATTGTACATGTATATTTTTATGTATGTATTTTTTATTTTATTTTTTTGTAGAGTGTGGCAGTACCCATAATCAAAGCCATGACTGCTGTTGGTCAACTCAAGCCAAAGTTCCCCTTTCTCAGTGTGAAGAGATCTGCTTTATTGTACCTGGCCTTTCATTTGAAAGGTGGCCTTGATTTTCTTATTTTGGCTTACTATGAATAGCTGGGGATGAGAACGGTCTGAATAATATATTTTAATAACTTTCTACCCCTCCACCCTCACAGCATTCAACACCAGGAACCCAGACTATATTCGACAGAAGTACAAAAAGAAACTTCAAAAGTTTGAAGAAGGCTGTGAGCTCATCTCATACCTGGGTACCGACATGAAGACATACAGATCCCCTCACAACCTGCCCCCAGATTTTGCACAGAAGCTGGACAGGTTTCTGGCCCTTGAGAAGTCCACCAAAACAGCCTCAGGTCTGATACAGCTCGGGGGCAGTTGAAACAACTTCAAATAATAAAAGCCTTGAGTCAGCACATCACAGTATTTGATCAGTGTTGGTTGACATTTACATGAATACATTTTGCAAGCACTTTGTTAATGTGTTCTGTTCAATTGACAATTAAATGAATGAGCCTAATAAATGTGTTTTAATCTATTTTGTTAAGTGTTATTGTTTTAACATATACCCCTGGTTTCACAGAAGAGGCTTAAACCTAGTCCCAGACTAAAATGATATTTTAATTGAAAGTAACTTGCACTGGCACATCTTAAAATGTCTGTGGCATTGTTTTGTCTCAATATGAACACCAGTAATGTTTTTTTCTAAGCCCTGTTTGTGAAACCTCTGCAGGCCTTGATGTGTTTTTACAGACATATTCCAATTGATATATAAACTAAGAAATATAAAATGTATGAAAAAATAAAACTATAAATGTACGGAACGGTTCGTCATCGTTGTGCGCCACTCGCATCGGTTACCCTGGCAACGGGACTCTAACTTTACACAACATGGCATCCCCTGTACATTTAGAGATCGTCGGTCTGTTAAGCAAACACAATTTTCAAATAGGCAAAAGCATTGTGGAGGTAAAGTTTTTTTTAAGATGCTGACCACTTTGCATTTTGGCGTGGCTAACTAAAAACGATACTGACTGCACACCTGTTCACAAAAGCTATAGTTGCTAACGTCTGCTGCACTTACAGGGTTTGAAAAATAAATTCCCGGAGTCATTTGATGATCCAACAATTCGCCCGCTTCTTGAATGTGACTGGCATGACTATTTAGCTAACAAAAAGAAGGTATGGCACTTGTTATTTTACTGCTCGCTTGTTTTCAACACTACAGTAACAGTTAAGTTATATCTGCGGAACAAATCAAATAGCCTAAGTACGTTTTCTTCTCAAGGAGCTGAGAGGAGAGGTTTGGCAGTACACTGGATGTCTAATGTCCTTCGCAAACGGTCAGTTGCTCGGTGATGAGAGGAAACTGTCCACCTGGGCAGAGAAAGAGTGGAAGTTTTCTTTTCACCGACCACGGGCGCTTTATATGGCCCTGGCTGAGGAGTATTACACCAACTATCTGCGAAGCACAGCTGTAAATAAACACGACAAACAACGGAGCGAGACATAACTAATAATAAAAACCCAGAGAAATACATAAATAAACACACTTCATAATGCGACTACAACCATTTAACATTCACAACATCTGCAACATCTGCTCCCTCTTTCTCACAGCACATTTTTGTTTATATGGATATTGAAAGCGGTGGAGAGGCATTTGGCAGGCTGTTGTTTGAGGTAAGGAAATCTTCTGCTTCTTGATGAAGTAAGTTACAGTGAAAATGTATTTCCGTGCCATTCTTCTCTACTCTGAAAGTTTCAAATGTAACCTGCCAGCTGTTCTCAGACGTGTGTCCAAAGACGTGCAGGAACTTCAAGGCCCTGTGCACTGGAGAGGCAGGTTTGTCCAAGACTAACCTTGAGTTGAGCTACAAGGCCTCAATTTTCCATAGAGTTGTGCCAAATGGCTGGCTGCAGGGTGGAGGTAAGAAGCAGTAATACATTTACACATTTATGATAATTTAATACATTTAATCATAAATATGAAAAAATTAATTATACATCCATTTTATACAGTTATACATTTATGTACATACACACCAGTAAGTACAGTTATGACTGTATAAAAATGTTTATGTTTTCAATTACAGATATTTCACCTGAAAGGAAAGGCACTGGGGGAGACTCTATCTATGGTCCAACATTTGAGGGTATATGCTTATTAACAAATTTATGTGGCACACAAATTCTGTAATTCATACTTTAACACAATACTTGCTTAAATGTGTTATATAGGCTACATATTGATTCATGCATATAAAAAGCACTAGGCTGTTCTCTCTTCTAGATGAGAGTTTTGTCATATCCCACAACAAGCGTGGCATCCTGGGAATGGCTAACCAAGGTGCTCACAGCAACGGCTCTCAGTTCTACATCACACTACAGCCAGCGTCCTGGATGGACTACAAATATGTGGCTTTTGGGTAATGACCCTAATAAATTGCAAAAGTACGCAAGAAAGCCAAAGTTATGAACCTTTGTCTTGCTATTTGGCTTTGCATTATTAATGCAGACATCATACACAGTTAAATACCTTTGCTATTTAACACTCTTACAAAATCCAAAGTCTCCATCACAGCTTTTTCCCTCTCTCCCAGGCAACTCATTGAAGGCACTGCGGTTCTAAAGAGACTAGAGGCAGTGCCCACCTACAACGAACGGCCCAAACAGGACTGCAAAATAGCAGCATGTGGAATATTTGAGCCCTGAGTTTTCACATGTGGCCTATAGATCAAGAAAGCAATACAAAAGGAGAAGCATTTGTAATGTATGTGGACAGGTGTGCACCATGTGTTTTTTAATGGCCGACGGTCCGCCGACCCAATATTTTTGCCACATTGCCAATATTTCACCATACACATTCAACAAATAAATTGACCTAAAATTAAAAACCTCTCTTTATATGATTTAAATATTCAGTTTGTTTGACTTATTTCTATGGTGCTTTTCTTCCTTTGCCCATGGCAACGAACCGCTGTTATTCCAAAAAAGCAGTGATCTGCAATGACGTGCACATTATCGTGAGCTTGGCAAAAGAGTCTGTTGAAGTGCTGCTGAGAAACAACCGCGTTGAGTGTGCATTGCTGTAAAACAGATTTATTTACTTGAGAGAGAGAGAGAGAGAGAGAGAGAGAGTCCCTGTCAGTCATGGGCCCTGTCAGTTAAACCCAAAAAGACAAAAATAATGATATATTCCGAAAAAGATCCAGCCACCAAGACCGACATCATAGCTTTAAATTAGATAACATGCTCCTCAAACACACGCAGAACTACACTTACCGTAGCATAAATATTAGCAACACAGTAAATTTTAACAAAGCTGTCAACGACCTTAGAGATAAGGCACAGATGGCTTTTTATGCTATTAAGTGAAATATCAAAATTGACATCCCAATCAGAATCTGGCTAGAAATAATCAAATCAGTAATAGACCCCATGGCACTTTACGGGTGTGACGTCTGGGGCCCACTCACAAACCAAGAGTTGGGACAAACACCTAATAGAGACTCTACAGACCAAACAATGCAAAAACCTGCTACGAGTACAGTGCAAAAACTCACATAATGCCTACAGAGCAGAATTAGGATTATACCCAATTATAATCACAATTTAAAAAGGGGCCATTAAATTCCATGCCCACTTAAAAAATAGTGATTAAGAGACCCTCCATCACAAAGCCCTGAACTACCAAGAGCTGATGCCAGAAAAAAAAATCTTTGGCCAATTGTTCTTAGCTGACTACACAAACCAAAACATGTCTGACTGACTGAGAATAAAAACTTAGCCAGACCAAACCAAATAATTAAAACACAAAAAGAAAAATACCTAAAACATTGGACAGACGCAACAGCCCAACAAAGTAAACTGGAATGCTATTTGGTCCTAAACAGATAATATAATTTGGCAGGATACTGAGCACACCCAGATAGCATGACCAACACTGAATCAACATTGAATCAATGTTAATGCATTAACCAAAAGATCATTGATCATTGATTTTTCATCAGGTTTGCACCCTGAAATAATGTTATTTCAACGATGAAAGATTTAGGCCATATTGCCCATCTCTAAGTCATTTGTTTCCTGTGACACCAGTAAAGTCACGTCCACAAACCTCTTGCGTAGTGTTTGGTCACACCACAAGGTGTCACTGTGGCCTCAAAGCTTCAGCACTGCCACTCTGAGCTCGATTGCTATGTCTGAGGTAAAACACGCCCCCCTCATTAGCATACAGAGCAATACATTTATAAATAAATAAATGTAGATGTAAATGCATATATACATACATAAAAGTGGAAATAAATGCATAAATAAATGAAAAAATAAATAAATGTGGGAAAATATATAATTATACATAAATAGGAAAATAAAATTATAAATAGTCATTTATTTTTGTTTGTTTTTTTACATTTCTTCACGTATTTATTTATTATTTTTTTATTTGTATAGGTTTGGTCCTCCATAAGTAAAGTGTCCATCGTGTGCACACTTCAGAATCTCGCTAGAAGAACAAGCGGTCATCCTGGTACTTTTTGCCTACTCTTTTATGAGTACTGTGAATTCGGACATACTTCTTTTGTCACATATTGTTTTCGCCTACTATATAGATGCGATTTCGGATGCAGCCCAAATTCATGTTTGTCATCTCACTCCAACCGACTCCAACGCAAGTTAGCTAATACGCCATCTTGCGACTCAAATCACAAATAACAACTGACTACGAAATGTAACTTTGCAGATTAATAACAGGCCAATTAACACTAATAATAAGAATATAAATTAATACCATAATATTGTTGCAATGTTCCTTGATGCTAGGCCGTTTACTTTTACGTTGTAATGGACTATTTTTCTTAGCGGAAGTTTAAGTGGGCATTATCCCTGACAAAATGAGGATGAAATTATTATGAAATACAGTTTCGTATGGAAAACGGTTCGGACCACACGATATTTAGCTCAACGGCCTCGTTCATGAAATACAATGGTCCATTTAAAAACTGCATAATGGCCGTTGGTTAAGATTAAGTGTGTTTGGGTAAAGCACTAAAAGCATACACACTGCTGAGCTGAAGTGTCACCGTCCTCCTCGAGCATGTGTTTAATGAGGACTGACAACCGAGCAGCAGACTGACTGACTGACTGACCAAGAAACTCACCATGACCACACCGTTTTCTCCCCCGCTGTACATGCAGCGATACCAGTTTGTTATCGATTACGTGCAAACCTACCGACCTAGAAAGGTAAATGCATTTCAAACTTGCATTTTAAAGTTAAGTTGCGATGGCCTTTGACGCTTGTTTGAACTTGCTTGCTTATCAATAGTCTTTTTACATCTTCCTAACGTTAAATGGATTTGATCACATTTCTCCGTCCGCAGGTCATCGATTTCGGATGCGCTGAATGTCGCTTACTGAAAAAACTGAAGTTTCATCGCAACGGTATACAGTTACTTGTCGGAATTGATATCAACAGTGTCGTTCTCCTAAAAAAAATGTAAGTTTGGCATTTTGCCTGCGAACGTTACTCTTGTTTGTGTAGTATACGGCATTTTACGGCATTAAAATGGAAGAACAATCTCACAAAGCCAACATTTTATACTGCATAAGTGGAATTAGGGGCCTGCATGTACTTTGGGTCATCTAAAAAAAAATCTGGCTTCCTGTGTACATCCATCTTTTTTCTTGCCAGGCATACATTGGCTCCACTTGTGAGTGACTACCTTCAGCCAAGCAACGGGCCTTTGACCATTGAGTTGTACCAAGGGTCTGTCACTGAGCGGGAGCCGTGCACCAGAGGATTTGATCTTGTGACATGTGTTGAGCTGTAAGTTTGCCACATATCTTGTTTTTAAAGCATATAAACTAAACATTATTTGAAAATTGTATGTTCTACTTGAGTTTTTCAACTTGCCAACATCTCTTACCGCTTTAAGAATCGAACATCTGGAGCTTGAGAAGGTGGAGAGCTTTTCAGAGGTGGTGTTTGGGTACATGGCACCAGGTGCCGTGATAGTCAGCACACCCAATGCAGATTTCAACCCTCTGTTGCCGGGCCTGAAAGGCTTCAGAGACTACGATCACAAATTCGAATGGACTAGAGATGAGTTTCAGACTTGGTAAGGAAATGTTCAGTATCTAGTGTAAACATTTTCCAGTCCTGATTTAAGATCCGATTTAAGGATCAATTAAAAAAAAAATGTTTGGCTTAAAGTGTTAGTTCACCCAAAAATTAAAATTATCGCATAATTTACTCACCCTCAAGCCATCCTAGGTGAATGGCTTTCTTCTTTCTGCCAAACAATAATCTGAGTAATAATAAAAAAATATCCTGTCTCTTCCAAGCTTTATAATGGGAGTGAATGGTACCATTGTTTTTGAAGCTCCAAAAAGCACACCCATCAATCATAAAAGTAATCCATACGGCTCCAGGGGGTTAACCTGTTAAAGGTTACCGCCCCCGGTACTGGGGGCAACGGGGCTTAATAAAGGCCTTGTGAAGCGAAGCAATGCGTTTTTGTAAGAAAAATATCCATATTATAGCTTTATAAACTATAATCACTGGTTTAGTTCTGGCGGAAGAGTGACCTGATCCAACGCAGGGTGAGTAAATTATGGGATAATTTTCATTTTTGGGTAAACTAACCCTTTAAAAAATGTCCCTCAGGGCTCACAGAGTTTGTAGAGAATATGGTTACTCCGTGCAATTCACTGGTGTTGGAGAAGCTCTTGGCCACTGGAGAGATGTGGGATTCTGCACTCAGATCGGTGTGTTCCAGAGGAATTTTGATGGGATAAATTGGTCTATGAGCAATGCTGAACGCTTGGAACCCTCAGTGTACAGACTGGTGAGAAATTTGTATTTTTTTGAGAGGTGTTGCACCTGTATTTTCTTAATTATTTAAATGAATCGTATTGTACTTTCTAAATCATCATTGTATAACTTGCACTAAAGCAGTCACAGTTTAGTTTAAGCGCTGAAATGCGCTTGATTTCTTTTTTATCACAATTAGGCAAAAAACATATTGATCACACATTAATCAAAATAACAACTTGATCTTCTGGTGGTACAACAGACTTTTCTCTGGTGACATGCCAGACCTCTCCAATTATTTAGTCAGTTTAAACCCCGCCCCTTTTGGACTCTGCAAGCTCACATTCAGATCTTCCTCTATCCAATCAACAACTCATGCATTTTTTGATAATCTGTTTCACTCGGATGTGTCACAATACAGAAGAAAAGATCTGCCGCTACTTCTGTTAACTTGCATCCCGAATTTAATATTTGTAATTTTCGGGTTTAGAAGGATGTGGAGAGCGGTAGGTGCTACACACACGGTCATAAACAGCATAAGGTTTGGCAAATTCTTAGTAGTTTAATTTTATAATAATCTTTTTGACGAAGAGGTTCTGAATGTTCCGTATGCTTTCATAGTAAAAAATGACTCTCATCCCAGCATGAAATGGAAGTTTGGGTTTAAACAAACTAAATGATTAAAGTCCGGCATATGCCACAGAAGATCGAGTTATGACATTTGATTAAATTAAACATGCACGAATGAATCGTTTGCAATAAGATAAAAAATATTGCATTTCATGGCAACTTTAAAGCTCACAGGTTTAAGCTAAAAAAAAGAAAGAAAGTTATTTCTTGTTTGAAAACTGCGTATTGCACTCACAACTCCTCTTTTTTTGTTGTTCCTCATTAAGTTGTACAAGGTGGTGTATCCGAGCCTGTGTGATAACAACATCTACCAAAAGACTTTGGTTAATGAGGTCCTGTATGAGGCACAACACCTAAAACAGGAATGGCTTAGTAGGCTGAACATGGACTCCAACAACAACGCACATTTTTATGGTCCTCCATTTATGGAAGCTTTGCAGCATGAGGATGCATGTGAGTGGCAGCCTGTCTACCAGCAGGACCGTAGCATTTGTGTGCCCTTGACGCGTGTGTGGTTCAGCCCCAAAGTGAGAGCGCTGTGCGGGAGCGTGCAGCGTCTCAGGGAGGACCTGCTGGAGGAGGAGCAGGTGAGGATGAGCGCTGATGGAACGGTGCTAAACCTGCCTGCCGATGATGAGGAAGAGGTAGAGGAAGAAAAAGAAGAAGAAGAAGAGGAGGAGGAGGAGGATGATGAGGATGTGAAAACAATATCAGGTGTATCAAACAGTGTGGAGGAGGACTGGGATAGGGAGCTTGGGGGTTACGAAGGTGTATAACAGATCCGGAAAGCTCTGTAACCAAACTATAAAAAAGGAAGCTGCACTTGATCTTTGTTCTGTCAAAAACATATTTGAAGGACATATTTAGATAATATGGGCAAAACTGTTATCGATTGGAAATGTTCTTGAAAAGACAACCATTAAACATGTAATTAAAAATGCAAATATGTGACACCTTCTTTGGAATGTGGTTTTATTTAACAGTGTGTGGTACATACCTTACCAGCATCATAACAGAACACATGGCATGGAAGCCACTATTGGTCAAAAGTTGGAACACAACATTGCGAGACATTTAAAAAGCAATGTCACCTTTAAACATCAGACACAGTACAATTACGAGGACCAAAACTTCACAGAAGAGATAAAGCCACCATGTTTTTACAACATGTAAAGTACCAGGACCTACTTACAGGTTATGTAAGAGAATTAGGGGAAGAAAAATTATAGTAAAATCTTACAATATCAGTATCACTAAAGCTCAAATCCATAAAAATAGACTTAATTTTGGCAGTAGATCAATTAAAAAATAAAGTTCCAAGTAACTCATATTACTGAGTGTCTGCTGAAAAGTAATGAGGCTAACATATCGCAGATAACCTCTAAATAAACGGATATTTGCAAACATTCACCACAGAGCCCTTAAAGGGACACCTTGATGGAAAAAGTATGAGATGCTTTTGCGTTCCCAGAAGAAACGTCCCATTTGCGCACACATTTTTTGCGTTCCTGTGAGAAACTTTGCTTTCGCTCGTAAAACTTTTGAGTTCTTTGCAAGTGACAAAAAGCACTGAAATAGAATTTTCTCTCCCATCTCATATTTTTTCCGTCACAGTCTCTCTTCAGGGGCTCCGTACATTCGCAGTGTGGTGCTTTGATATTTGTGCAGTAATAGTAAAAGGAAATAATAAACCTGAGATGTGTGGCCGAGTTGAATCCAAGCTTCCTGTCGGTATTTTTTTAGTGTTTGGATCTCGGCGGGCCTAGCAAAGACTACAAAAAAGAAAAACGCTTCGGACACGTTGAGTTGGTGTGACACCCATGCATTTCTACAATATAACTCTAGACAATATGATATAATCAAGTGCTACAAATAGATTGTACACACTCTCTCAGCTGATAATCCCCACACACACTTAAATTGCAGAGGCAAGTAAGTTTACATTTATAAAACAGTAAATGGCTTTTGAGAAGATATGGGAATACGGTCACATAAAACTAGAGAAGCACTAACGTATGCTTCTGATATCCCCTATAGCTGATCTTACAGACAGAGATACCATGAAAAGTAGTCATTAAAATACCTTCATTTTAATGATACATCAAGTAACTACAAAAACATGGATAAAAAGGTGTTTTTGTAGTGTTATAGACAGGATTAGAAGAGCTACACGCCGCTTGAGAGCCTTGTGCTAAACATTTCAAGCATTGCTGACATGGTTAAATGCTTCATTCTGTGCTGCTATGTTACAAAGTGTAGCTTGAGAACAGCTTGGCTCATTTTGTCCTTGTGTGAAAGCGTAATATAGTTAGGTGATGTCATTAATTATGTCATAGACTGCTGCCAGAGAAGTACTTATCAGATATTCACCTGCCCAGATTTCAAGTAGCTAATGTGTCTATAAACTGAACTGCAAAATGACTTAGTCCCATTTAACATATAATGGAGCTGTAGGAGTTTAATCTACATTAAAATTCTCAAGCCCCAAAGTCATTTTCAGCTACAAATAAAGAAGAATAACACATTTAATGTGTATTGGTTAACTTGATCAAAAGCTCAGTCTCAAAACTCCCTACAATGTTGGCGATACATAAAAAGTTTATGTAAAGTCCTTCAATTTAAAGTGCTATTCAATTGCACATTTTTTCAAGTCTGAAAACGGCTCCATCTGTTCAACGCATCACGACTTCTCACACGCAAAAAGTGAGACGCGGGTGGGTGAGGACGGTTTGATTTCCATTCGTACAGTAATGAAATGACAAAAAAAAATGCATAAAGAGGTCACCTTCATCTGCAGACATATAGATGTATATGTAATGATGTATATAATCCACCAAATGTTTCTGACAGACCCCTTAAAATGGTTCAAACATGTAAACATGGTAAAAATAAACATATCTCACTAAAATAACAATATGAAATATAAGTTGTTTTTTTTAAATCATCGAGGAAAATATAGGGCAATTGCAGACATATTATAAGACAAAGTTTACCTCACAGTGAAACACAAGACACCAAATGGCAGCCTCATACAGAGGAGCTGTCAGTTCATTATTTAGCCAGCAGAGGACACCGTTTCATCGAAAGACTGAAACAAGTTTCAACACTGCTAATGTGAGAGACGACGAACATGTCTGAATCTCTTCGCCCCTTTCTCCTCCCACGAAACAGACTTTGGTTTTTGACACTTCTCCTTCTGGCATCTCCCAACTAGCGTTTAATCACCACCTGTTCGTAGGCACCAGCTCCAACCCTGAAAAGAGAAGAAATCAGGATTTACGAACAAATCGGTAAATGCACTGATTTACACTTTTTTTAAAGGTGCTCTAAGCGATGTTGGGTGACGTCACTTCTTGTTGACGTTCGAAGTATTGTCAAACACAACGGAGGCTAGCTAGACCCTCCCTCCTCCTCATCCCGTCCCCTCCCCCTGTAGTTTTACTGATACTTCATTCGAGGTGTAATGTCGCCAAGTTAGATAAATGCTTTCATATAATGCAGAAAAAGAGAAACATTACCAAAAAACAACCGATAAAACGTTTCGCCACCTGAGGTTATAACTTTAGCTCCCATACAAGGACGCAATAATAGCAAGGTAATGTTAGCTTTGCGTTTCCCAGTGAGCATAAACAACGGCTCCGTCGTAAACAAATTTAGTCAAAGTTGTCAATAGGCTATAAATGAACATTCAAATTCATAACAAACAATGGGTGAAAACAATCATTCACACAAACTGTCGCCCTACGGTGAGTTTGCTTGATCATTTACAAAAGAGATCGATCGCTAGCTGCTAGAAACCTATATGTTGTATTCACCAAAGTTAGCGCTGACTGCATAGTTCTAGCTAATTATATCCTTGTGTTTGTTAGGCGAACATGAACGTTCATTTAGAAAAACCAAACTGGATTTACCCACCAGTCCAGCAAAAACAGAGCTACCTGAATGTCGGATTGGAAGCCCTTCTGCCGGCGGAGATCTCGCCACCTTTCGAAGGCTTTTCCAATGTAAATTCGGGACTTTGTGCGTTCCTTCTCCTTTTTCCTCTTCTTTGCAATCTGTTCATCGGAACGTTGTCTCTTTGGTCGTGTGTGGGCCATATCAAACTCAAAGAGAATATAATTCTAACTTCCCTCTTCATGCTTCTCTCTCCTCCACACCCCCCTTTCATGTGCACGCGCACTAACCCCCCAAATCCTTCTTGTCGGTTATTGGCTGGAACACTGTTTGTTATGTTTCGTGGTGCGGGTTTATTTTTGTTGCCGTTTGTGGAGCCTGGGGTGTCTACAGAGACTGTGTTTTTTCTGTAGCACCTCATTGCAGTACACGAGATCCAGGGGGCGGAGTTGGATCCAGATCTAAGGGGTGGAGATGGGTAGGATTAGGGTTGGGGTTAGGGATCAGGGGGCGGAGATGGGTAGGTTTAGGTATATGTAAGGTGGGAGGAGTTGGATCTGGATTCAACTCCTCCCCCTGGATTTCGTGTTCTGCAGTGAGGACCGTCTCCATTTTTTTACAGTGTGTTCAGGGGACAGACAGCTAGTGGATAGTGAGGAGATGTTTGCTGTTTGTGACAAAAAAAATTTTGGCCTAAAAAACGCGTGACATCGCTTAGAACACCTTTAAGAGCGCGGGGGAATACCACTGCTTACTATTTGATTTTGCTGTGGTATTTAAAGAGACAGTAACCCGAAAATAAAATTGTCATCATTTACTCACCCTCATGTTGTTTCAAACCTACATGGCTTAATTTCTTCTTCTAAAAAGAGATTAAGCAGAAAAGGATGTTTATCAGAACATCCAAGCCCTTTTTTTCATATAAGGAAAGTGAATGGTGACTGGAGATGTCAAGCTCCAGAAATTACCATAAAAGTAATCCATAAAAATCTATGGATTATATTTCACATCTTCATCATACAGGCTATTGTATGGCTTCAGAAGACTTGGAAGATGGCACACAGATACATTTATGATCCCTTTAGGTATTTTTTAAAGCTTGGTAGACCCAGTCCCCAATCACTTTCATTGTGTGGAAAAGAGCTGCTAGGACATTATGCTAAACATTTGCTTTTATGTTCCAAGAAAGAAAGAAAATCATTTGGGTTTGGAACAGCATGAGGGCGAGTACATGATGACAACAACATTTTCCTTCAAACTTACCTGGCAGGAAGGTGGTGGCTACCAAGTGCTGTGCTCCCACCAGGACCCACAAACAAGCGCAGACCTTCCTCTGAAAAACACACACACTTGAATCAGATATCGCCTCCATTCCGCACACACAAAGTCACGACTTCTCTGGGTCCAAAACGGTCCAATTCTAATGAGAACCCGTCGGCAGGTCATCTAAAAAATAATACGAAAACTAATACAGTAGGACACACATATAAAGATGGGCTCTGGCACAGATACACTTCAATACACCTACTGAGTAGCAGCAGCAGCAGCAGCTACCGGTAAACATTGCTACCAATTAAACATCCTGTTTCTAGCTCTGTGTTTTCTATTTCTGTTTCCACTTGATCCAAGTTTGCTCTGATACCACTCCATCTCAAGCATGACAATTAAATGGACCAAAATGAGATTTCATGTCAGCAAGAATTCGCCATGTTACACACAGTGTTAATAGACTATTAGCAATCAGAATGAAATAAAGATGGAATTTTTGCAATATTATTGGACAGACAACAACCAAAAATATGAATGTTTAGTAACAATTAATGAGAGATGAACTTGAATCCCATGAAACAAATGATGTAAACAAATAATATAAAATGAGATTTATAATAATAATATGTTTATTTATATAGCGCATTTTCAGTGCTCCAGGACGCTTAAGCAGTCAGAATAAAATAAAGATGGAATTTATGAAATATTATAAATACAGTGACACAGCAAATTATATAAAGACACAAAAAAAACAATGATACAATATAAAACTACTATTTATTGCAATTTATTATAAGCATTTAATGCAATATAATCAAAGTTTATTGTAAAATAGTAATATAATAGTAATGTATAAGTTGTTTGAGATTGTAGGGAGATTGATTAGATACTCTGATGGAAATCAGTGAAAGGAGGTGCATAACCTTCAGAAATTCAAACTCAAGAGGTCACACTAAATATTATCTGAGCTGTTTTATTTTTTATGTATTTCATATAAGGTATACTATTTACATCACACACTACTGTTCAAATTTTTTTTTGAATAATTTAAAAGTCTCTTATGCTCACCCAGGCTGCATTATATGATCAAAAATACAGTAATAACAATAATATTGTGAAATATTATTACAATTTAAAATAAAATTTGATTTATTTTCATTGATGGCAAAGCTGATTTTTCAGCATCATTACTCCAGTCTTCAGTGTCACTTCAGAAATCTTCTAATATGATGATTTGCTGCTCAAGACAAATTATTATCAACATTGATCAACATTGTTTTAATTGCTTAATATTTTTGTGAAGATTTTTTCAGGATTCTTTAATGAATAAAAAAGCATTTATTTGTAATATAAACATTATAAATGTTTTTTACATTATAAAATGTCATTTAGTGCGTCTCACATACTCTGATGGAAATGTGCTAGTAGTACCTTTAGGGATGTCTTCTAATAAACATGAAGAAGCCATTTTTACCTTCAGCGCTGGAGTCCAGCATACTGTGGGTGAAATCCTGGCTTTGCAGGATCTTCTCTACCACATCATCAGCATCCACCCGTGTGGCATCCACCCTTTTCAGCTGAGACTCCATGGAGTCCTGTTTCACTGGGTACCTTTGTATATATGAGAAAATTAACCTATATTAATTTCATATCCTGCATCTAAAGCTTGATTAATATTGAGCAGGAAGTGGTAGCAGTGTCTGTCTGACCTGCTGGCAGCCCTGTCAGGCGTTGATGGGTGTTCAGGCACAGCAGCGCAGACTGTAGGTGGCGCTGTAGTTTGGTCATTCTCCTCACTGGGCTCAGGGATGCTGGCAATGCCAGTGGAAGCACTGCCGATCGAAGCGTTTCTCCTGTGGGAGAACTCCGAGAGACTGGAGGAACGCGAGTGACTCGTACTATAGCCTAAGAAAACATGACACAACATTGTTTTAAAATTAAAATTCAGTAAAAAAAAAAAAAAAAAAGGACAGGAAAAAGTTTACGACTGTGTTTACGAGGATATTTTGACATAATTTTGTGTGTATTTGTCCATTAAAGCGCAAGAAGACGCGAAAGAGAACTCAATTCAGTATTCGTACACAATATGGAAGGCAGCTTTTCGTGTGCGCGTTCTGGATGTGCCCGGCACAGAAAACAGCGCTCTAGTGCCGAATTGAGTTCTCTTTCGCGTTTTCTTGCGCTTTAATGGTTTAAATCACATTAAAATGCACACACAGAAATCAATAAGCGGAATCAAAATTTGAATTTGAAGTATCTAATTCCTGACCTTAAGTATCCAATTCCAGAATTGGGAACAATTTTAGATTTCAAACCCTAGTGATGACTTCTGTTTGCTTTGTGGGACTTTAAAACTAACTTTACACTTTGAGATGCTCTAATACAAAAGGTCAACGTGAGGAATGTGTAACTGAATCTAAGAGAATAGCTTAATGAAATAAGGACTGAGTGCTGTCTCCTCTCTGGAAGTACTAGAGGAAGTAGTGTTATCAAATTAGATCTGGGACATTTAATCCAGCCATTTTGTGATGGCACAGAATCTTTCTAAGAGCCCAGTTTCATATTATTTAATAAAGCAAATAGCACTTTCCACAAACTGAAAACAAAATAGGGCCTTAAAATGTCTTGTATAGCAAAATGGTCAGTGAAAGGAGGTGCTTAAAGGTGCCCTAGAATGTTTTTTTTAATTATTTTATAATGTTTCCTGGGTTACCCTTATAATGTTAGTATGTTTTTTAGATAAAAAATAATCATAATTTAGAAATAAATGGCATTTTTCCTAGCCTGCTTTTAGCCTCTGATTTGAACACTCTGTTTGAAGGGGCGTGTCTGCTGTGGGATTCAGTGTAACCGCGGCCACTGCTGTGATTGGCTGACATGCTTGCATATGAAATAGCTACGCATTACATGTGAAACTCTCTCCCGAATACTTTTACTACTGCTATTATACGTTTTTACTATAACAGCTATCGAGATTAACGAATCGTGAGATGTTTTTAAAGTATTTAGATCTATTCCCATCACATAAAATGTTGCCGTGATGAGCATTGAGCAGTTGACAGTGTGTTGATCGCGAGAATGAAGATCTTATCATTGCAAAGCAGTTTCTGCACTCTCTCTGCTTTCACCAATGCAAACACGATGATGTAAATACAGTAAGAGCTTCGTTGTGCAGTAACGTGCGTCATTGATTTCATAACGAGTTTGGCAAGTGTCCAGATAAACTCGCGCTGTGTGGAAAGATTGTTCTCTGATCGCTTTCTGTATATAATTGGTTCACAATTTAAATACGATTATTTTCATCCTACTAAAAGAAACGATGTGAAGCTGATATTTTAGTCACTGGCTTGACTTACTGATGCATAAACAGTATTGAACGATTTTGAGAGAAAGATTACCTGTCTGAACTTGAACAATTACACATCAGAAAGTGTTGCTTGGTAGCTCGATCCGAGGCCAGCTCTGTATTGGCCCAAGTTGAGGAAACAGTCGGTGAAATGTTTTGAAATTTCCAGAGAAAATAAAATTAACCCATTGTTTCTCCAGAGGCCCAGATGAAGGAACTAAAAAATACTTTTGTGTTCATGTGTACATCCACACTGAGCAACTGCCATGCTTCGGCTGCGCAGTTCCGCCTGGCATTGAGGGCTGGCATTATGCAAATATTTGGAGGCGTACATATTAATGATCCCGACTATTGCGTCACAGTCGGTATTGTGTGGAGAACCGACCGTTTTTCAGGGGTGTTTTTCATAAACGTGAATTAAATTCAGAACGCGAAAACAGTCCAGTTTGAGATTCACTCTATGTCATGTCCATGCACTGAACTCTTGTTATTTGACTATACCAAGGTAAATTCAATTTTGAATTATAGGTCACCTTTAAATTGTTAATTGTTCAAACTCAAAAGGTCAAAATAATGGGACGCCAAAAAGTACCCTATATGTGGAAAGTGCAACCTAACTTAATATAATGTAGGCTAATGAATTTGCACACACTTTCTTTCTTTCTCATATGTGCACACAGATATCTTCACTCCATCACACAGAACAGAGTCACATGACATGCAGCCTTCGTGCAAAATACAAAATTCTTTAATCATCTTGCAATACAATGGCATGATGTTGATTGACAGCCTGATGTTACAGCCAGGGTAGCAGACAATACAATCCATTCAAGTCGAGCAAGACAGCAGTCACATCGACACATCGCCAATTAGTGATCAGAGAGAAAACAGTGGAAAAGGAAAGCCTACCTGATACTTTGGACTGCTGACTAGCATAACTGGACGTTCGAGAGTGTCCGCACAGTCCCAGTTCATCAGGCAGAGAGCCACACTTCCCTGATGTCTCTGTGGACATAAGGGATTCAGTTCAGTCCTAATTAATCCTGCTCAATCGCTTTACGGGATTCAATGCCAATTTAACCCGTTCTTCTCCTATTTTTTAACTTATAGTAGATCATATATCTGATGTCTTAAGCTTGAATGGATACTTTGACAATTTTCAATCTGGTTTCCGATCGCATCACAGCACAGAGATAATAAACGATATTTGCTTAAATACTGATAAAGGCAAATTATCAGTACTGGTACTACTCGACCTCAGTCCTGTATTTGACACTGTCGATCACGACATACTTCTTGACAGGCTGGAAAACTGGGAGGGGCTTTCTGGGATAGTCCTAAAATGGTTCAGGTCATACTTAGAAGGGAGAGGTTATTATGTGAGTATAGGAGACCATAGGTCTGAGTGGACACCCATGACATGCGGAGTCCCTCAAGGCTCAATTCTTGCGCACTCCTGTTCAACCTGTTTGCTCCCAATGAGCCAAATAATGAGAAAGAACAAAATTGCTTACCACAGCTATGCAGACGACACACAGCTCTACTTAGCCCTATCGCCTAACGACTACAGCCCCATTGACTCCCTGTGCCAATGCATTGATGACGTAAACAGTTGGATGTGCCAAAACTTTCTTCAGTTAAACAAAGACAAAACTGAAGTCATTGCGTTTGGAAACAAAGATGAAGTTCTCAAGGTGAAATGGTGAATGCATACCTTGACGCTAGGGGTCTAACAACTAAAAATCAAGTCAGGAATCTCGGTGTGTCTCTAGAGTCAGACCTTAGTTTCAGTAGTCATGTCAAAGCAATAACTAAATCAGCATACCATCATCTGAAAAATATTGCAAGAATTAGATGCTTTGTTTCCAGTCAAGACTTAGAGAAACTTGTGCATGCTTTCATCACCAGCAGGGTGGATTATTGTAATGGACTCCTCACTGGCCTTCCTAAAAAGACCATAAGACAGTTGCAGCTCATACAGAACGCAGCTGCCAGGATTCTGAGCAGAACCAGAAAATATGAACATATCACACCAGTCCTCAGGTCTTTACACTGGCTCCCAGTTACATTTAGGATTGATTTTAAAGTATTATTACTGGTATATAAATCATTCAATGGGTTAGGACCTCAATATATTGCAGATATGCTCACTGAATATAAACCGATCACTCAGATCATTAGGATCACATCAGCTAGAAATACCAAGGGTTCACTCTAAGCACGGAGAGTCTGCTTTTAGCTATTATGCCAGCCGCAGCTGGAACCAGCTTCCAGAGGAGATCAGATGTGCTCCTACAGTAGTCACTTTCAAATCCAGACTCAAAACACATCTGTTTAGCTATGCATTTACTGAATGAGCACTGTGCCACTGTTCGTCCGACTGTTTTTACTGTACTGTACTTTATTTGATATTTTATTCGAAACTGTTTTAATTATTCTTATTTGTTTTGATTATTTTAATTTCTTCTATGTAAAGCACTTTGAATTACCATTTTGTATGAAATGTGCTATATAAATAAACTTGCCTTGCCTTGATGTAGCCATGCACTTGTCCATTGAGAGTTTTCAGGCATCCAATATGATTTGTCTATTCAAATTAGGGCTGTTGATTAGAAAATCAACATTCTCAAAATAAAACTTCTCGAAATCGATTAGTCAGTGGAAATCCAATATAATTAGACTGGTTTGGGGTCATGTCCATATAAGGGATATATAAATGGCAAACATGGCTCAATTTCAATAAATATATTTTTATTTAATACATAAATATATACTAAATACCTACAACCTTTTTGCCACTATAACCTTTAGTGATCTCAAAGAGAAAAAAGTATTATGGATATTAATTGCTCAGCAAAATTCAAAATTAGTTGAATTGGTTACAAAAGTTTATGATGATTGTAGCCTTTAAAATTGCAAGCACAAGGTTTTATTTCCCGTGTTAGCATATTTCCTATTAAAACAGGAAGTTGAGGCATGACACATTTTTAAATAATCCTTGTTTACATCACACCTATGAATCATGATTTGCTACTTGCTAATTCTAGTTAAGAGCAGGTGGTGTATTAGAAGGAGGGAATTTCTTATTCTATTAAGCATTTACTTGGCTATAAATTTCCATATCCCCATAATAATAATAATCATTTTCATGAATCATTTTTTGCCATTAATATTTTGGTCCCGGATATTTATTTATTTTATTTTATTGTAAATTTTAAGTACGCTAGCATCAGTGTCTTAAACTATTAAAAATAATTGAAATAAATATTAAATAAAATAAATTATAAATATTAGATGGAAAACTTACACTTACAAACAAAAAATCTAAATGTTGCCTTTGACAATTAAGTTTTACATGAACTTAAACTAATAAAATAAGTTTAAGTTCAAGTACTAAAATGACTAAAACTGTTGACAAATTTGACAAATGACAAAAGCAACAACAACAAAAAAACAAATATTTTACAAAAACTACAATTTAAATATAAAATAAGAGAAAATTATATAATTATATAATATATCAAAATATTAATAAATACAATAATAGTATATAAAAAAAAAGATAAAATAACACTGGCAAACATATGCTCAGCCTTAAAGGTAACAGATTAATTAAGCAATGCTTTTATCGCTTGTTTCTGCTCAATGCCTAATGGTGCCCCCTACCGTATAACAGTGAAAACACGGAAAACTGGAAAATTCCATCAATGGCGGGGAAGCGTTCTCATAAATGATGTAAAATTCTGTCAATGGCGGGAAAGAATTAATAGCTACAAAACTCTAAAATATTAAAGCTGAAAACCAGTTAAAAATATCTACATCAAATCGTTGCTCTCATTGACTTGGCTGTTCAAAGACTAGAGACCATCCTGACCGATCTCTAAATGAGTCTTCTCCACAAACTCCCTTCAAAAGAGTAGCATTTCTCGGCCAAAATCACAGGCCAAATCATATTTAACTCTTCAACATGTTCCTCTGAACAAATGGTGATACTGATTAATTCATCAATCGCCTCAGACAGCAAGCCACTTTTGGCATCTTGTCTTGTATTCCATTAAAATTTCAGATTAAACACTATGAATATTTATACGGCTTTAATATTGTTCAGTGATCGCAACTCAAAATCACTACAGAAGAGGCACTTGGAAGCTAATCATGTTTTATGAATTGTAAGCCTGCTCTTCATCATAAGCATTCAGTCATAGTGAATCACTATGAAAACCGAGTTAAGAGTCAACAGCGGCACATGGCTAAATTATACATTAAAGACTAAAGCTTTCGCCAGCCTCTGGACGGAAAAGGCACACAGCATGTATGAGGGAAAAGAAAGGATAAAAGAGAGAGTGGGGGAGAGAGAGCACTCTTTCAAGCTCCTGTTAGTTCGGCTGCATCAAATCAAACATACAGTCTTGTTCTTTACTACAGGACTGGATGCAGAATTAATGAGAAGCTTTTCAAAGGGTGTTTGATTTGGACAGTTGATTAGAGCAACCAACATAATGCAAACATAAAAATATAAGAAATGCATACACATTTAAGCACATGTAAAGGACAAATGTAAAAAAAAAACAAGGTCTGTGTATGGAGCTGCTGTATTTGTGTGTCTCATTCCGATTCATTGCAAACAGTGATCAGTGCATTTTGTGTTAAGTTTACCTGAGAGGCTCAGAAAAGGTTTCTGTGTGTCTCCTCCTTTCCTGTCTTCCAGCAGGCTCTCGGCATCACCTTGAATGCCTATCACCATGGCGGTGGACGGAGGCCTAATACATGGAGAACCCGCATTCAACAACATGGTTTAAAAGCAACCCCCAGAATCCCCGAACTCCATACTCTCTCCACGCTTTAACCCACACAAATGTTTTTAGCAGGTTTTTGCCTTCACGCACAGTGTGAGCTACAGTGTGTGTGTACATGTGTGGGTGGACAGTGTTGGTTTCCAGTATTCAAATCTGTGTTCAAAGCTCTGACTTCCCAAGAGCGCAAATTAACACTCCTTCCCAACACACGGGCCATTTCTGAGAAAATACTATTATAGCAACTTCAAATGTTTAACTGGAAAAGGTCTCTGTGGGTCTTTAGCTAAATCTAAATTTAAAAATGCAGATAGGATGGCATAGAGATAGAAATAGGCCCTTTTCACAACCAAACTTCAATTCTTTCTCACTTCAATACTGAATTATAACACATTCACAACGCAGTCAAAAGTAACACTCACGTTTTGAAGCAGGGGTCCCCAGACATCAACTGTGTGCTAATAATCACCTGCAGGCAAAGACAAATGACAAAAAAATAAGAAACTGGATATGTATGACATTTAACATTTCATTTTTGGCCCTTACAGAAACTAACTAAATAAATAATGTTTGGATGGTTTCCAGGATGTTGCAAGGCAGTTGCTAAAGTGTTTATTAGAGCATTGCTATGCGATTGCTAGGGTGTTCTGAATGGTTGCTAGGTTACTTACTGCCCCAGGTAAAAAGAGAGGGACTTTTTCACCTGTTTTATCATCTGCCAGGTAAAATTCTAGGTTGAATTCTTTTCTTTTTTTTTGTACGGTTTTTAATAAGGAATACTGTATATGTAAAAATGCTTAAAATCACTAATGTGATGAGATTTATACTTGGTTTTAATAAAAAATACAGAATTGTATTTAGTTTTTTATTTATGTAATGTAATGTTTATTTAACCAGGAAAATGTGACACCATCAAGTGTAACATGGGACATGAATTTACATTTGATTTATTTAAAAAAAACTGTGAGGACATTGCCTCCTCATTTTAGAACACCACTGCACGCCACTGGTACATTTATTGCAGCTTCTCTATTCTTCTGGAACGCCTGATTACTACAAAGCCCCTCCGTCCGAGAAGCTTAGAGTGCTCTGATTGGCCAGCTGACCCAGTGATTGGCCAATCACCTCAAGCGTGTGTCGGAAAAGTAACGCCTCATGCCATAATCATGAGCTTCAGCTTCCAAGGCTTCTAAAGCAATTTTTGTAAACACAGTTAATAATGATTTTGTCTCTTTTACGGTATCAGTTCGAGCCCGAGTCAGATTCTGAAAATGCGGATGGATCAAGCCTATCGACCGGGACCAACTTTGCAAACACAACTTGAGCAGAATGTTTCACAGTGGAAAGTAGCCTTTGTATATAACCTGCATTGTACTCTCCTAGGTTCAGAATGCTGTCCTCTGTAAAATGCCCTGTGCACAAACAAACTTTTGGGTTGTACTGCTCAGAAATAGCTTTATAAATAAACCTTAACCTCTAAAAGCAAAAGCGATTTTGCTTTCTCATCCAAACACACAGCGTCTCCATGAAATGACGACAACACTTTAATTCACTGAAACCTGTCCTACTTTCTTTGCACATTCCTTTGGGGAAGTTGTATCTGGACTTTGATCAAGGCTTTTTAGGCAGGTCTGAATCAGTGCTCTCTGTTAGACAGAATAAATCACTTTGTGGGAGACTATGAGCTTTGTAACTTCGCAGAACGTATACATGCACAAAGAAAGACATTACACACTAAAAGAAAAAGAAAATATTAAAAAGCATATGACCCCTTTAAGATAGTATGATTGAAGATATACTCATCTAAGTTGAGGAGTTTGTAATACTAATTAGTGACCAATAGCACCACTAAGAACCACTAACTAACGTATAACTCAAGTTACATAAATCAAGACTCAAAGCATCAATGGAGTTTAGCTGAGAAGAAAGATCCTGAGAGGAAGTCTGAGCCTTTCTATACCTTAAGGATGGAGTTGTCTTGTCTAGTGTTTTTGGTGTCATAACCCTCCAGCAGACACCTGCGTGTGGTGCTACCCGATCCTGCAAACTCCGCAAGGTTGAGATCAGCAAAACCCAGCTATACAGAGAGACAAAGCAGTACACATTCAGGAAAGAAATTCAGTTTAATCTTGCTTTTGCCAAAAGAAAAATTATTAAAAATAAAAGGCAATTGACCTTTTGAATAAAAAGCTAAATAAAAAGGTTAATGCCTTTATGAACAGAAGTGCCCTGCTCATACACAAACAGAAGCGCATACAAACACAATGTTCCAGGGTGATCTATTTTTAGCTGCTACTTTGCTATCAATATTTTATAATCCTCTCAGAACTGTCTACTTGATGAATTACCAATGCCCTGTGTTAGTGTCCATTCATGAAAGGTACATTTTTTGTTTTTAACATGATTTTAGCTATATGAAACATATATGAATTTATAAGGAAATATTTATATTTTAGATTTATTTTTTTCACCAGAATCACATTTTAGCTTTTTTGTAGTTGATTTAGATAGTCCTGCAGTGTGACTAATTTTTAAAACTATTCCACATACCTTCTCAACTATCATCATGCTATAAAAAGCAAATGTGTAATAATTACAAAATAATTTGAAAATGCTTAAATCGTTTTAGATGACTTACAGCATATCAAACAGTGCACATCATGTCAGCTACCCAAATATATTGAATAGTGTTGGTATGTTTAATAATAAAAATAAAAATAAATTACCTTTGCGTAAGTCTTTCCACCTTTTAGTTCCTGTTACATAAAAAAAAAAAATCAAATCATTCTCAGAATTTCAACTCCAAACTGTTTATTGCTAACCAACAGAGTGTGCAGGAGTGTGTTTGTACCTTTCTGACTGAAACTCGACACACACAGGGGTCAAGGACTCCGGTTCCAGCATTTGCACTCATTTTACAGGGAAAGGAGAATCTTTTTCTCCAGCGTACACAGTTTGCCTGGACCGTCTCCCTGTAAAACACAAACACATATCGGGTTGTTAATGCAAGGTGTCACTGTAAAGAACACAGCATTGGCTCAAGGCTTTAAAACAAACACGCACTCATCCAAAACAGCGTGCACCCTCTCTCACACTATCTGATCTGCATTTGCAAAATCCAACAGGGGTGGACAGGTCCTGCAGCATTGCTCCTCAGGGAGATTTTGAAATTATTTCACAACAGAATGAGTCACATAATCCAGCCCCAATTCAATAGAGTGATTTTAATATTCACTTCAAGTCGACTGCATTAAAAGAGTCTGACTCACATTCTGTGATTAATTAGAGACTGGAGTCAGAAGGCCATACTGACAACAAGAAGTTTAATTAATTTCCAATCTGAAAATGGACCTGCATGTGGAGGAGTGTTCTGCTTCCTAATTAGACAGATGTTTGCAGACAGGGCAGACGAGCGAGACCCAGAGGGCTTTTGGAGAGATACGAGTCTATGAAATGAACTTCAGGGAAACTGTGATGCTATTAAACACATGTAAGAGAGTGATGTGAATTTAAGGATGTTAATTTAAAGAATTGTAGTCAAAGGACAGGGCTGCTAACTCAAAGATGCAAGGTTGTGCCCTTGTAGGCACTCCAGGGGGACGTCATGAATTGCTTTGGTCAAGCAGCATTGCTTGTGAGACTAGATTTTCACATCTGACTAAAATGTCAGTGGTATTGAGGGAAAGTGTACCATATTAATAAATAAATATTTCGTTAAAAGCATATATAGACTACTGTTTGGGGTAAAAGAAGTCTCTTATGCTCACCAAGGCTGCATTTATTTGATCATAAATATAGAAAATATTATTAGCCTACGACTTAAAATAACTATTCTATTCTAATATTCTTTTAAATGGACTTTATTCCTGTGATGGCAAAGCTGAATTTTCAGAATCATTATATATAATTATTTGTCCTTTTCTGATTTATTAAAACAGTATTTTGACGGGGGGGGTTTTAATGAAGAAAAAACCCTACCCCAAAACATGACCCTTAGGAGTTTATTGAGGGAAAACTCTTAGTTAATAGTGAATGTGTGTGTGTACCCTAATATACAATTTTTTTTAGCAAAAAAACACAATTCCACACCACATACTACACTTGCATTAACATCCTCATATTCTATCATTTCATAACGGTCCACAACGATGTCTATTGGAAACACAGCCAAAATAACACATAATCGGGCACCTCCCATCCAGCTGGAAAGGATCCCTACCATAAGGCTCAAGCTTAGTGCCGATTGAGTCATTGGGTGAAACCACAGCTGGATGAAACCCTCAACTCTGATTCTCTCACCAAGGCACCAGAGGCCAATGACTTCCCTAAACAAATGTCAATACTATCCTCCCAACAAGAAATGATTTTCCTTCTACTAAACATGGGTAGTTTCTAAGGAAATAAACAGTGTGAGAGTTCCTTACTGATAACAATTACACATGTAAGAATGATTCATAATGGCTGTAATGCTCAAAATATCACACTTTTTATTCACAATAGATGGGCAGAGGGAAATGATCCTTCTGTGTAAAGAAAAACCTCAGAGGACTTAGCCAGCACTGAAAACCCTGGACGAAGAGTACGTTTACACGACAAAGATGTACTGCAAACAGAAAAGTTTTCCCTTTACGTTTTTTTTTGCGTAAAAACGAAAGACAACTAAAAACGAAAAAAGACAAAAACAACTAAAAACGCTGTATTAGCCTATACATAACAGGCCAGTAGTTGACGATGTCACTTTGTAAAGAAACACTACACACCTGCACATACGCAAGTCTATAGACTGAACGCATAAAACGCATGCGCATGACATCAATTTTCACAAATTCTCGTTTTTGTAGTTTACACGGAAACAATGAATCCCATTTTCAAAAGTTTGCATTTTCAGGCCCCCAAATGCCTGATTGCCGTTGTTGTGTAAATGAACGGCCAAAATGCATAAAAAGTATCCCATTTTTAGTTGTCGTGTAAACGGCCCCTAAGGCTCTACAGATCTTTGCATGACTGTAAACAACAACCTGCATTTCACTTTATAAATTGAGCTCTTGACATGCATATTACAAAAAAAAACATTGACAAGTTAAAATCAATGCAAAATCAATTTAGCAAAGCCATTTTCCTCTGTAATAAGACACATTTCTGAGCGAAACAGGATTCTAATATGCCATCAAATTATATTACATTTAGATGTCATGTTGATTTTAACTGTTATTACTCCTTTACCAGTCCAAAGTGCTGCTTTGCTGCCTCTTCTCACCAACATAAAAGGTGGCACTGAAAACTTATAATAAAAGGAGGACATGATAATGTCAGGTAACATGACTCCTTTCCTAACCAATATGATTATAGGCAAATTACTGGCAGTGAGACTATAAAAGAAAAACTGCAGACTCATAAATCAGACATACAACCCGGCCAAGTCCAGAGCTCCAATCGATACAGGATGCTCCATATTTGTAATAACTGCACCTGCAGGTCAAACTTAGACTTTTGCTTTCCAGCCATCACAAAATGAATCGTGCTTAGCCTCTGACTCTCTGAGATAATAAGACACCATTGGTGGCGCACAGAGCTTACTGGAACAATTTAGCATCACAATGACTCATTATAACCTTCACTACAAAGCACTAATGATGTGAAAACACAAAGAACATAATGAATTTAGTAGCATTAGGTGCTAATGCCATGCATTAATAGCACAAATGAAAACAATTCTTCCTGGAAATACTTTTTACTGGTACAATACTTTTTTCCCATTGGTCCATTAGACACAATTATGCATGTGCTAGAGTCATTAGCATCACTCCTCTCATGGGAAAAACAAGCTGTTAATCTCATTTATGGGCTTGATTATGCCAAAATGTGCAACAACAGGCCTAATATTGTAATACAGAACCATGAACCATGACAAGCCACTGGTCTGATTTCCGTATTTAGAATATATGCCGTTGCCATGGCAAAGTCAGTTGAACGAATGAGAGCAGGAGTGCGTTGGTTCTGTGTGCTTCTTCCTTGGGTTCTCCCAAAGGATGTCTGCAATGAAACAGGAGTTCTTCAAAAGGATCACCACAGGCAGATGGAGGCACACTCAAGCCTATAAAAGGAGAATAAACTCACGAACCTCAAGACACTCCCTGCAAACTGCAGTTGAAAAGAGAAGCACTGGTGCAGCCCAAGCTAGATCTAAGCTGCTGCGGTGTTAGTCTACAACTCTCTTTCTGTATGGATGAATACGCTACTTGCTTATGGGAGAGATGGTTTGAGGAGAATTTGTCATGGTGAAGTTTGACAGCCCACTGTCACAGCCTGACACGTTAATATTTAACTGTGGGAAGCCTTTGTATTGCGGAGCTCCAAAAGCGAGTGAATGACAAACGTTGCAGCAGAACACAGATAAAATGAGAGGGATAAAATGATTTTGTAAAAATAGTTTTTTAAGGGATCAATTAATTTTATCCATTTTATTGATTAATTGGATATTGCACATCTTGATCAGTGCACAAGTCTATATAATAAATCTAACACATTGTGTGCAAAAATAGTTTCAAATATGAAAGTTAACATATAATACATTTTAACTGAATAAATAAATAAACAAACTACCAAACCCGACCAATCAACAATAAAATTACCTGTCAATACTTTTTATTATTAATTTTATTATTATTAATTAGTTGTTGCAGTCCTTTTTTCCTCTCTGCTGGATGCTAATGTAGAACTGTTCAATGTCACAGGGACTTTATAATTTTTTTTGTCTGTTTTAGCCTGAAACAAATCATAAAGAAGTAAACAGGGACAGAAACATGAGTGACACAATATTCCTAAAGCTCAAACAGTAGAACATGGTGCTAACAACACCAAGATCATGGGTTTGATTATCCGAGTGAACTGATCAAATGTATACCTTAAATGTACAATGTACAGGGGTTGGACAATGAAACTGAAACACCCGGATTTAGACCACAGTAATTTATTAGTATTGTGTAGTCTCTTTTTGCAGCCAATCCAGAATCATTTTTTCTTGGGAATGACAGATACAAGTTCTTCACAGTGGCCAGAGGGATTCCTCTTCCAGAACAGTTGTCAGGTCATCAAGCACAGAAGGGAATGCCATGATATTGCAGCCAAAACTGATCCACCCCCGTGCTTCACTCTGGGCAGCAATAGCAAAAGAGGTTAAACCTCTTTGGGGCTTCTCCACACCAGTGAAGGTGAATTCAAAGAACAATACATGTTTCACATTGTCCACAGCCCAGGATTTGCACTGTTGGAACAAATGAATCCAACAACTGGTATTGGCAAGAGTGACCAAAGGTTTGGCTATAGCAGACCGACCAATCTTGACACTGTGGATGTGGAGCTCCCGACGAACAGTTTTGGTGAACAGGAGAGTCGAGGTGCTCATTTAGTTCTGCAGTGAGTTGGGTTAATATTTTTTTTTGGATACAATCCGGGTTAGTACCTGGACATCCCTTTCAGATAGCTTCCTCTTGTGTCGACAGTTATTACTGTCGGATGTTCGTCACGTAGTGGAATGCTGACATTCCCCTGGATGCCATAGCTCTCGATACACCACAAAGACTTGCTGTCCTGGTCACAGATAAGCCAGTAAGATGAGCACCAACAATTTGTCCTCTTTTGAACTCTGATATATCTCCTATTATTTTGTGTGGATTGCAATATTTTATGTAAATCTGTGCTATTGCTCTGCGGTTTCAACCTTCACACTCTGCTCTTACTGATGGAATTGTAATCAGTGAAGATTGGCCACCAGGCCACGCATATAAATATAGGCGTGAAACCTCCAACACTATATTGGCCAGTGTTTCAGTTTCATTGTCCAACCCCTGTATAACCCCTGGCCTGGATAAAATAATATTTATGCCAAATGCATGAATAAATTAAACATAACACTGGAGGGTCCAGCACTTGACTATCACATTTACAAGACATTCATCGTGCAGAAATAATCTGTAACACTGAACAGTTCTCTTTGCTGCTCTACATTTGAACCTGTGATGCATACATACTGCATGGAGGTCAACCTGTGTGCAGGTCTGAGAACAGAACAGCTCGTTTACACATCAAACAGACAGACACACACACACACACACACACACACACACACACACACACACAGTTTTAATGCTAGGCCTGAAGTGACTCAGCTCAAGAACTGCTTAAAAAAATAAAGCAAAAACAGCATACAGGATGTGGTTGATTGATAAAAGTTAAAAATTAAAAACAACAAGTAAACTCAGACCAAATTTTGTTGGTTCTCCTGACAAAAAAAATATTTTGCCAGTGGGAAGTGACTTATTAGCTCAGGTAGTATCATTTTTCAACAGTCAATGTCAGTGACATCTTCATATTCACATTGATCAAATCCAAGAGCAGTCCACTTTCTTAACATTATTTTTATCCGTGCCCTCTGCCATTCTATACTTACTAACTAATTTACAGGAATTGATGTCAGCTTCCTAGAGCACCAGGCCATTTCCTCTTGAGTAAAACTTAAATCATGTAGCCTAGGTCATACATGGTGTAATTATTCATAAGCTATGACGGTTTAAACTTCATTTGTATATAAAAATACGACTTACATGCTGACACGGGTTTTAACACCTTAGGTTAACAACCTAAAGTTGGCTAAAAATCTACATGAAATGAATTCATTTTGAGTAAATTCCACATAATATAGACATTATATGTAAAAATAATCCTACATCACTAATCTAACATGACAATATGAAGTCACCGTTAAACTTGTTTTGAAATTATCAGACCTACAAAAACACAAAAGTGTTTGACTTCAGTCTTGACATTTAGTGTACATGACCTCTTACACACGAACGTAAACAACTAACAATCTTTAGACCCTTTAACACAGACCCTTCGTCCCCCAGCTCTGAATATGTACTATATGTGCACTAATTTCTGATTCTCAATATGAATGAATAGCCTATATGTTTTGGCTTTATTAGAAAGCAATACAGAATGAAAGCAGCCCAATATCACCTATTCCCATAATAATACACATCTTCATTCCTCCATATTTAACAGCCTCCTTACCGCGATGACTCCTCCGAGAATCCGCCGTCGAGCAGGCGGACTTTACAGAACAGAACTCCGTTCACGAACGGAACCGAAGACAGCTCGTCAAGCTCAAAATCCACTCTGAACTTAAACTTCTTTTTCTTCATCATCTTGACGTCGATTGCTACCAGTCCTGTTGCGCTCGATAGGACCTTTGGTCATACGCGGTGGAGGAGCATCACTTTTATTTGCACATCTTTGGTTAACCTCTGTTGTTGGAGCTGATAGCCGTTAGCCACTAACGTTAACGTTACTAGAATCTCCCTTTGCTGATGATGATGTACGAAAGCTAAGCTAACGATAATAATATAGTCTTAACGAATTCTTCTGTCATCTTCTACATCGTTACAGTAAAAAAAAAAATTATGTTACAGAAAACGGATATGCAGCCTGTGGATGATGGACTGTTCCGCTCGGTAGAGGCTTGTGTTGTGCTGCTGTCGTGTAGTAGTGGAAATACAGGCGACGCTTCTTAAAGGGCCAGTCAACTCATAAAGCTAGAGTGAAGCAGGGGGACAAAGGACAAATCATAGTTCAACCAGTTCACATCTTAAAAAAGAAAAAAAAAAGTTTTTTTTATTGTAGGCCTATATAATATTGATAGTACTACACAAACGGAGAAATCCTTAAAGTGCCCCTATTATAGATTTTTACACACGTAGTGTGTAACATAGGTCTAAGTGAATGAAAACATCCTGCACAATTTTAAATCTGAAAGTTCACCGTATATGAAGTTATTGTCTTTTTAAAAAGTAAGAGTCGATTCTGTCAATGAAATGAATAATTTTTCAAATGAGTCATAAGCCGTTTCGTTGTGACGTCAAGACGAAACATTAGCATATTGCAGGCGCAGAGGGAAAACGTCTCCAGTTACTATCGTAACCTCGGTTCCCTGAGAGGCGGGAACGAGACATTACGTCATACTGACGTATATGGGAACTCCTCCCTTCTCCATTTTCACTGAAATCTTATAGGATAACGCCAGCTGGAGACAGCTGGCCAATTGACGCAAAACATGCAAATGCTGACCGGTCCGCGGGCAGTATAAAATAGCATGGGCGCGACAATTACGTCAGAATCAAGACTGAACGCTAGCACAGCTGATCAAACGGCGAGCACGGCGGTTGACGTAATGTCTCGTTCCCGCCTCTCAGGGAACCGAGGTTACGATAGTAACCGGAGACGTTCCCTTTCAAGGCGGTCACTTCGACATTACGTCATACTGACGTATATGGGAACTGTATAGAATCCCGCCGTGAGCGCAGTGAAGATAAGCCCTGAACGGGGTCAAGCTACACTCCCACAGGAACAACAGTTCTAAGCCAGCAGCGCCGCTAGGAGCACTCAAAACTGATAGGCGAAACTAGACCAACGTCTGCTCCGGCTTACCAAGTTGCGCATCCACTGCAATGAGGCGAAGGCTGCACTGGACAGGGCAGCAGAATACCATAAGCACTCGAGCACAAGAGCTAACACAGTGTCGACGGCATAGCGGTGACAGCTGCATAACCTTAAGCCACACACAGAGTTAACAGTACGTTGGAACTACTGCGTAATGTGGAAACAGCTATGTAACCTTATAGTCATAACACAGAGTTAGCAGCAATGGTAACTCTGCAATACAGACTACTGCACAGCTGGTGGTAACAGTTTCATGAGTACATTGATAAAACTCACCGAACCCACGACGCTAAGGTGGTGCATCAAACTTGGAACCCTGGCGAATGTGTTCTGAGAAGACAGCCAGCATACCTAAATCCCGTAGGCATTAAGCAACCATATAAGCATCGAATTCAGAGAGAAGTCTCTGTATAAAACAGCACGTCCCTAGTACCATCCACCAAGCACACAACAGCTGGTAGACTGCTGCCAAGTGATCCACGTACATCCACAAATCCCTTACAGGGCCAACATCACTCTGAGCATCGGCATCATGCGAGGCTGAAACTCAGCAGATAAGGCGGGCAGGGATCAACCTGTGCTCTGAACGGTGTAAGCGACTTCGGAACGTAGCTTGGTATCGGACTGGGAGTGACGCTGCAGTCATCAGGTCCGAGACAATGCGACAACATTCACTAGAATGAGCGTAAGTCTCCAAGTGCTTCGCTGGGGCGAGAGCCGGTGGTAAGGCCATCTTAGGGAGAGCTCCGTTTCTCAGCACTTGTCAGTGTGAAGTGTCTTGCTCAACTAAGGACCCAGCAGCGGACACACAAGAAGGTTCCACAGCTTGGGGCTGGGGTGCCACCTTGTAGAACATAGCCGATGTTCTATAGCCAATGTACAGAAGTGCAAATCAACACATAACTGAATGTACATAAACACAGTGCCAGTGGCCGTAGCGACGACAACTGTGAATATACGCAGTTAGAAAATAGCCCCATAATAGCATAGCACCTCAGTAAGCAAACAAACAGTCATAACTGTAGCTACAACTGTGAATATATGAGTTTGCACAGAATAACCAGTTGCCCTGATAGGAACGGGGCAATATAACAGCGTAGCACATGCACGTACAGCATTTTACAGAAACTTAAGATGCATAATTAGATTAGGATGGCTAGCAGCACTGAAGGAAACAGGGCAGCATTACTAGCATAACACATCCGTTTACGTACATACATCCAGAACTGTGAATATGCACGGTTAGATAGGATAGCTAGTTTTGCACTGAAGGAAACAGGGCAACAAAATAGCAAAAACACGTCCTTGTACGTGCCGTGTAGTCGCCATAGCGACAGAACTGAATATGCAGTTAGAAAGCAATGATAGCTGGATGTTGCACTGAAGGATAGAGGGCAACATAACAGCATTACCCATCAGTGTGCACATATCAAACATCTGAGTGTATAATGCGGTGCAAGTCGATGAAGCGACCGAGACTGCATGAATATGCACAGTTCACATAATGGTCAGTTACGTTAGCAACATAACTGCATAATCGCTTCAGTGTGGACACAGATGCAGCGCAAGTCGCCGTAGCGACACACTGTGACTATGCACTGTTAGATAGGATAGCTAGGTGCACTGAAGGATACAGGGCAACGCGATAGCATAGTCACATTAGTGTGTACAAAAACACAGCGTCAGAGGCATCGCGACATCGACTGTGAATACATAGTAAGTCAGAATAGCCGGTTGCACTGATGATACAGGGCAATATTTGGCGGCGTAAACATAGCACATCAGTGCGTAGCGTGTACACAGCGTCAGTTGCACCGCACAACAACTGTGTACGTAATCAGAATAGCCATTTGCACTGAAGGATACAGGGCAATGTACAACGGCATAAGCATAACACATACAGTGTGTAGAGTGTACATAGACACGGCGTCAGTTGCATACAAGACAACTGTGAATATGCACTGCGTAGTGATCAGAATAGCCATTTGCACTGAAAGAAACAGGGCAATATATAATGGCATAAATCATACACATAACAGTGAGTATGTATGTACGTAACACAGTGTCAGTTGCATCGCACCACACTGTGAATACGTAGTAATCAGAATAGTTATTTGCACTGAAGGATACAGGGCAAAATACAAAGGCAAAATTCATAACACATAGTGTGTAGTGTGTACATAAACACAGCGTCAGTTGCATCGCACAACAACTGTGAATACGTACTGCATAGTAATCAGAATAGCCATTTGCACTGAAAATTACAGGGCAAATATTATGGCATAAATCCCCACACATAACGCTGTGTAGTGTGTACGTAACACAGCGTCAGTTGCATCGCACAACAACTGTGAATACGTAGCAATCAGAATAGCCATTTGCACTGAAGGATACAGGGCAACAACGGCAAAATTCATAACGCAGTGTACGGTGTGTACGTAACACAGCGTCAGTTGCATCGCAAGACTGTGAATACGTAGTAATCGGAATAGCCATTTGCACTGAAGGATAAGGAACAGGGCAATATATAATGGCGTAAATCATACACATAACAGTGCGTAGTGTGTACTTAACACAGCGTCCGTTGCAACGCAACAACTGTGAATACGTAGTAATCAGAATAGCCAGTTGCACTGAAGGGTACAGGGCAATATCGTGGCATAAGCATAACACACACATATCAGTGTACATAAACACAGCGTCAGTGGCATCGCACAACTGTGAATCAGAATAGCCAGTTGCACTGAAGGATACAGGGCAATTTATAGCGGCATGAATCATGAACACATTTCAGTGTGTAGAGTGCACGTAAACACAGCGTCATTTCATCGCACAACAACTGTGAATACGTGGTAATCAGAATAGCCATTTGCACTGAAGAAACAGGGCAGCATATAACGGCGCAAATCTTAGCACATATCAGTGTGCAGTGTGAACAAACACAGCGTCAGTGGCGTAGCGACAACAACTGTGATTACGTGGTTAAATCAGAATGGCCAGTTGCACTGAGGGATACAGGGCAAAATATAAGGGCATAACAGTTAAATCATAGCACATATCAGTGTGCAGTGTGTACATAAACACAGCGTCAGTGGCGTAGCGACAACAACTGTGATTACGTGGTTAATAGAATAGCCAATTGCACTGAGGGATACAGGGCAATATATAAGGATATAACAGTTAAACCATAGCACACATCAGTGTGCAGTGTGTATATAAACACAGCGTCAGTGGCGTAGCGACAACAACTGTGATTACGTGGTTAATAGAATAGCCAGTTGCACTGAGGGATACAGGGCAATATATAAGGGCATAACAGTTAAATCATAGCACAAATCAGTGTGCAGTGTGTACATAAACACAGCGTCAGTGGCGTAGCGACAACAACTGTGATTACGTGGTTAAATCAGAATAGCCAGTTGCACTGAGGGATACAGGGCAATATATAAGGATATAACAGTTAAACCATAGCACATATCAGTGTGCAGTGTGTACATAAACACAGCGTCAGTGGCATAGCGACAACAACTGTGGATACGTGGTCATCAGAATAGCCATTCGCACTGAAAGAAACAGGGCAATATATGACGGCACAAATCATAGCACATATCAGTGTGTAGTCTGAACATAAACACAGCGTCAGTGGCGTAGCGACAACAACTGTGGATACGTGGTTAAATCAGAATGGCCAGTTGCACTGAAGGATACAGGGCAGCCTGACGACATAAGCTGTAAGCTGTGCACCTCCATTACCAGAGCGGGGCGTCCTGACGCGGCGCTCTCCGTGGCCTGTGTCGCCACATTCCCGGTCCCGCCCTCTGCCAACGGTGAAGATCCGGTTCGTTACGGGTTCGAACCGTTTTGGCGGCTGTAGCCGAATTAGGCGGGACGAGGTGCCGACGAAGAGAGACATCGAGGAAGGCTGGACGTATAGAGATCAAAAGTTTCGGTTTAATGTCTGGCCGCGGCGCGACTAGATTTTATCTGCTGTGAGAGCTGGGATCGAACACGGGTCTCCCGTGCGACGGCTTTGGGGTTCGCCACTGAGCCACAGGGGGAAACAACCACTTTCGCGCCTTTAGACACAGAGCCATCGCCTTGCCTCGTCTCTCTGGATGCGTCTTCGCATGACTTACCATAGGACGTCGTGAAGACGGAATCTTTCTTGCAGTAGCCTGGCTGTTAGATACCGGGCTAAGTAAAATAATAAAAGTATCCTTCCGACGAAGCCTATCGCGTCGAGTCCGTCTAGCGAGCCCGCGAAAAGGACCGGAGAGGCGACGGGCAGGTTAAAAATGTATCTGCTGCGAGAGCCGGGATCGAACACGGGTCTCTCGCGCGAAGGCTTCAGGTTCCGCCACTGGGCCACAGGGGAGAACAACTGTCAACTCTTCTTTGGGCGTTAGAGGGCCCACCAGCAGCCGCTGGCGGCAGTGGGCCTCATCCCTGCTGATGCCCGGAGTTTATGAGGGCGCGCACTGGTAGACCAGCACGTATGCCAGTCGTCCGTGAGTGCGGCCTCGGTAGATCCTTGTTTGGGTAGAGCGAGTCAATACCGCACATATCTGGCATGTAGCAGCCATCGGATGCGGGGAGGAAACATGGTGAGTAACCTCTATTGCAACTTCCACGATGACTTCAGATAAGACTTCTAGCGTGAAGAAAGAGATTCTGACGTAATTGTCGCGCCCATGCTATTTTATACTGCCCGCGGACCGGTCAGCATTTGCATGTTTTGCGTCAATTGGCCAGCTGTCTCCAGCTGGCGTTATCCTATAAGATTTCAGTGAAAATGGAGAAGGGAGGAGTTCCCATATACGTCAGTATGACGTAATGTCGAAGTGACCGCCTTGAAAGGGAACTTGAACCTCAAACACTGCAGCTGATTCCTGTGGATGCTGGACAGCATCATGTCTAGAAGACGCTGTGCTCTACAATGTGAAGGTAAAGCCAGTTTTTTTCACTGCCCAAGGACGAGCATGTGAAGAATCAGTGGTTAAAATTAATCTTTACCATGATACCACAGCAGTATAATCCTAAACTTTTGCTGTGTTCCATTTATTTTACTGACGACTGCTTCTCAAATCTCAGAGTTCAATGCAGGTTTCGCAAACCGCTTGCTCTTGAAAGATGGTGTTCAAAAGACTTAGTTCTGAGTTTTATATTGTGTAGGTCTCCTGCTAACTTAACTCACATTATTAATGTCTTACTGAAATACTTCTGCAGTTGTGAGCCACTATTACCTAAAACTGTGTCTATTAATGCAGATCGTCTGTCATTCTCACTACTTTGAGGAAAGATTAAGCATGGAGCAAGATTTGTTTTACCAATGTTTGTTACATCATTCATTCACGCTAGAGCTCGGCTAATGTACTTGTTATGTGTGTTATTGATACAGTTTCCGTAAGTCCCGCCCATCCGTAAAACTCCAAGTGGACCTCTAGATTGAAAAAGCGTCAATGCAAGTGAATGAGAGAAAATAATTATTTTCTGATCCCGTGAATTGTGCCATGAATGTGAACATATGTTGTCTGTGAATTTTTTATATAATTTCTTATGTAACGAGTTTGACAGTAGTATATTGTATGATTCTTTGGCTAGCAGTTGTGGAATAGACATAACGAGAAAGACTACACGTCGCATATGTGACGTCACCGCATAACACATTTTCCCTCCACAAATCAAGGTGCGATAATCTAAGGAATTAGATCGAGATGCCTGTGTGTTTTGTACCCAAATGTCACCATTCAAACAAAGGCATGTTTAGCGGGATCCGTGTGTTAGTCGTGGTGACGTATATCAAACGCGTCGAAAGCAGCGAAGAGTTCACAGACAACATATGTTCACATTCATTGCAAAATTCAAACGGGATTAGAAAATACTTATTTTCTCTCATTCACTTGCATTGACGATTTTTCAACCTAGAGGTCCAGCGGGGTAAGCGGAAGGAGTTGCGTGAGAGAATCCACTGGTGTCATTTGATAAATTATCAGCTGAAAATAGTGCTGTTGTAATAATTTTATTTTAGCAGAAAGGTTGTAGGCCCTATTATAATTATGTTAAGTACTATAATTAGTATGTTTATTACAAATAAAACATATTTGGGGAGTAAATTAATACATTCTTTTTAATAAGTGGTTGCATGGTATACAATTGTGCATTTCTATATACAAAATAAGCTATATTAGTTGTCAGAAATGTATTTATTAATAACAACAATAATAATGATAACAACAGTAGTAATAGATTATTATTGTTATTAAATTAATTTATATATATATATATATATATATATATATATATATATATATATATAGCTGTTATTATTGGTTCTTGTCTTTTTGTTGTTGTTGTTGTTGTTGTTGTTGTTGTTGTACATACAGTAAGCGGATAGTGGTCCTACCGTTTGTAAATAATAAAATAAAAAATTACACCAGTGCCATCCTTCTCATACTATTTACTCTGAAGCTTGTTCTTTCATATTGGAGCTAGAGCTCTTGGTGCAGACCTTATAAGTGTTTGGTTCATTTGGTCAACGTGAACGCAGTTTTCATTTCAGCTACTTGTGTGAGTTCTGTGGAAATGAAAGGGTAAACTTAAACTTCACCACTAAAAACTTCAGAGTGGGATGATTCTGAGTCTACACAGTCACGCAATCATATGGCGCAACACTGACCACTAGTGGTTCATAGTAGTCTAACACCTGCCATTAACAGAAAAGAGTGAACTTTATTTGTATATAATCTTCTGTATGACTTAACACACACTAGGTGGCGCTGAAACACTTCGATTGTAATGTTTCTATTCTGATCTAGCTAAACTTTTTGGAACATAAAAAAGTGAAACTTCTATTAAACGCAACAATGTTAAAATGTTTGATTCGCACTTCTTGCAAAAAAAGAGACAGCCTATTTACTAAAACAAAACAAATAATATTTTGGGGTTATTATTAGATCTAACTACAATATTCACCGTATAAGCTGCGTGCATGATGCCATTTCACAGGTGCGCTCCATTCTACCGTTATTGCAAAGGTTTCTTCTATTCCTCATAAATAATTTATGTAGTTCACATAAAGTTTGATTGAAGGCTCACTAGGTTTGGAGGATTATAGTAGTTATGACGACTAGAAAAAGAAGTCACGCGCAACGTTTAGCGTGTTCAGTGCGTCTCTCCTCCATCCAGCCCCCTCATTTCAGCTCAAATGTCACGTCACTGCTGCTTCTTCTCAATCCAGTTTCATGCTGAGGACCAGCACCTGCCCTCATCTGGAATTTACCTTCTGGACTTTTGCAAAACCTCATCCCGCTTCAGTTAGTATTTCATCTGGAGGGCAGTGCAAATGGAGATGTGTTTGGCGGTTTATCGTTTTTGAAGAGGAAAAGCCCAATTTGAACGCACAATCTAAAGTGCCATATGTTTGAAGGGATTATATCAAACAACTTGCATTATGACCGAGATGGGAATTTGGTGGGTTTTATGGGTCATGGCATTCGCTCTCACTTCAGCCGCCCCGAAATCACACCAGCGACTTCTGGAGGAGACAAAGGAACAAAATGACACATTGCAAGTTGAAAGAGATAATCATGAAACTATATTAAGTCAGGTAAGATACTTTTCACCAGCGCTCGAAATGATATTCCACTGTAGTTTCTTTAGCCTATAATCTGCAATTAGTTACATGTCATAACTTTCATTAATAAGTTATTCATTCTGCACAATGCCTAACATATCGGTTTTGATGTAAATTCAAGTAAGACTATCCTATAAAAACATTTAATATATATATATATATATATATATATATATATATATATATATATATATATATATATATATATATATATATATATATATATATATATATATATGAATCAAATAATTAGGCCTGTATGATTCAATCCCTAGAAGTTATGATATTTCTAACTATTTGAATGCATGGTGCGAATTGGGGGAAACTGAAAAGTATTCAGTTTTTAGCTCGTCTCAACATCATTCTCGAAGAAAAGTACAAAATTGCAGTCCATACTAAAGGCTTGTCGACTATATATCAGGCGTTGGGTTCTCCAGGGAATTGGTTCTCCTGAGGTAACTATAGCAACAGTAGGCTGCAGGATCAATCGTATCGGACGGTCAGGGGCGTAGCACAAGATCCCGGGCCCTATGCATAGGCAGTCCTGATGGACCCCACAATGCAATGCAAACAGCCTATCAATTTAAAATTAAACATGTTTCAAATTAGGCTATTATAATGAAGTTTTGTATGCAAACAGCATTATTAGTGTACAGTTTACACGTATAATCAAATTATCATCTGAAAGTGTATGTGGCAGAACATACACTTTCAGATGACAATTTGGTTATATGTAATCTGAGGTAAAGGCTAAATAAGTAAACTGTACACTAATAATGCTGTTTGCATACAAAACTTCATTATAATAGCCTAATTTGAAACTAAAATTTTAAATTAATAGGCTATAATATCTAAAATTAGCAATAATAGGCTAATTAGTCTCACTCATAGGTAGCTTGGTAGCTCTGTAGCTACAGTGAAACTCGAAAAATTAGAATTTTTCTGCTCTTTCATTGGGTTGTCTCAGTTCATTTTTAGCACTAACGAGCAGTTTAGCACTATAAATTTCGTGTTCTGGTTTGTGCTCACCTTTCTTTGAAAAGAAGTCAGTAACCAATTGTTTCCCCTCATTTTGTTTTCTTTCCTTCTCCTGTCTTTCCTTTCTTTTTTGGTGGCCTGATTTAGCTTTCTTTGAGAAAGACATTTCTACAGCGCTCAACGAGATGCAGCTCAACTAACATTTACAAAATGCGTGCAGATGGACTAAACCATTTGGCGCATTAACAAGGGGTGGGACCATAAGACCGTCAATCAATCAATCAACCAATCAACCAAGTTATTCAGTTAATACACTAACTTTACATTTCATCTGACATTCATTATGAAATTTAATTAGGAAATGAAAATATCAAGGTAAAATCAAATATATTCCAGACTTTTCAAGGGCCCTCTCTCCCCTTGGGGCCCTGGTAATCAGTACTGGTTTTACCCCCAGTCCGACGCCCCTGCGGACGGTAGCCTACACAAAATAAGTAGGCCTATAGCTAGCCTACTGACATTGTTTATCGTAAAATTTTGATTTGTTTAAAAATTGTTGTAGGCTACTGCTAGTTGTGCCATCGGTGACAATCGGTTCCGCGAGACGAATCGAAAATATTTTTAAACGCGCAGACTGTTTTGAATGCGAAGAAGTTTGTTAATGTTATTAATGAAAGTTATTATAAATGTTTCAGTTAGCTAAATGAATAGACAACTTTGGCAATTGAAAAAAAAAACCCATATAGGCTACAAACAACGACAGTCAGTCAGATATGTTACATTGCAACAAAGTGCGGTGATTTTGCTTGCTGGAAAATGCATCCGTCCTCTTTTCTTTGTAGCTGCTGGGTGATTATGACAAAGTGAAAGCGCTTTCGGAAGGCTCTGACTGTGGCTGTAAATGTGTTGTCAGACCTCTGAGCGCGAGCGCGTGTCAGCGGATCCAGGACGGTCACGCGACGCCTCAGGATTTCTATACGGTGGAGACCATCACATCAGGACCCCACTGCAAATGTCAATGCATTGCTCCTCCGTCGGCTCTAAACCCTTGTGAGGGTGACTTCCGTTTGAAGAAGCTGCAACAGGCTGGGAAAGATAATGTCAAGGTGACCATATCTGAAATTGGATATTATATATACCAAAATATGGCAGGATAACAATGCATAACGCTTCGTATTCTAAAATAAAACCAGCTTTTGCCATGATGGAATTTACTTCATCGTTACAGCTGTCAACTATACTGGAATTGCTGGAGGGTTCCTTCTATGGCATGGACCTATTGAAATTGCACTCAGTCACCACCAAGCTTCTTGATCGCATGGACACAATAGAAAAAGTAAGTGTTGTTTCCTTTCTTTTTCTTATACTTTTTAAACACATTATTGATGTGTTTTATTATTGACAGATGGTCTTAAACAACCAGACCGAGGAGAAGTCGAACACAAGGAGCAACTCTCCGAGTCCACAGTCACCCACATCCTCACCTTCAAATCTGTCCTCTGAACAGCAGCTGAAGAGGACGAGTTTGAGGGAGCAGAATGACGAGGCAGCTGCTTTTCGACACATAGAGGTGGGAGGTGCTATTTAAAACAAATGTTGCGTTACATAATAATCATGTCCAATACGTAACAGTGAAACAATCCAAACATTATGCTAGTCACAAAGTGAAATGGCCCACCTGCTGCGGACGTTTATTTATTTACTTAGGATCTGTCTCAGAGTCAAAAGTGACCTCATGTTGTGTCTCATGTTGAAACTCTTACTAATTTATCCTGCTGTCAACTCTTACATAATTTGGCATGAAAAGAGCCAAATGACTTGTCTTGGACTATCAAAGATCCAATATAGATGATGATCTATTAATCTGCTAAAGGGATAGTTCACCCCAAGATTAAAATTATGTCACGATTCACCCTCATGTCGTTTCAAACCCATCAGTCTTTGGTTAATCTTCAAAACACAAATGAAGATATTTATTTATTTAACCTTTTTGGCTCTTTTAAGTTTTGTTTACCTGGACTTTCAATGGAGGGACAGAAACCTCTCAGGTTTCATTACAAATATCTTAAGTTGTGTTTCAAAGATTAACCAAAGTTTTGGATTTGGAATGACATGAGAGTGAGTACTGTAAATTTTGGGGTGAAGTATCCCTTTAAGAATCACATCTTAAAGGTATAGGGTAGGCAAATTCGGAGAGACAATAGTTTTGAAAGTATAAGATCCCACCCTCCCTTCAGAGATCTCTCTCCAAAGCCATGCCACTTCAATCACTTCTATCATTGATTGCTATCAGGATGTGAAGAGTGTTTCAACCAGTATAACAAAAAGTGTTTATAAAAACAACTGCCTACATTTAATGGCTGCAGTATCACAGTGTCCTCTGATGTACTGAACAGAGTAAATACGAGGAAAAGTTTGTGGGAGATCTTCTGAAGAGCAGTGGATCAGACTTAAACAAGGCCGTCGCAGCTTTGCAAGAACAAGAGCGCCAAGGAAGGGAGAAGCAACCAAAAATAATTGTTAGGGGGATCACATACTATAAATCTGACCCAATGGATGAGACAGACACAGAGGAGAACTGTAAGTATAACTGTGGTTTCAAAATCTATTAAAAATGATGACTGCACTATATTGGAAAAAAATGAATTGAATAGCTCTATTTGGAAAGAATGATTCATTCATTCATCTGATCTGACACTGTGAAACACTATATCATGTATGATGAGCTGCACTTTGAGTCCAGTAACATACACAGTATGTTTATCATATAGGTTTGTCAATCGCACTAAGCCATATTGCAATATCAATTTTATTTTGATATATGGTTCAGCCTAATTGAAAGTTCTCAGAAAGAGAAGTTTGAGAGATTTTTTTCTAGGCTACCATATAAAATGAATTGTTCTTCATTGCAGTAGATGATAGTCAGAGTGGTGACAGCCCAATTGATCTTTTTGCCGACGAGCAGCTCCTTCATCACAAAGCACGCCACTTCAGGCCGGTTATCAAGGCATGGTCTGTCCGACCAAAACCCAAGAGTGAAGTTTCAAAAGGAGGAGATGTACGTAACGGCCTTCAAACTCCATTTACTGGACTGTTGGACTCTGCCCTGCCGATTAAGACGCCTACTGAACCGATATCCGTTCAGGCTCAAACCAGTCGTTCCACCAAAGACAACTCTACAGGAGATGAGAGAACCACACCGACACCTGCTGTGATCGATATTTTGAAGCTCACCATCCCCAAGGAACATACCAAACCTCAAACCATCGTCAACAAAAAGGAGGCAAGCAACGTGAAGCCCACAACTCCACAAGCTCAAAACATGTTGGTCAGGTCATCCAATCTGGGCCACATAAAAACAAATGAGTCAGTCACAGCAGCTGCTGCTAAAGTGGTGGCTGCAGAGCCAACCGTGACAGAACAGACCAACGGGACTGCTGAAAAGGAAACATCTGTATCTTCTGTAAACAGAAGTGGGACTGTTACCAAAGAAAATCTGAAAGAAGATGCCTTTCACACTGGGAAACCTTTGTTTTATTCTGAAAGCACACTTAGAAGATTAACACCATCACCAACTCCTCATTCAAACACTTTAACAGTCACAGAAAGCTCATTGGGAATAACTGCTCACACAAGCACAGCTGCCACCATTGTGACGACGCCACATGTCACTGAAAGCAAGACAGTTACCTACTTACCTAAGAAGAGTCCTAAACAGACATTAACCTCAGTGGCGTCTTTGATGACAATTACAGGAACTACCACCACAACAATAACAGGCAAACCTGGCAAACGCAAGTATAGCATAAGCTGGGATGAAGAGGAAGAGGTAGTGGGAGGGGAGCAGAGGGACCGAGAGAAAGCTGTAAAAACTGTGGTGGAACAGAACGTTGGAGAGGAACCTCAAAAGAAGTCAGGTATAGCTTTATGATGTTCTTGTATGTATGTATGTATGTATGTATGTATATGCAAAACATTTTCCATTATTACTTAAATCAGAGTTAAATCAATGTCAAAGTTAAATTTAGAATGCGGTCTCTGCACTGAATATGCATAGTTTAGCATAAAAAGATTCAAACCAACGTAATTGTGAATGGTTTTGTTTTGTTTGCAGGAATATGTAAGGACACCTTGGCCACAATTTCAGAGCCCGTCACACACAACACATATGGTCGTAATGAGGGCGCTTGGATGAAGGATCCGCTGGCTCAAGATGACAAGATCTATGTCACAAATTATTACTATGGCAACAACCTACTGGAATTCCGCAACATGGATGTCTTCAAACAAGGTATCTCTCTTTAATTCAAATGAACACACTCAGAACAAATAAGCAATTTTACTTGATTAATTTTCTTACTTTCATTCAAGGCCGCTACACTAACTCCTACAAGTTGCCTTATAACTGGATCGGCACCGGCCACGTTGTCTACAACGGAGCTTTCTATTACAACCGGGCATTCTCTCGAGACATTATTAAGTACGACCTGCGGTTGCGTTACGTGGCTGCTTGGACCATGCTGCACGATGCAGTGTTTGATAATGACGACGTGTCTGCGTGGAGATGGAGAGGAAACTCAGACATGGATCTGGCCGTCGATGAGAGCGGACTTTGGGTCATCTACCCAGCTCTAGACGATGAAGGCTTCTTGCAGGAAGTGATCGTCTTGAGCCGCCTGAACCCGAGTGATCTGAGCATGAAGCGTGAAACCACCTGGAGGACCGGGCTCCGGCGCAATCGCTATGGTAACTGCTTCATCGTATGCGGTGTTCTTTACGCGACGGAAAGCTACAATCAGTACGACACCAATTTGTCCTATGCCTTCGACACCCACACCAACACTCAGGTGATTCCTCACCTGCCTTTTAGCAACAACTATACTTACATCACTCAGATCGATTACAACCCCAAGGAGAGGGTGCTGTACGCCTGGGACAATGGACATCAGGTCACTTATAATGTTCAGTTTGCTTATGTTGACCCACTGTAGACCCTGATGGCAGAGCAAATACGTTCTTTGCACAGAATAGGAGAAACCATTAATGTGTTCGTGGATTGTGGATCAGTTCACTCAGCTTTTATTAACTCCATGTAGTTTAATGTACTTATTAATATACTGTTATGTTTTCAAAGTGTAAAAATGGACCCATATCTTTACGTATATGGCGAAAACTAAGAAAAACACGTATAGAATGCAGCTTTATGCAGTTTGCATTGACGGTCATTTCTTTAGATATTGCAGCTTGCTTTTGCACTATGAAAACGGACCTCTTTATGTTTATAGCTGTACCTGAATGACAGAATTATGAAGTTTTGAGGTGTTGTATTCTTAAATCCTGTAGAATACATTGTATATACTGTAATATAAAAGCTAAAACCATGTGATTAATGAATGTAAAAAATACAATTTGTGTTTTCATAAATATATCTCAAAGTTTGTTTGATTTTTTTTATCACATGCATATAAAAAATAAAGTTTACAACTCAATAAATTCAGTAAAAGCAAGAGTAGACAGTGTTCAGGGCACATTTTAATTGTTTTATTTCATCAGTACGTTTGATACATTTGATCAAATTACAGTACTGTTTGTAATCTTTCAATGCATATTTTATTGCAATTTCATTTGAAACTCTTCTAGCACCAACTAAATTAAAATCTCTGTCAAACTCAGAAAAAATGGCTGCAATAAAATGAGTTGAATTAAGATTTATGGAATTGGTCTTCTTTTCATATTGATGATGTTGAGCGAGTGTATTCTCAGCACAGACCGTCTCATTGGACACTTAGATAAGAGCAAAATGCTACACTGTAAACCCCTTGATCCACAGAGCTAAATCTAGACAAACAAAACACATCTACCATAGTTGAAACCAAAAACATTGTTTACCCCAGCCTTTGAAATGACCTATAATTAACATGTTACAGCGGTTCAGACCCCACATTTATACAAACCTTCAATTTCAGAGAGCAAATTCAGACTTAAGACTCTTGTCTGCGCCCTGCCGACAGAAGATGCACACAATTCACCCACAACCTTGAGTCCAGTGTTTATTACTTTGTTACACAATTCTTTTCATTTCTTTCACTGCATGAACAAACAAACAAAAAGTATTTCCAAAAATGCAGAAATTAAATATATTAAACATCAAAAATATTGCTCAAAGGTAAAAGGGAATTTGATGAAATTAACTCATGAGTATTAACTCATGTTTCAAACCAATTATGAACACAACAGACATTACTACTGAAATGTGGTCGAAATGTGATATTCTCTCTCACTAAATACTCTAATAATCATTCAGATTTTGAGAACAAAGCTTTACCTGAGTTTTTATAATCTGTGAAATTCAAATAATGAAGAATCCTACAACCCTCTAGGAGTTCTAATGCTGATTGGTCGGCGCAGGCAAGTTTGTCTTGGAAGGGGAATGGTTCTTTGAAAGTGACAACAGGTTGGACAGGACAAGCTGATGATTACAATGCTTTCAAAATGATAACTGACTACGGCATCCTAAACAATACAAGAATAGAGCGAACATCTAAATAGGCAAGAATAATAGAGACGAATACATAGTGTACAAGGACAGATGAGGTAAAATATTAGCATTAATAATGTCTCTTCTACAACTTCAAATTAACCAGTGTCATGTTAACAACTGAATTTATGTCAAGTAAACCTCATTAAAAGTGTGATCAAGCCACTAAGATAAACATGAGGTCTTAAAATATATCAAAGAACTGACAGATGTTGCCTAATCTCTAATCCCCAAACTGCTACAGTATTCCAAATTAGCAGATAGTCTAATTTAGTCTAAAATGATTCAGCTTCATAGACAAATCAAAAGATAGAAGTATTATCTAAAGACTGTATCTTCTTTACAATTTTTTGAGGGATTTACATCACTGTCTGGAATCAGAAGAATGGAAAATGCAAGAAAATGATACAAAATGCCTCTATTCACAGACACGAATGGGAAATAATCAATTTTCTTTCTTTTCTATTCAACAGTTATGTCGTAACAAAACAAAAAACTTAACAACAAGCACAAAATTCAAAGCCAAGGTGGGTTGTTTGAGGATAGTATTGAAGAATAGTTAGCTGAATATGACCATTAAAGGTGGACCAAACAAGCTTGGTACCAAACTTCATAAATATTTCAATACATTTTATAAACAACAAAAAAAAGCACAGTGCAAACAAAATCGAAGACAAATCCCTGACAGCCACCACATGGCAGAGAAGAGTTCAATAATTGAGCCCAATTGCACTTTGGTGTGGGAGATTTGGTAGATGAATGCTCCTGTTGGCAGAGCATGGCACCAACAACACTTAGGTTGTGAGATAAATTTCTAGGGCGCACAAACTGAAAAGACAAGTATATCTTGAATGCGCTTTAAGTCAAATACATAAATGTAAATGTAGATGCCTTTGAAGATAGATGTGTAACAGTAGTCTCTGGAAACAATAGCCTGGAATAAAGACTGTGATTTGATTTTCATTAGTATTGAATGGCCCACTTTATGCATTTTGAAGAGGTGACTTTAAGATAAATTGTCAATCAATTATCTTGGGGATCTTGGTAGTAGATTACCAAGATCTTGGATTGCCACTCGAATAGGAAAAAAGAAAAGAAAAGGGGAGGCTTATTATGAAACCAAATAGATGATGGTGGGAAAACTGGCTAATTCACAAAAGATTGGTGGATTAGTGGATTGCTGGGACTAAGAAGAACCCATGAGGACTCCAACTGGGGCGGCGGGCTGGTTGTTGCTGGGAGCCGCGTGATAGAAAGAGCCTGTGTCCGTCTGATTGACCCGCAATATGGGTGGAATACTAGACGACTTGATGTGGAGGATCCTGGTGTCCATGACCTCACAGTCGATCTGCATCATCACCTCAAACTCTTTGTCTTTTATGACGCTCTCTGCAGTGAGACAGAAAAGTAATTGTATTAGCAAAGGAAAAATACAAATGGTTGTATGAAACAGCACTTGGTGATCAGTTCTCAGGTCAGGACATCACAGGTGATGTGCTGGGTGGCCCGGAGGCATTTTAGGGGCTCCTTTCACACAGAGTTAGAGGTTAGTCACACGCTGGCATTTATTTTAACATAGCAGTAAACACAAGAGATGACGACTCCCACATGAAAAAAATGAGAGCTATACTTACTACCATTCCAAAGTTGTTGGTTTTTAAAAAAAGGTAATACTTTTTTCCATTTAACAAGATAGCATTATTTATCAAGTGACAGTAAATACATTTATAATGATATGATTTCTATTCTTCTGTTCTTTGGAACTTTCTATTCATCAAAGAATCCTGGAAAAAAATCAGTTTCCACAGAAATATTAATCAGCACAACTGTTTTCAACACTGATAATAATAAGAAATGTTTTTTAAGAACTACATAAGTATATTAGAATGATTTCTGAAGGATCATGAGAAACTGAAGACTGGAGTAATCATGCTGAAAATTCAGCTTTGCCATCGCAGAAATAAATTACATTTTAAAATATATTATTTTTCAAATTGTAATAATATTTCGCAATATTACTGTTTTACTGTATTTTTGTTTAAGTAAATAAAAAAGCCTTGATGAACATTAACAAATCGTACCGACCACAAACATTTGAACGGTAGTGTACGTGAGCAAAACATCAACAATCACGGTAAGGATTGTATTTTTCTTAAGATCTTTGTGGAAAATAGCAATGAAATTTCATGACTGAAAATCCAATTGCCAGCATTGCATTTCCAATACAACGGATTAAAAAAATGTAATTTGGATTAAACATTTTAGGATTTTTTTTTGTTGACACTGAACAAAAGTCTCAGACAATTGCAATATCTAGCAAATTAAATATTTTAGAGTCGAGCAAAAATATAAACTATTATATTTACTATAGAAACTTTACTCATTTCTTTTCCAGGCCTGGAGATCACTATTTTTAAATTCCTTTTAAATTTATATTTCCAAGTTTTCCATCATCGTGGAAAGTCAAGTCGAAGTCAAAATATTAACATAGTTCTATTACATAGCAAATTTAAAAAACAATAGAATTTAACCACAATGTACAGCATAATTCAGAAACCCAAACAATGCTTTATCATACACAAGTAAACAGGTAAATGCCTATTAACATTTATCAAAATCTACTGGTAATTAAGTACAGATTTAACACTCCTATTAGATTCATCCATTGAGACTGTTCTAAAATATGTAGTAAGCAATACTGATCAAGCTTTGGTTTAACTAACACTAAAGTCTAAGGTCAGGTTGCGACTTCTTTCCCCATGTTTTGACAGACTCATAAAAGTGCTCGTCAAACACAAGCAGTGATTATTTTGTAAGGAAGCATTAAAAGCATGATGCTTTACACTCACTACAGATGTTCTATGGCCTATCGTCTATAAGGACAGCTCTCTATACCAAAAAAAGATGAGAGAGCTTCACATGTATGCACAGCATATGGGCGGCAGGAAAGTAACTTTTACAGCAGACTCAAGCACTGATAAAAACTTTATAGGCTGGAGAGTATCACGGTAGGTCAATCTAAAGCACTTTTCCAGCCATTGCTGGTGAATACATTTACACATCCTACACTTAGTCGTTCCTGATGAGCGCTTCAGCCGCACACCCACAATGATGATCTCAGAAGCGGTGATTTACAGTAAACTTGACTGTCAGTCTTTCTGAAACCAAAATATTCCCATCTATCTCTGATACTACCACAATGTAATGGAATAGAGTCTAAAAATCTCACAGAATGTGTATTTTCACAGGTGCTTTTAAAGAAAACCTCAGCAGTGCTGCAGAAATCATCATAGATGATGGGTTATAGCAATTGTCTCACTGTATTTCACTGCAAGCACTAAAATGACACTGAACTGCTGAGCTGTACACATCATCACATATAAAAAAAAAAATATATAAAAAAAAAAAGATCTTTTCCATCCTATATATAAGTTTCCAATATGTCAGAAATGTCATTTTCCATTCTTACAAAAGGCTTTCCGTTAGGTGAATTCCCTTTGGATATGTCTGGTTCTAGGCCTGACTTTCCAAAAACCATTTAATATACTGATTAAGGCAACATGTGGACTCAAGGGTAAAATCCTGTTGTGAACCTTTTAGCTTCCAGCCAAACTCACTTTCCCCCATTACAGCAGTGGTTTGCCCCAAAATGGTTGATTTTTAACGCCTAAAAGGAATAGTTCAGCCAAAAAAAAAAAATTTTTAACTGATTTGTTATGAATTATATTGTTATGAATATACTGATTTGTGACCAGTTCCTTAATAAAAAGAACCATCTCAAAAGAAAGAATCAATTCAACTAACTGACTAAATGATCCAGTCACAGTGATTTGTGAGTTAACAGTTCACAGTAGGAAAAACATCATAAGTAAATGTATTTTCAGGTGTTTCTGCACAAAGAGCTATAGTATGGTTTCAAAAGACTTTGAATATAATAGATAAGCTGCATGTCGTCAGTCACTATGAACTGTCTACGAACTGGACAACAATTCATTTTGTGTCCATTTGAAACAACAAGAAGGTGAGTAAATTGCACAATTTTCATTTTAGGGTGAACACTGTCTGATATGACTTCTTCGAAAACAAACAAAGAAAGGGGAATATTATGGTCATCATCTTCAACATTCACAAACGATTATAATGCTTACTCACTTCCCCACAGGGAAGAGAGTGAAAGAGAACAGATAAATATATGTACTGACTCTGCCAGGCACTGTAACAACAGTCAACAGTCATGTTCAAAACCAAACATGAAATTATCAAAATTGACGGAGAATTTTTTTTATGTTGTTTTCAAGACAGAAATCAACAACCTTGAAAACAGAAAGATTTTTCCTCCATCCCCGTTGTGGAAAACACCCCGACCGAAACACAATCTTGAGCATGTAGAACAGAACGGAATCAGCTGGGGGCAATTTCTAAACTTAACTAAACTAAACTTCTGTTCCGAGTTGTCCAAAAGTTGTTCCTGTAATAAAACCATGTGAAAGCCAACTTTGAACATGCATTTCTAAATCGAAACAGGATGGAGCCAGAAAAAACTGACTCAGAGTACACAATGCTCAACTGTCTTCTCAAGAGGGAATACTTAGATTCGGGTTACATAAAAAATTCAAGGCTATGATCTTTAAGATACGGCAGGTTTCTTGTTTTCTGCTGAGCCTCACTAACCGAAGACTATGTGCGTCATCAATTACAACATCATGCTCTTCCGAGACATCACATTCTCACACAAACTCACGCACATAGCAACAGGAATGTTTATTCTTCTTTTCATTAACAACTTGGATCAAATGCCCACATTTTTGGAGAGATTGTTTTAAACTCTGCTTTTCAGTGCATTTCTTTCTCACAATTTTATCAGCTGTGGCTAGCTCGTTGGGACAGTGTGCACACCTGACGACTAGTCGGAAAGATTTCAAACAGATTTAAAAACAGGTTTGAAATCCATCCTAATGTCTGCGACTAGTTAAAGTGTGTCTCATGATTGCATACACTAGAAGAGAGACACAAACAAGGAACTATGAGATAACTACTAAAAAGTAGGGGCATTAGTCCTGATGTGTACACATGGTTTGCCAAGGACTCTGACATGAGGTATTAACACAATCATAATAGGAATGACTATACTTCTATCATTATTCTCTTTCTAAAAGGCTTAAACTCTTGTCTTTCACAAAAGCCTGTCCACCCTCGGACATTTCCCTGAGTGACCCTTCCAGAGAGTCCCAGTATGGGAATAATTGAATCTAATACTGAAACCATAGCCAAGGAATCAAAGGAGAGAAATTCGGTAGGGAATGTCTAGGAAAGGACTTCCCCCTTATTCAAATAGTATTTTAAAAATTGTTAAAGATTTTGAGAGTATATTGCGCAGTTGTGCTCGGATTTAATTGTTTTATTTGTGATAACGCAATGAAACATGCCAAATTGTGTGGACATCATTTTTGGCAAGGTTGTCATACAAAGAAAATTATGAACGCATGCAAAAACAAGAGAGAACCAACTAAATATTAATAACTTGATTATGTTATCATCAAAATATGCTTTTTCCTGAGCTTTTTGTTTCTCTATGCATTTTTTTTGCATAGTAAAATAAAACCTGTAGCTGTATTATGCATTTGTAAATATACATCATGTGTATGCATGTATAAAATATTCATATCCCGGTAATACAAAAATATAATAATGCTACATACTATAATATATATATATATATATATATATATATATATATATATATATATAAATATATAAAATGTTATTTACAATGTTATTAAAAAAATTACATTGTAAATAACATTTTATATATATATATAAATATATTATAGCAAAATACATTTTACATATTTTTAATATACACAATTCACACACACGCAACACACACACAACATAAATCAATCCCAGAAGTCAAATCAAATGTCAAGTCAAATGTTCTTTGTGCTACAAAGCAGTGAGACAAGGACCACAAGGATTCTTTTCTCTTACCATTGTAATTCATAGCTGGCAGGACCAAAGACATCTTGGGGCGGCTGCCTTTGTTGTGATTGTTGGCAGGAAGAAGGAGGTGATCCTATAAACAAAAGAAGAACAGCCATAAAAACATGAATAAGGAGAGTTTATTACTTTGGTGAGAACATAAATTACACTGGTCACTGTTGAAGACATTTGAAGCATCAATCTGGTTGCAGGAAAAGTCTGATTGTGTTGAACAGTAAGGGTGAAACAACCTGAGGATGAAGGCCTTGATATCCAGATCACACAAGATCACTTGTGTATAGCAGTATACACTAGCGTTCAAAAGTTTGGGGTCGGTAAGATTGGAGAGTAAATGTTTTGCTATGCTCAAGGCTGCATTTATTTGATCAAAAAGTAAAAAAAGAAAAAAAAAGTAATTTTGTGAAACATTACTACTCTTCAATATAATTAATAAAAGCTGAATTTTCAGCAGTCATTACATTACAGCAGAGAAAAGAAAAGCATACTGACCCAAACGGTAATGTATATGCAAACAACATTTGCTAAAACCAGTTTATTTCAGTGCAAGCTAGTTCAAACTTGAAGCGCTAGAGAGTGTCATATAACAATTCTATAATCGGGTCAAAAATGTATGTACATTTAGTCCAACTCAACTGTAACATTCGGAGACATGAACCTGTCAGGACACACACCTGTTGAAGACAGAAACCATATGGACAGGAAAGCCATGGACCCGGAGAATGTAATAACACTCATGTCTGTGTGATGGATGGGAAACGGGTCATGGATGTGTGACGTCTTGTGTCATGTAGACTTCAGTAAATGTGTTAGCGTTTAATACCATCTGTTGTCACTGTAGTAAAGATGTGCAGAAACCTGAATTCACAATGAGACAAATAGCTCACCCAAAAATAAAAATCCTGTCATTAATTATTCATCTTCATCTCATTCCAAATTACTTTTTTTCTTCAATGGATTCCAAATGTAATTGCCTTTTAAATGAAAGAAATGTAAAGTAAATGAAGACAATTTTTTCACTTTTGGGTGAAATATCCATTTAAATGTTCAATTCTGGTTCTGAATAAAAAGAGACAAAACACATCATAATATTTCTCAAAGATTATTACATTTGTGTTACATCATTCTGGCTCTTTTCCCTCTTCCCCAGGCCAATGTGGTTCCCTAGACTAGATTATGACAATGAGGTCTTTTAGGAAGAGCACAGAAGTTGCCGCGTTCCCTCTTTGTGTACTCCAGCAGGTGACCTGAAACCTGTGGGTGCAATCCTCCAATTCAATTGCCTTCATGACTAGTGCCAATGAGAGGGAAGGTGGACGAGAGAAATAAAGATTGAAAGGGCCAGTTACTAACCATCTCATCACATAGACAAACTTCTCATCAACTCTGAAGTGTGACTGTCTCAGAGGGAGCAGCAAACTGAGGATATTATGATCGGCTTACAATGAGGATAACAATTAACAAGAAACATCCCTAGCACAGTTTGACCGTTTGTAGTGCAACTCTGGGAGATCAGACAGCTTGATTCAATGGAACAATGGCAACAAATTAGCACTATTAAGTTGCAAACACAGTCCAGACAAGGATGCTGGGCTCACTGCACAAAAGCAAACCTAAATAGGACATGCAAATTCTCAGGAGACACATGACCAGAAACCTAGGAAACAAAATAAACAAACAAAAACTACTAAAGTTTATGAGAAAAAAAAAAGTTTTCATTTCTTACTGAAACAATTAACAACCACTTTCATCCTTTATTTGAACTGATTGCCTCTCCTCTCTAAGCTACACATTCTTGAAAACAAATCAGAAGAGGGCTGATCTAACAAGTCAAAGGACACCAGTGTTGTTTAGCAGTAGTTCAGGTGGTCAAACTCAACTAAAGACTAGTTCACCCAAAATAGTTGGAAAGGTTTAATTTACTCACTCATGGTTTCGGACTCATTACTATTTTTCTTTTTCTTTTAAATCAGGTAGGTGACTATTTTCATTTTGGATGAACCATCCATATTTCCTCTTCATAATATTTGTTTTGTGAAAAACCATAAATAACCCTCTTGAGGTTTTCTACAAAAACATTTCTTGTCTTTAAAAGAAAAATAATTATGGACAAACCCCTTTAAAATCTCCATATTTCACTGATTATCTGTTTACTATTACATAAGGTCACACATTAGAATCGTAGACAGACAGAATTGCAAATCTAACGGATTTTTGACCTTTTTACGTTCATAAATGGAGGTCACAATCTGAGGATGTTTTGGAGGAGCTGAGTCAATATTATTAAAGTATGACTTCCCAAAAGAGTGAACAAACCTAGAGACATAACGAAACACAGAAAACAAGGCAGTGACTGACTATGACTAAACCAGTCAAACATCTTCTGGCTCAACTCACCTAGATGGGGCTGATATTACACAAACACAAAAAAAGACAACTTTGATTTTAAAGTCTTTAAATCAAGTCGTTTAAAAAAAATCTGGCAGAACAAGATGTAGCGTCCACAAAAACATATTTATTTTCTAATTATGAGTCATTGACATTATGAGTCATTTCTTTGTTTGGTTTCACAAAAAAGAGAAGGGAAGAGCTGTTTGCCATTAAGAAAAATAAATCACCAGGATGAACTGGTGAGTGAGAACCATCTACTGTCATATTCTCTGCAAATTGGTGAAATATATGATAACACTAATTTTGCTTTGAGACATTGTAGTTTGTCTCAATTTGGGTGTGTTGTTTCCTTCGAAATAAAAGAGATTTAAGATGACTTTTTTCAAATATGTCGGGCAACATTATTCAAATCTTCTGAGTGAATAATCAAAAGCAGGTACTGAGTGTATGGGAAAAAACAACTTCAAACATAGTTAAGGAATAAAAACTTAGTAACTAAACTTACAAGGAATAAAGAACGAACTGATGAAAGATGACATGCAATTAAACTGAAACAAAAATTTTACAAGATTACAACAAACGCAGTCTGACTCCAAATAAATTACGCCCAGCTTGAGATCATATACATGTGTACAAAAAATTAGGCCTGACTCATTTGAATAACTCTTAGTCGATTCAGTTTTTCCCCTTTTACAAAGCTGAAAGTAGCTGCAAAAAAAACATTTGTTAGCTAAAATAAAAAATACAATCTATAAATGTGCACTAATACAGCAAAATCACAGCTCACTTTTAGCAAGTGACATTATGGGGGGGGGGGGTATTTGAGTAATTGTTCTGTGGCGCAGGTCATCTGGCATCAAATCATTTTTCAGGATACTTTGATGAATAGAAAGTTTATTTGAAATAGAAATCTTTGGTAACATTATAAATGTCCTTGCTGTCTCTTTTGAGCAATTTAATGCATCCTTGCTGAATAAAAGTATTCATTTCTTTAAATCTTATTGACCAAAAACTTTTGTACAGTATAATTAGTGTGATAAAATCTAATTTACATTAAAAAAAAAACTTACAGATTAGCTTACTGCCTTGTATATCTTTAAAAATGACAGAGACATGCGGTCAAGGTGGCAATACAAAACCGACTGTGTGTTTTATTTCAAACAAGAACGATAGTTTACAAATTGAAAAAACAGGAGTTTATAAAGACCTCCCAAGATTTAACACATGCTAGAAGATTCTCTGACAGGCCATGTGCTCTATTGTGGTGGAACCATCTCAAGTGTCCCTTTATGATGCTGTGTGGGCTCTAAAATCAATGAACCATGTTCATGTGTGGCCACAGGCCGATAGAAACCAGATAGATGAAAAGACAGATAGGCAGATAGATGGGGTGGTCAACTTACCCGGCGGAAAGAGATCACGTAGAATGTGTCCCCTCTTCTGTTGAGTTCATCAAAGAAGTCATTGTAGGTGCGGCGAGGGGCGTAATACACCTGCAGCTCGCTGCTGGGAACCCTACATAAAGGATACAAACACTTCAAACACTGATTTACATTTTATCACGGATTAGAACAGCATGTGCCAGTTATGATGTTTACTGCAGGTAAAGCCTTTGATTTGTACTGAAGAGGGAATTATATATATATCTACTGATTATTTCATATCAAAAATTTCCAGCTGTATCTGGTTTACTTTGCATATGTTATAATAAAAATACTAATTATCTAATCTAATTCTCACAAATCTCTTGATAAAACTCTTTCCTGTGTGAATGTGGCCTTTCCCCTGTCCCTCTGATGCAATGGAATGTCAGCCATGCTGATTTTTTGCCCAATGTACTGCTGAGGTCAGCCAAACTATAGCAGTCAAAAATATGATTTACCCTGAGGGAGAGCAAGTGAGCCACCCAAAAACACGAAATAAAAAAACAAACAAAAATAGAGGTATGTAAGCAGATACCTCTTTAAGGTGTAAAAATATTAAAGAGAAGAGTTCCAAAATGGAGTTTGCAGAGAAGGTCTACTCCCCTCTTAAAAGTCAAGTCAAGTCACCTTTATTTATATAGCGCTTTTTACAATACAGATTGTATCAAAGCGCTTCACAGTGATAACATGAAAACAATATAACAAAGTTTGTTTCTAAAAGAAATTGCGTCAACGTCCACCTTAAGTAAGGCAGATCAATAATATTATTGAATATTAAATGTTAAATGTCCCCAACTAAGCAAGCCAAAAGCCAAGGCAACAGTGGCAAGGAACCAAAACTCCATCAGGTGACAGAATGGAGAAAAAAACCTTGGGAGAAACCACACCGGCACCCACTTGTGAGGTGGCTTTGTGATTGGAACATGACAGCTGAGGGTCAATTTCACCCTTGAGACTGAGAGCATCTCGTAATTACAGGGTTAACATCTAGAAAAAAATATATATTAAAGGCTGAATGGCCTGCAAGAACAGCCTAAAACGATGCTTATATAGCAATTTGGCTGTTGTTATTACAGAGGCATTATAACTTCATGAAAGATTACAAACAAATGATGTTTTCTTGGAATAACATGTACGGATGATCGTGCACAAAAAGATTTTAAAAAAATTATTATATATGGCATTGTTTGAACAATTTCCCTCGAGCATTAATACTGAATTTGATGACAGCTTTAAAAAAAATATCTTAAATATTCCAGAATTCCGCACCTCTACACGCTCCAATTTTTTGCCAAATCTACCACCGACTTTGGCAGATGGCGAATTGGGCGTCAAACTTCAGTGTCTTGTAATACATAAATTCAAATTGTCCTCAGACCATTTCTCAGAACACACATTACTAAACATTACAACATTTGTACAAAGTTTACATTACAAATAAAGGGACTGTTTTTTACCGTTTTGCTCACATAAGCAAATACCCCATTAAAAAGGCTGTATAGCATAGGTGCAACACTGCAGAATCGAGAACTGATAACTGACTCTCATACACAGACCATGATGACAAATATGCTGAACTTCCTCACACATTTAGTGAAACTTACTTTTCAGAGGAATCCGTGTACTGGATCTGTGTCATTATCTGTGGTACCTCAGCCCGTTTATCTGCTGCTTTCTGTCGGACAAAGAAAAGAAAAATGTCACTTTCTGTTACCAAATTATACAAAATGAATACGAGCACAAGCACATTCCCATGTGTGTCACACTGTACGTGCTTTAACATCTCTATGCTTAAGCTCCTGTCATCGAGTGTTAGGCTGATAAAGTGCATCTCTCTCACACTTTGTTTAGTTCTGTGCTGTGTCGACAGTACACAGAGTCTGGGAAATAGCCATCTGTCAGTATACCCATCCATCTCCAATCACCTAACCTCTCAGCGCTCTGCATGGCAGTATTTACTTAGTGCCTCAGTCCTGGTGACGGAAAGCAAATATTGCTGCAACTGGCGGTACCGGAGTACACAGCTTTGTGATTATAATGGGAGCGAACTAGATGTTTGTGGTGAGGACATTATTTATCTGGCGTTAGCGGTTCCTGTTTAAGACCACCAGTTTTTCTGGGCCAGAAGGCCTTTAATGTAATGGAAACGCATGGAATGACTTCAGATTGGCCGATGGGAACCTATTAGTGGAAAATGGTTATCAGTGAATATATGTGTGTGTTTGTGTCTGTCAGGGCAGTTTCCACACATAAGGCAGACCCTTCGAACACAGGACAGCCTTTCAAACAATCAACCTGCTGCACACTATGCTTCTCTAAATCATAACAAGCTGTCCATCCAACTGCTCTCACTATTAGTTATCTGATAAAATAAATGATAAGGAACTAAAGCAAACAAGTACAGTCTGATTAATTCTGCCTGTACGGTGTATAAAGCATACAGCTTCACATTAAGCCAAAATGAGGCTCAAGGGAAGGTTTCTGGAACTAGAATTGAGAAGCTTTTTTGCCACAGGACTATTCATGTTAAATTATTTCAATACAGATTTGAGTAGACATTCTGCTACCAAAGATGGTAAAATATGTTTCTTGAACATTTATGCGATGTTATGCCACAGGTTATTGGTTCAAAAATAATGGACTGTATTCTTTTTAGCTTCCAGCCAAGTTCTTCAAACCTTTAGGCTACACAATCCTGTGGCTAATCTCTGATCTTTTATCATTGATTTGTGGCTGTGGTATAACCATTTCAGGAGTCAATATGTTGTATGACTATCAAATAAAGTAAATGTAAAATGCGTGTATGCATTTCAAGACAATTCTTTGACAATTTCAAGTTGGTAGCCATAATTTTTTGCCATATTTTGTCCCCTGCACAACAGACAAGCAGTAAATAAGGTTGTATAACCGATTCATATTTTCCCACCATTTTGATTTCAGTGTTAATACATTTATGCTGCTTCTGTGTATTAAATAGTAATGTAGAGTTTTGAATGGTAAACACTACCATTCAAAAGTTTGGGATTAGTAAGTTGTTGTAATTTTTGTTGTTGAAAAATTAATACTTTTATTCAGCAAGGACACATTAAATGTCTTTACTGTTACTTTTGATTAATTTAGAGTGTTACAAAAGACATCAGACACTACTTTAATAGTAGTGAAATATTAACATTAATTTATTATATGAATTGTGGAAACTGTTAACTGCATATATGGATTTTAAAGCTTAAACAGAGCAGCGAGGGTTTTTACACGCATTCAAATCAAGTAAAGATACAGACAGTGGTTTTGAAGCGAATCAGACTTAGTGTGGCAGAGACTGTAAAGGAAAAAAAGGAAATTAGTCAGAGAGAAGTCAGATTGTGGTAGGGGGGTGTTTACTTTCCCAAGACTACTGGATTATACTAAAAGTGGGAGACAAGCAGTGTGAGAGGAGAGAGAGAGCAAAGAAAGGGGTCTCATCCCTAATGTAAACATTTAGAAAGATCTATTTAAAGAAAATAAACAGTGTTATATCCTGGTGGTTCTCAGCTGCCTGTATCTGGGTTGGAGGTATGCAACAAAGAGTCTGCACTTGAGTCGTACCAATACAGATGTCATGCTGAAGGTCAAAGAGAAAGAAAAAAGACTCTTCAATGACTACAACTGGACAATGTCAAGGCCCTTAGGTGTCTCTCTCTGGCTTTGTTCACACAAATCTGATTTGGATTTCAAATCCAATCTTTAGGACAGATTTTTAACAATGTCAGAAAGAAAGCAAAAAATAAAGAATAACATAAATTTAGAAAGACAATTGGAGGCTTAAAAGAGGAAAAGTGTTGTAAGTTCATACCGGGATGGTTCTGCCTCTGTGTTGAGTGTTGCTCAAGCGGCGGGTTTTGGTCCGCTCAACCTCATGACGATGTACCCAGCCTCTCAGCTCATGCGCTATCCTATAGTTATGCAGAGCAGAAACATCCTCTCAATTTGATAAGATATCAGGCAGTAAAATGAAAAATTATGTCATTCAAAGAGTGGTTTAGCATAAAAAACATATGGTCAACAAGCTTTGTGGACTTATGAATTTTTGATGAATGGCTGGACATCGGATTTGAAATGGCAACCAAGCTAAATGATATAAGAAAGGTGTATACAGAGAAGAATAAAAATTTTTTACTCTGAGGTGCTTATTAAAGCTATAAGTTTAACATTAGCTGTTCTAAATACCCCGATATACTCACAGCAAAGTTCTTTTTTTCTTCGCTTAGGGATAAAAAGAAGTTTGAAATGCATGGCCAGCAGTATACTGTTAGGCACACTGCTGAGAGCAGCGTTTAGATGAATATGTTCTTTGAATATCTTTCCTTTTAATAACTAAAACGCACAACAAAAATGACAGTGGTGAGAAAACAATAGTTAAGGAGGATCTGTTCATAGCGATAATTTAGTGGATATGTTTGTACGAGCTCTGCAATGCGGCACTCCAGTAAAGTCATGTCACATTTATTTATAAACCAATTTATACAATAGATTGTTTAAAAGCAAGCAGCTTTTCAGTATTAAACATAAAAAAAGTTTCTGTGTCTCTTTCGATTAGAATTAAAACTTCAATTTCTACTATAAAGCGGCTCTCCAGTGTATTCATGTTTTTACTTGTAGGCGTCTGAACTCGACGGAATAAACAGAAGAAATGAACCGGAGAACATCAAAGGCGGAGCCTCAGAGTCACACCTACCTATTACGTACTCGCCACAGACAAATGGTAGTTCGAAGGTGTTTACCAGCCAGTGGCAAGCTGATTCAAACTCCCAACGAACAACAAACTTTATTTTGGCCTGATTTTGTTAAAAAAGACGTCACACCAGTTTGTTCTTGGATTTCTCTTCAATCAAGTATATTGGGGCCATAAAACCACTGTAAACCATGTTTTGTTTTGTTTTTTGTAAAATGATTACTATATATAAAACTGATGTAATAAGTGCGTTTATAGAGGATTATGAGGTTAAGCCATATTTGAATCCATTATAAAATAAAGGACTGTAACTATCCATTTTTAAAAAGCTGGTCTAACAAGTGTTGGAGCACCGATAGAAAGATTGCTACAATTATCTTTTACTGTCATAACAACAGAGCTCAGAAGGTTATGTACCAGACAGAGCTATTGTTTTGGGCTATTGTAATAAAAAGTGCTTCTCGGTTCAGATCAGATAGGCAAATTTAGGGCACTGCGGACTAGATGCTCTGTAGTACTCAAAACTTTAAGAGAACTGGCTTGTCCCAGAACTGCCAGATACTACTAACACTATTAAATGTATCATAAAACAACATTTGAATGTGAAAGGGGGTGGGGTAATGTCAACATTGATGTTAAACAAGCTCAGTACTGACTTTATGCACTTGGTCCTGTTGACGGGTGGCTGGCAGGGTGGTGGAGTTCTGAAATATAGAGGATCCTTGACCACCATCAGAGCCTTCTGCTCTGATAGCACATCCTCCAACCTATGAGAAAGAGAGAAAAAAATAACATTAAAGACAGGAAAGTGTAACAAGGAAAGAATGGAGAAGGGGGTTTAGAGTCTTTATAAGGACGTTTTAATTCCAAAACAATGTACGGAATTTTATAAGGCTCTTGTTTTAATCATCTCTTGGTACTGGCTTAACATCTGAAAGAATACCATGTGCAAGTGTGCAAGCCAAGATGGTTCTTTCTTATCTTGTCTTTGGGAAAAGAGAGCATCTCTAAAAGCTATAAATGAACACTGCCAACAACTAATGCCAAGTTCATGTTTAGCACAGGTACAGTGAACCTGTACTTAAAATAAATCCAAGACATCATGAACAACAAAATCCTAAACCATCTCCCTGCAAGAAACTTGTGTAGACATTTACAGCTTAACACAATAGCTCCAGAAAACCAGGAAAACGTGGCCTCTGAAACAACATGTCACACACTTCGGGTTGGGGATGAGTGACGGTGAAGCTCTGGGAAGCAATCTTTGCTGACATAGAGAAGCTCATCCCACAGTAGAAATAGTGAGTGGAAAGTCTGGATTACTGTGGGCTTAAATTTAAAGAAAAGAAAGAAATTAAGACAGCAGACTAAACTTCTTAATATATTTAGCACTCAACAATAAAAAATGCTTTACATAGGACAAACCCTGGACTATTAGAAACACAATCTCTGGGCAGATCCTAACTCAGACTGGGAAGCAGGCAGAAAGTTGAGGATAAACCCTTTAGAAATGTCAAATACAGGAGCAAGAGCTACGAGATCTGTGAAAATATTCTATAAACTGGAGATTTCAAAAGAGATTTCTGAATTCTTGCAGGGTAAATTAACTCCCTATAGAAAAACAACATCTGGATCTCAATATCCTCTGGATCTCAACATCTGGATCTGGATCTATATCCTTTCTCCAGTGCTAAATTACATAATTTAATTTCCTGCTTTGCTCCCCGGATAGCCAAAAAACTAACCAGCTCAAACAATCCAACCCTACAATGCCTTTCAAAGAACCTATTACACAGTTTGAACTGGATAAGAAAACTTTAGTCAAGAGTAGGAATGGCTGTTAGTGGAAAAAACAGCAGAAATGGAAAAGCCAGAGAGTAAATAAAGAGGCAGTGAAATAAAAACTGACCTAAAATTTAGCCTTGTGGAACACCAACTGTTTGGGCCAAAAAAAAAAAAACTCAGTCTTACTAAAGCTGGTGATTTTGTCTAACTCTGGCCCCAGGAAGTTTGAAACATGACCCCTGGGAGTGAAGTAACTCAAAATTCACTAGACCTGCTTGATGAATGTATTTGGGAAAACATAGAGACAGGTTTTCAAAGTAATCATGTCTTCAAATATCTGTCTTTTCATGTGGGGGTATTTGAAGTCTTCTATGTGTATGTTTTTGAAGCAATTTATTTGGACATGAGAAGCCAGTATTGCCTTTCAAAACATCATCCTGGGTAGATAAAATAACAAACTTAGCTAGCTGACCAGTTTCAGTATGAAAATGTGTGTGGGGGGCAGATGTGAAAACAGAGCCTTGTTCTCTTATGCAGGCATTTGGTCAGAGTCACTCAACACCTGTGCTGACGTGTTTTGTAAAACAAAAATTGCAAGCTTTGGCAGGAAAGGGTATCTGGTGTTTCCAGTCCCACACAGAGGACTGAGCATGACTAGGTGTTCATGCAACTGTAGAAGACTACAGAATAGTATTACCTGTTCACAGGGTTAAATGTATCAGTCTGAGGCCTGTCTGAATCGAGGATTCTCTCTGACTCAGGGGAAAAGCCCAGCAGGTGTCTGCCATTGAACGCAGGGGCAGCAGGAAACGTAGACCCTCTGTATCCTCCAAGCAGACTTGGTGGGACACAAAAGGAAATAAAACAAGTCAGGATATTAAAAACCTTTATATAACACATTCCTACTGGTTCCTTCAGAAGAGTTACATATGGGAATCTTTCCATGGGACCACCAAATTTTCCTTATGCCACCAAGTACTTCCATCTCCAAATTTCATGTGACACAGATTTATTCATTTACCAATCTGAAAGTGCAATCTGTAACAAATTAAAATACTGAAATGGTATGATTAATTTAAATTATTTACCTCATTGGACCCAAGTTGAAGACCAAGAAGACCAGAACTGCCATAAGACACACAGCCCTCCGTTTTGGAGCTGTTGCTTTTAGCACAGAGTTCTTAAGAGATGAATAATGATAAGGTATTAGGCAAGGCAATGCAAAGCAAGTTTATTTATATAGCACATTTCATACACAATGGTAATTCAAAGTGCTTTACAGAAAAGGAATTAAAATAATCATAACATAATCACAGCACATGCATAAGAAATAAAAATATCATGTATAAGAAAAAATGTCCTTTCTGGAGTGGAAGAAATGGAGATTCAGGTTCATGATTTTACACTAGACATGCCCCTTTTAGTGTCTCTTCTTCACTCGTGAGAAGAGACACTAACATAATTTAGAGCAACAGCACACCCCATTTCAATTTCAATTCTTCATATAGTAGACAAAAATCAACCCTAAAAGCTCCATTAAACACAAAAAAACACATCAACAGTATTACTTTGAGTTGGTCTGCTAATAATCAAAGATCTTCCATGCAATTACAGCCTCCAATTAGATCAAGGTAAACTACTGTTTAAACGTTTTGGGTCATTATTTTTATTTATTATTATTTTTAAATACATTGATACTTTCATTCAGCAAGGATGCATTCATTTGATCAAACAAGTCAGCAAAGATATTTATAATGTTACAAGAGATTACTATTTCATCAACGCATTCTGAAAAAAAATGTATTATGATTTCCACAAAAACATTAAGCAGGACAATGATTTTCAACTCTTATAAGAAATGTTTCTTGAGCACCAAGACAGCATTTTAGAATGGTTTCTGAGAGATCATGTGACACTAAAGACTGGAATAAGATGCTGAAAATTAAGCTTTGCCTTCATAGGAATAAATTATATTTGAAAATATATAGCCCACATAAAGCAGTTATTTTAAATTGTAATATTGTTTTACAATATTACAGTGTTAACTGCATTTTACTGTATTGATCAAATGAATGTAGCCTTGGTGAGCATAAGAGACTTCTTTCAAAAGCATTTTAAAAATCTTAACAAACTAAACTGTTGGAATGCTAGTGTAGAAAGCATGGACACCCACCTCACTCATCAGGCCTTCCACTTGTCTTTTCAATGTGCCGTTTTCATTCTTCAGCTTCTCGTTCTCAGAAAGCGCCACCTTCAGACGGGCCTCCAGCGTCAGCAAATACTCTTTTTTCTTCTTCCGGGAGAGAGAGGCAGACTCTCTGTTCTTTATCATGCGCTGCTGTCTCCGAGACGCACTTGACTGGAAGGAAAAAGAGAGAAATCAGGTCAATACTGGTCAACAAAACTAGTAATTACACTAGTATTTGTTCACGGGGTGTGACACACAGTCAAGGTACTTTGTGGTTGAACTTGCCCCCCGCCACACAAATGAGATCTTGGTCTCATTTATTTGTACCAGTTATAGCCTAACAGGTCCTGCAGGAATAAAACGATCATTTGCGACATGGTTGAGTCATACTAAATGTTCTTTATAGTGCAAGAAAATTAGAAAAGTGATTTTGGCTAGGATCTCAGATTTTTGCATTAGCTGCACCTTTGATCAAGACAAATTACATGTGGCTGGATATCCATGTGTCTGTGTCCCCTTTCTACACACACACACACACACACACACACACACACACACACACACACACACACACACACACACACACACACACACACACACACACACACACACACACACACACACACACACACACACACACACACACACACACACACACACACACACACACACACACACACACACACACACACACACACACACACACACACACACACACACACACACACACACACACACACACACACACACACACACACACACACACACACCACCTAAAGATAATAGCAGACAGGACCATCTGGCATACTGTCCAGTATAGAGGAATGTGAAAAGAGAGAAAGACCTAATGTCCTATTTTCTATTCAAAGCCATGAGATTGTTTCCGTTGCTCATTATAGGTTGGAATTATAAGTGGAAAATTGAAGAGGAAAAATTATAAGAAATGAAAAGTAATTAATGCTTTACTTTTTTTTAAATACAAGGACACATTAAATGGACCAAAAGTAACAGTAAAAGACATTTATCATTTCTATTTTAAATAAGTGAATAATGATACTGAAAATTCAGCATTGCCATCACAGGAATATATAACATTTCAAAATATATTGAAACATTTATTTTTAAAATTGTAATATCTCACAATATTACTATTTTTACCAAGTAAATGCAGCCTTGGTGAGCATAAGGGACAAAAACATTTATAAATATATATATACATTTTTAAAAAAAGTCACCGCCCCAAACTTTTGAACTGCAATGTATACATTTTATTTGTGATTGGAAATGCTATTAAAATACATGATTTTGTTTGGGCAATCTGAGCTTTCTTCATTCAAATATATAGCAGTTGTACTTGTATGGCTGGACAAAAGAAACAAAAAAATGAACCATTTAAAAAACAACTACGCTTTCTAAGCAGAGACATAACAATGAGCCCTATTCTTACATGAAAGCTTTAAACAAAGTGTTGAATTTATGTATGCTCCCCTTTAACAATGTTCTGGAATTTGATTAAAACTCCAACCTAATTAAACATAGTTAATTAAGCTTACATAAACAGGGCCTGTTCATAATTAAACCACCACCCAGTCCTGACAAAACTCAGGGGTCAGATGCTTGCAGCAGACATGTTTGAGAACATACCTCACCCTAAAGAGAGGAGAAAGACAAAGGTGAACAAAAGAACTTTACTGAAATAGACTAAAGAGAAACCGAGACCATTGGTAGGGTGGGGTGGTCTGTTCTCACAGCCAGACCATTTTAAGACTGTGGCCTAATAGTCATGGTGATTAAATTGCTTGGATCTCCATGTGCCTGTTTGTGCTCCCATCTCATGAGAAAGCTCTCCTAAAACCGGGAACCGGGCCACGGCCAAGGCCAGGGCCTGGGAATGAATAACATGTTTGGTTACAAGAGCACGGGGTGCCATCACCATGGCGATCAAATCGGGTGGGAGGGAAGGGATTGGTGGATGTTGGCACAGCTCACCAAAATTCAGCTTTACTGAAGACTTGTGCTGAAACAATGAAAGATGTTCATAACATTTCAGTTCCTTATGTAATTTAACCAAAACCCCAGTATATTCAAACCAAATGTCTATCACCCAACACTCAGACTGATGGCAGCCACTTGATAAATTTACAAGTATGACCGTACGACTCAACCAAACCAATCTACCAGAGCCAAGTAGGCTCAAAACACCAACCACTGGATCTTCTTCTAACCAACCAATTCAGTCTGTCTCTGACACATTCTCGCTGAATTTATATGTTAGCTCATGGTTATTACTCAAATTCACAAAGCTGATCCAGCAGTTTTCTAACAACATGATTGCTGAGAGCTAAATTACGGAGTTTGAAATCTGCTTTATTTGGCATCGCCTTCAAGGATTTATGACAGTTTATTTTACCCTAAGGAATCTGCTTTAGAAAAGATGTGCTTAAGTGAGTTATTCATAATGCTGAGTGTCATGAGAAAAAAAAAGGGGGGGGGGGTTGGGGGAAATGATCTACTACTGCTTAGAAAAGTTTTTAGAAAGAAAAAAAACTATACATTTGCCCGTTTTGTCCATCTCACAAGAAAAGTTTGCACCTCATCTATATATTCTCATTCTGTAAAATCTGTATTCTGGAGAAATAACCATTTCTAGATGGCATCCACAACCAAAACT